GCGGTTTTAGAGGCAGCCTACGTCTTGGCTTTTACAATCAAAATTATTGCATGGAATTGACATCTATTTTTGTCAATAATTGGAGTTGAATCAAACATTTCTGTAATTTAACAGCCCTTGCTTTAACATTGGCTATACCTCATGCCAGAGAAGTAGTAATCTTTTGCTCTACACATATAGCCGTAAAACTGATGCAATCTCAGTTTCAGCTCAGCTTTTTTATGCTTCAGGGTGGTTTGGTGTGAAATGCTCCGCTCTAGAGAAACTTACTGACTCAGTATTGTTCACAGTAGGGGTGATGTCTGAGAAACTAAAAGGAGAATTTCACAGATTTTTCAAAATTTCAGCATAATGCAAGCATTTTATGCCTCTAAAAGGTCCTTCATAGAAAGGTATTACATGAAATGTATATGGGTACATTAACTGAGCATAATGGATGCATTCACTGAGTCCTACAACACTGTTTGGTTTTGAGATAAAATGTATTTTTTAATATCCAAATTAAAAAATCTTGCGGAGATGTACATGGAGGGCACTGCGAAGCAAAGAAAACTGATCTACTACTATTTTACTATCATCAACATTACATATAAAAACTCAGAAGACATGTGTAGGTTCACAGGTCATTCTGGACAGTAAATAAAATGGCTATATTTGCTTTGTAGATACCATGACCCCTGGGTCCTATCAGCACCACTGTAAAGAAATCGTTGTTAAGCCTCTCTACAATTATTGATTTTACATCAAACCACTCTGAATGACTTTGTTTACATTTCAGTGATTGAAATATGCAGAAATTTTGAAAAATTGTTGGAATTCCCTTTTAAGGGCAACTACTCTGCTTCAGAATTTGACCAAATGGCCTGCAGGTCACCTATTATCTTATAGAATTTATCTATTTAATTTTTTTATTTTTATGTGCTAAAGTGTGATACTGTTACTGTGAAAAGTGTGCTTATATCAGGACACTACAATGCAGAGCTTTTATTTGAAATAACTTTTATAATGTTTAATGGTCTAATAAATTGATAGTGGAGATATTAACATATTAACATAAGGCATTTTATCCACTCCTTATTTTTTGCTGTCTTGAATCATGGAACTACCATTTCAAATCAGTTTATGAATATGAATCCATACGCCTCTACCTGCTTGATGTATGCTTAGAGATCTGATATCAAGAATATGTACACATTCTTTTTTTACATGTCGAGAACACAAACTGAACAAAAACAATTAATAACAAACCAAAAAATAAATCAATAAATAATAAAGCAACAAGCAGTACAAAAAAACAGTCGAAAGTGGTGGAATATATATAACCAGGAGGAGAGTTGCTAGGAGTCGACAGTAGGGCATTGAAGAAAGCAGGTAACCGACACCTGCACCGTTGTAGTCATTTATTTTTTCTGTTTTTATTATTTATTTCAAGGAAGATCATAGCTCCATACAAAAAATTAAAGAATGGGAAAACCGTAATGTCTTTGCATACACAGCACAGAGAGATTATCCAGGAGTGAGGCTGAGGGTCCAGGCTAATGGTGGCGAGTTAAGTTGGTCAGTTGCTGCCACTCTGTTTTGAAAAAGCTACTCATTCACTGGCCTTCACATCCCCTACTGAAAAAACTCACAGAAAACATTTCTATTGGTTCCTGATGGTGTAAAATAGTCACTAATAGCATTTTGTGTTTTTCTGATGGGATGATATACTATACAGGCAAAAGTCTTGAGACACCCCTCCTAATTACTGAGTTCAGGTGTTTCAGCCACACCCATTGCTAACAGGTGGATAAAATTAATCACATAGCCTTGCAGTCTCAATAGACAAACACGGGCAGTAGAATGCCAGGAGAATTACCTGTTACCTGCCTGACTGCACTGTGCCAGGGGTAAAGTTTGGTGGAGGAGGGATAATGCTATGGGGTTGTTTTCAGGGGTTGGCCTAGACCCCTTTGTTTCAGCGAAGGGAAATCTTAATGCTTCAGCAAACCAAGACATTTTGAACGATTCTATGCTTCCAGCTTTGTGGGAACAACTTGGGGAAGACCATTTTCTGTTCCAGCATGACTGAGCCCCAGTGCACAAAGCAAGGTCCATAAAGTCATGGCTGGGTGAGTTTGGTGTGGAAGAACTTGACTGGGCCACACAGAGCCCTGACCTCAACCCCATAAGACACCTTTGGGATGAACTACAACAGAGATTACAAGCCGGGCCCTCTCGTCCGACATCGGTGTCTGACCTCACAAATGCTCTTCTGGATGAATGGGCAAAATTTCCCACAAACACTCTTTAAAATCTTGTAGAAAGCTTCCCAGAAGAGTGGAAGCTGTTATAGCTGAAACTCCCTATTAATGCCTATGGATTTAGAATGGGATGTCATGAAAGCTCCTGTGGGTGTCCCAAAACTTTTGTCCATACAGTGTATCAAAGGGTCTTCATGTTCATTCCCCTTCAGCTCTGACAGGCTGTTTTTAAAGTACAATCTCAATAATGTTCTTTCTCCTGACAGACATTAAGTTAGTCAAATCTAATCAGTAAGTTAAATCACCAGATTAAATCACCAGTCATTACACGCAGCCTGCAGTAGGTGGCGGTAGCAGAAAATACAGCGCTGGGATTCCACTGCCAGGTCCTAACTCTGAACTTTCTGATGCATTTAAGTAATTTTCCTTGAAACAGTTGTATTCCTCAGCCAGTGATACAGGACATGAACAATTCTGCGCTGGAAAGAATGCATTAGCTCAAAACCTTTATAATTACATGCTGCTGTTTACTGGATAGCTGTCTCTAGTCTCAATTCCAGGCCTCTAATGAGTCTAATGAGGGATTAGGAAAATAAACAGCCTATGAACTGAGCCAAAAGACTCACATAAATGTTTTACTCAAAAGGGCTTTCACTTATTACATGTTTTATGTGAAAAAATCTCTCTGTTTTGCAGTCATTCTTGTTTTTGTTTTTTTTGTATCCAATAAAAAATACTAATTTAAAATATATACCAATGTTATTTTCTGCCTTACTTAAACCATCAAGTGTCCACAGGTTATAAAACTGTTGCCTCCAAGTGGACAGATTTGTAAAATTTAAGATTTTGCTTTCTTTTTTATCTGAACAAGAAGGAATATGATCAGAACCCATACTATGTGATTATGATTATTTCCATTGGTAGTGTCATATTCTCAAACTTTGACTATTCTAAAGATTTTTATGTATGAAAATTATGTCACTAACAACTAATAATTATAGTTTCACACAATTATAATCATCAGTAGGCCTGTAATATTATTACTATTATCTCAACACAGTATTAATGGTGGTTTTACGAGTGATTTTGCCAGTGATTTTGGGAACACAGACAAAACGTCAGTCACAAATTGTGCCCTTTTTGGCTATAATCTAGTGTTTTGCTTTGCGGGCATGTGACTTCTCCCAATAAGCAATAATTTTGTCTATATTTTTGACCTGTGATTCACTTTCGTAACCGAAAACAGAGGGCGCGGGGGGGCGGAGGTTGGGTGCTGACGCAATGACGTACCCAGTGTTATAAGCCAATAAGAGAAGCGTATTCAAATCAGCTTTATTAAATAGCAGAAAGTGCGCCACTCAGGCTGTGTTCCAATAAAGGCACTTGTGTTCCAACTAAAACTCGTACTAAGTCTGTAGAATTCTAGAACGCCGAGCTAGAACGTGGGGTTCTGGAATGCTTATGTAGCGTAGGCTGTTGAGTTCTAAAAGGAGTTTAGTTAAGCATTCTAGAGCTGTACTACTTAACTAATGGGTTCTATACGCCCTAGCTTTCATTTACTCAGTTACATTTACTCAGTTTCGTGTACTGTAGATGCATTTATACATTCTTGAGCATTTTCAAGTTACAATATTTCGACCCAAGTGATAGGACGGAGGATGGAGATCTGCTTTTTACTCACTAACATTCTAGGCATTAGCATTTGGTTACTAATTCTTGTTCCATTACAGTTCTGTTACTTTGTACTTAAAGGGAAACTCATTCATTATTCAAAGTTTTTCCATAATTAAATTGTTAAGATCAAGTAAACAAAGTCATTCAGAGTAGTTTGCTGTGAAATGCTCTACTCTAGAGAAACTTACTGAGTCAGAATTGTTCACAGTGGTGGTGAAGGAACCATCATCCACCTCTAAAAGCGTCCTCACAGAAAGTCACTATACTGTATGGATACAAATACACAGCCTGATGTCTGAGACATTGTTTTATGATAGTTTTCAGAAGATTTTGGTTCTAAAACAAGTCCATTTGTAGTAGAGGGGGACATGCAGGGCTTTGAGAGGCAACATAGTCCCCAAAGAAAAGTTATTTCTTCAGATTTATGACTTTTTTTACCATCATCAACATTACATATAAAATGTCAGATGACACGTGTTGGTTTACTGGTGGGTTTGGATGGTAAATAAAATGTCTGTTTTTGTGTTGTAGATGTGGCGACCCCTGGTTACTATCAGCACCACTGTAAAGAAATCTGTGTCCCTACATTGAACCATTTTACACCAAACCAATTTAATTAAACAGAAGTTTTGAAAAATTGCTGGAATTCTCCTTTAGGATGTTTTTAATCTGATACTTTGCACTTGTACTCAACCTGTCATGTATTACAGCAGCACAAATTACAGTAAAGAGCAAAACAAGAGCAAAGTATTACTGTACATTATTATACAGATGCAATAGAATTAATGTATGTAATAAGAATACAATAAAACAACTATGAAAGTATGATGTTCAGTAAATAAATAAGTAGCATAAATACTAGAAGAAAGCTTCATACTTTATCTTGAGTCATTCACATAAATAACAGTACTTTTACTTGAGTTTAGGCCACTCTTCCCACCTCTGCCGGCCATGCGTCCTTTCTAGGGGACAACGTGTTCTCATTGGAGCGTAAACGTTAAAACGCGTCGTTCCAGTGACATCATGGGCTTATAAGCCAATAAGAGGGCCAGTATGTAAATGAGCAGTGATACCGTAGGAAGTGCCTGCCGACTGTAGAGTGGATGAGAGGGAGAAGCTGCTAGAAAGGGAGGGTGGATCATGCTGCAGCGCATATAGACGCAGGTTTACTTATGGAAGGTAGTCGAGACGGCTAAGGTTTACATATACACGGGAAAAAGGATCTGTTGGTGAAGGCTGTGCAGAAGCAGGTACGGTTTATTAGCGCTGACTGATATTGATGCTGTGTTTCCTCGCTAGGTGGAATAGCTAACGTTGACTAGCCTGTGTTTTTTTTAGTTAGCTCTCCGTTCTGTTTCCACCATTTTTGTCTTCACTGAGCTAACCTACACGTTTTTTCTTTTAGTTTCAAAATAAACAGACCGTTGCTTGTTGAATAGTTTTGTCCAGATACTGTAAGTGTACAGGCTTCAGTGTAAGCTGAGTGCTGGCTGAGTGAGAGATGCTCAGTAGCGGATGTTTGTTGTTAGCAGCGCTCGGGCCTCCGAGAGAAAAAGGAGCAACATTATTTCAGATTTTTTAGCTGAATAAAATATTCTCTTTTTAGCAGACCGCTCTATAAGGTCAATACAGCCTTTTGTGTATGTTGTGTAGTTCTTCAAGGCTTATAATCTGAAGTCAGCTTTCTATTAGCCAGCTTCTTGTTCGAATTTTCCCGTTCCACCTTAAATGGTGCGTCAGCGCGTCTGCTGCACGTTTAAGGTGTATTTCAGATGTGTTGCTGCTGCACCATTTAAGGTGGAACGGAAAATTCGAGCAAGAAGGTGGCGAATAGGAAGCCAACTTCAGCCTCGTACTGATGAAAGACTTTAACGTTTGCTGCCCCTGTGAATCATAGTGTCGCAGTCACGACGCGCTTTAACTGTAAACTGATTTTGTTCACCTTTTTTCGAAGTTTTTTTGCTAATCCCATATAATCACATTTCGTCGTTTCATATGAAGCCTGATATAATTGTAAATTAACGTTAAATGACATCATTTTAAGGGCTGAAGTTTGGCTCTTTTTTCGTGTATTTGTACAGGTGGGCGACATAGCAACAATATAATATCGCGATACTTAAAGAAAGATTCAGGATAAACGATGTGTCTGATCAGTTGAAACTGAAAAGAAAGAAAAAAAAATGCTATCAAAAACTGTGAACACAGTGATTTTAATTCAATATTTGGCATCCTTATACTAAATCCAGTTTAAAGGGACTAATTTTGCTCTTTTTATAATGAAACATGCAGTTGGACAGTGTTCTAGAAATACTGATGGTATCCACAGAAAAGCATATTGTATTGTACTGTGACAGCATTTATCACTATAACAGTATATATTGTCACATTGCTCAGCCCTATTTGTTTGTATTTTTTGTATGCTATTATTGTAATTGTAATATATGTATTATACTAATCTGAATGTGTCAATTGATGAGAGGCATATAAAAGCTTATAGTTCACCAGTTAGCACATTTTGAGGATGTCATACACAAGCTGTAGGCAGTTAGTGAAATTTCAAGTATTTTTCTTCTCAGTATTTTTCCTCTCATTGAATGAATAAGTTAAGACCAAGTTAAACATGATGAAAGATGATACAAACCACTTTTCTAATACTTCTGGTATTTGAAGTATTTATACTAATACTAAAACTGATCCAATATTTTTCTTCAAAAACTACTGAGCTTTAAAATGATCTCTGTTTAATTTAAGGTTTTCACATAAAGTAAGCTATCTTGTCTGAACTATTGGAATACTCTTTTTCCCTCCGATATCTGATCCAGCACTTTCTGTTAATATCAACCCGATACCCATCAACTCTGCTGTTGTCTCTATAAATAACCTTTATGTTAATAGAATATTTTACAGGACTCAATATACTGCTTTGCTACTGCCTGGGAAATGATTTGTGTTGACTAGACGACTCTGGATTCCCTGCTGTGAGGATGTCTAGTGTTATTCTGTTCACTGCAATCTCTTAACTTATTTTAGGCTGAGCTTGTGATCCTTATCTAACATAACTTGTGATGATGGCTGCTAGCCAAAACCTGGTTCTGGAGTGTTAGAGAACCGCACTTGGCTCAACTGCTCTTGCCATCCTCTGTGTTAAACAGAATAGACTTTAAAATTGCAACCACAGATCAGCAAAGTCAGTTGTTATTAGCATGGCAAAATTTCCAGATTCATTTATTTGTTGAAAAACATGAGCTTCTATGCCTTTATTGCAAAACATGTTTTTCTTCACAGTTTGGACCTGAACACTGTGACCAAAAACTCCGCAAGTGCGACATCTTTGACCAAGCACCAGGAAATATACTGTCTGCTTGAGGAACAGGGTAAGTTACACATTTTTTCTTTTTAGAGGTTACACAGTTTTTTCCACACCGTTTCCTGTTTGCTGTTTATCAAAACACATCAATAAGAAGTTATGTTATTAATGTTCCTCTTTTCGGAGCAGGTACTCGTTTACACTTGGCTGATCTGCATTTGTCTGACTTTAACCTTGACGTCTTTTAACTTGTATACTAAAAAGAATGAATCCGAACCAATTCTGTAACAAGTCTATCCTGAAATAGCTCTCATGTGTCTGGTTCTTCTTAAGGGGTTTAGAGTGATTGAGTGGTTTCGGCACTATAGCCTACTTTAGATGCTCATTATAAAGCTATACAATGTAAGATTTGGGGATTTGGTGGAAATCTGTAATTACGTTATGCTTTAGACCCCCTGGGTGGATGAATCTGATGATTGCAAATGCATTGAAAGAGAATTCAAAGAGAACATGTTGAAGGATGTGTCTTCCATGGATGTGAACAAACTATCTAGTATTGTCGTCATCATATCTTCATCTGTGTATTTTTGCATTCGAGACCTAAACATTGAGCGGGACCTTCTTTTTGATCCTGTGCATGTGATGTTAATACATATGACGTAGTCCAAAAAACTCCTGCAAAGTCTATACTGATGCCTCTGACTTTTAAATTATTATTTTAGGCTTTACAGGGTGACTCGCAGCAGCACATGCACAACATATTTTAGTGTGCTTTATTCCCTTCTGACCCAGTAAAGCTACTTCTTTCAATTTTAATAAAAAAACGTCTATAGTGCAGCTTTACATTACACAATTCAATTAAAAATCGCTTTTTTTAAAAGAAGCATATTGGATTAGTGTCAGCTGATACTCAAGGTTTCAGCGTTCGTTTCGCTATCGGGCAAAAAAGTGGTATTGTGCCATGTTTGACCTTGATGTCACTTTTATTTATCATCTCTTCTGTTAGACCAGCCATGACCTCTCACGATCCAGAAGTGTATACGGTGGCACCGGAGATGCCGGCCATGTTTGACGGGATGAAGCTGGCTGCCGTTGCTACCATCCTCTACATCATCGTGCGGTGCCTGAACCTGAAAAGCCCCACTGCCCCTCCCGATCTCACCTACCAGGACACGGCGCTCAACCGCTTTCTGCTCAAGTCATGTCCAGTTCTGACCAAAGAGTGAGTCTGGCTTCTGAACATATTGCTATAAAGAAGTTTCTGTTAAATACTGAATGGTGAGGCAGAATTCTGGCTTCTGCTTTGTAATCTTAATCTTTGCTGTTTATAACGTTATGCTGTTTTTGGGTTTAGTTTAGTGAAGAAGGTGATCAGAAGCTGTGCTTGTTGTGCAAGATAACATATGAACAGGAAGATGATTGCATTTTATCGTTGCTCTGATGAAACAAATCAATAGGTGTTTCCATAGCGATATAAATTCTGTTCTGAATGCTCACTTGCTCTAACGAAACTAACACAGTGCATCCAACAATAAAGGCAGCATGACACGTCTTTTTATGCAGTGGTTGGAAACACAGTAGCACATAGAAAGCTCCAATTCCACCTGTTGATCCATTTTATTATGACCAAAATGGACCTGCACAGTCACCAGCTCCTTTGGGGTTGATTTAATGAGTTAAAAGGAACAAATACAAAGACTTTGACCATATCACAGACAATAGGTAAGGGTTAAGAGCTGTTTATATATTTGTTTGTATTTCAGTGTTGTGTAGAATAAGAGAGAGAATTAAAAACATGAATTGATTCACTGAGCAGAACCAATATTTTAATGTTTCTGTTCTAGCGTTTCACCAACATAACATTCCTAAACTGGTTGGAACAAAATTAAATACTGGTTAATTTTGTTCTTTTTACGTGGGCTACAAATAGACATAATATAATTTAAAAGCAGGACTGGAAAGCTAATGGACCCAGCAGTTGTGTTTGTATTGGTATGGTCATGCTCACACAGACGTTGGCCGAGTGTCTAAAGAATAGTTTTAACATATTAAGGTTTATAAGAGAAAATGTTTATTGTAAGCTTTTTTTTTTTTTTTAATTTGCAGTGGTGTAGTGACAGTGGTAAAAAATGCTGGAGATGCTAATTTAGCTTGCTGCTTTCCTGCTGCTCAGCCAAAAAATGGCAATGCTGCCTAAGTACGCGTCAGTGAGCATGTAGGCTTAACATAAACCCAACTAACAATGCAACTTCCCTTTCTGTATAGCTTGCTTCTACTCATGACAGGCACAACGTTTACCACAATCAAGACAACACAAGTTAACATAAGAGTTAAAATGAAAGTTAAAATCGGACAACTGAGACCCAACCGAGTTGAAGAAAATGGAAGCAATTCTCAAAATGTACCCCATGAAGTTTAAGCCTATTGCCATGAAGAATGTTTATGCATGATTGATATCTAATCTTTGATGACCTGATGCGTGAATGTAGACATTTTAACCTAAGCTATTTTGGTAAAAGGGCATTTGCACCTTTGCAGACTATTAAGAGCAGTGCCATTTTTTTAAACAGAAGCTGACCTTTTTTGTGTTTGGCTTTGGTGTTTCTGAAGTTTAAAATTCAAAATATATCAACCACTAAGCAGCAATTGAGGGATAAGATTACAAATGTTGTGATTTTGATTGGCTGCAATGCAGTGACAACACTTATGGAAACCTACACACAAACACACACATCTTCTAAGCCACTTACTCTTCTGGGTCGCAGGGGGAGCTGGAGCCTGTCCCAGCAGTCATTGGGTGGAAGGCAGGGTACACCCTGGACAGGTCTTATGGAAACCCAATCAAATTAAATCTTGAAAATGCAGTTAAAAATGGACTGATCACATTCTCATTGGGTGTGTTCAGTCAATAGCCAGCACTTTCATGCGCCTGCATGGAAGGAAAAAATAACAGAGACTCCACATTAACTGTTCCGAAATGGATGATTTTCTTTTCCTTTGTTTGTCTGCCCTTTCTTTGATATTTGTCATGTACTTTTTGTTTTGTCACTGAACTCAGCCATTTTCCTCCCAGTGTTTGAGAAACACAAGAAAACAAGGTGTGATCTTCCTCCGCACCCTTAGGCATGCTTTTGATGCTGTGCAGTTTGTTATTCAGAGCAAAGGTAGCCAAATGTGTGCATTTCGAACAGCTACAGCAGAGATATTTACCTAGACGAGGCTGAGTTGGAAGCTCTGCATGTTTCAGCTCGGGTGGGGTGATTTATTAACCTACTGTTAGTCTTGGCTGGGTTTTACATTTAAATTCCAGAAGGAGTAGGTCATGAAAACTGGGAAAGAGAGACTGTCAAAACTTGTTCGGTTCTGTCTTGCTGTTGGATGTACTTTCTCGTCTCTGACCACAAAGTCTGTGTGAATCTGTGATGTCTCAGCACAGGGTGGTGGGCGGGTGGGCTTCTCTTCTATAGCCCAAAGTGACCCCCGTCTGATTATGTAATCGTTTGTTTTCCAGCACAGTTACTACTCTGGGGACTGAAGGATCAATCAGTGTGGCAGCACAGCGCCAGCCACTGTCCTCATCTGTTCCACAGAATTACATTAAACCCTTTTACCTTGATGGTTCTAGCATTCTCGATTGACTGAGCTGTTCCAGAGATGTACTTTCTAAGTAAGCCTGTACAGAAGGTCTTCTGGACTTAGACATGATGGATAGAACACAGACCAGGCAGACTGTGTGATGTGGTTCTGGACTTTGAACTTTAATATGCGTGTCAAGCCAACACAGCCTTTGGCTGAGCGATTGTGATATGTTATCGCTATTGTGCTAAATAATGTCACAGTATGCTTTTCTGAGTGTATCATGGATGTCGTCAGCACTTCCTGAGCACTGAACGACAGGATGGGTCATAAAAAAGACAGGTTTAGATCAATTGTAGAGGCCCTATCAACAATAACCAGTATATAGTAACTGCATAAACTGCATAGTTGCAAGAATCTGTTTGGGTGGAAGCATTTTAGGCTGTTTTCTCAAGCCAACACAAGTCCACAGTTACATTCTTTTTGAGCACTTATCGCTCGTATTTGTGGGTGGCTGGTGCTCACAGATAGCGGCCGGGGCAATCCCTAGGCTGACAAGGTTACTCTAAAGTTTTCTGTTCTTACTGATTGGATACAGTAAGCTTAACCGTCTTTGTTTGACTCCATTTCCCAGTAGGCAGTTGCAGGCTATTTAAAGATTGTTTCATCACCTTTGTTTTTGTGTTTGGATTAACTACAGCTAAATTTACACTTCTATTTAGTTGTTTTATTGTCTCTCTTTCTGTGCTAGCCTGCTTATCGTCTCATCTCTGTAGTCCATGCTACGGTGACCAGGTGTTAGAGCCGCCTTACAGCCCACGCTTCTCTTTATTGATGTTAAGCTGTTACTCATACATTAACTATCGCATAATTAAGTGCCATTAGACATTAAGGGTTGCACAATTGTCTTATGTAACAGGGCAGGTCCTGTGTTATCGCTTACAGAGACGCAGAGGAAGAGGGATGGGTTTGTGAAATGGATACCACTGGCGGATATTAATTGTAACAGGGCGTACTAAACGGCTGAAATGACTTCCCCCTCCCTGCTGCCCTGAGTGCCCTTGGCTGTCTCCGCAAGCAAGGGCCAAACTGCTCATCCAGTCCATTTGCTCCGTTCCGGTCATATAGCAATTGGAAGCATAACTGAATGTCATTGCTGCATAGTGAATGGGAGATGACTACTATAGAGCAGTACTGAATAGAAAATGTGTAGCTGGGATTATATAAGGAGCATGCTCTGAGGTTTTGAAGAGTGATATAATGCAGTACTGCTTAAGCCCAGAGGCTAAAAAATTTATCACGCTTAGAAACAGTCGTGTTTATCTTCATCTTCTTCCTCTGAGCTCTTTGTGGAGTCGGTGGTTTCACCCTGATGCACAAGCTAAGCATCGCAGTGTAATTGCGGCCTGCCAAATGAACACGAAGAGCCTGCATGGGTAGACTGTTTTGGAGAACGTGTCCGTGTTTACATTTCCACCCTTGAACATCTGAAGACATCGAGCAGCTCAAGCTGTTTCACAGTGGCTGTATGTGGGCTGAACCATTGCATAACTGTGCACTGTTCACCTGCATAGCACAGCCTGGAGTCAGCAGTAATTTGACCTCTCGCAGAGCGAAACGCCCACCGCTAGCATCCTAGAACCGCGCTCCGAGCAGCGACCGTAGGCTTCTGAGATGAATAGCGCTGGCTTCACGCTCTACTTATCGTATCATTACCATCTTAAACAAAATTCCACTGAGACGGAACTTTACTTTCTGGTGTGAAAATGGTGCAGTTGGAGAAGTTTGAATGGTTATGTCATTGGCAGTGGTTTTCTCTGGACAGTAATATGATCATTGTGTGGCTATAGTATGCTATAGACTAGTGTCTTTGTCCGCAAAGGCATTTAACCATGTGCCAATGTCTTTTACATCCAAATGCATTTTATATATTGTCGCTGTCCAACGAAAAACAAGTATCTCCAAAATAGTAACTTTATAGGAGAGGGCAAAAACACTCTTACTTTTCAATGTAAGTCAATGTAAAGAGATTTTATTCCAAGTGATTTTGGAGCATTTCTATTGGTCCATTCATCATGAAATTGGCACACAGCGTAAAGGACAGCTGGTTTGTTGAAATGATGTAGAAAAATAAAAATTGACAAAAATGGAGATGGTTTTCTTTGGACAGCGACGATATTGTACTGTGCAAAGGTCATAGACCAACCTTCATTTATTTGATTTCCAGGCAAAATGACCATTAAATACAAGTTATTTATGTTTTAGGAGATACAGATTAGATATGATAATCCACTTTAGGGTAAAGTAACAAGGGAAAATAACAGTTAAAAAACTCACTTTCCAAAACTGCAGTTAAAAAATTCTAAAAGAAAATCGGACACCTAACAACCTTCCAAGACCTGGTAGACCACCAAAACTGTCTGCATCCGATAAATAGCACTTAAAGCTTTCATCTCTGAGAAAATCAGGCTGCTTCAGATATGAAAAAATCCACAGGTGTTTCTGTCCATCCTTCCACTGTGAGAAGACAACTCAGTACTATGGGTGAAAGGGTGAAAGGATGAAAGGATGTTCAGCTGTCAAGAAGCCTCACTGAGAAAAGGAAATACAATTTGCAAATCGAACAAAGAAGTTGCTCGTGTTCTCAGAAGAAAGGACTGACCACCCCAGAGTCCAGACCTCAACATCACTGAATCTTGGATTGTGAGAAGCAGAAAATGCAGCCAACTTTTAAGACTGAATTTGGAGGTGTGGAAAAATGTTCCTGCAGAGCTCTCTGGCAAATTTAAAAGCAGGTCTCTTAAAGTAAATAGAAGCAATTATAATGGTAAAGTATTGGCACTTAAAATGCTGAAATAATTTTATATAGTTGTGGAGACTTCTATGTAGTTTTCTGTTTTCTGCCTTTTTCTGATGCTGGAAAATAAAAAAAACTTAATGGCAGTTTGACTGAAAATTAAATGAATGAGGAGTGGTGTCTGACTTGTGTGCAGTACTGTGTACTCTAGTGTTTTGTAGGTCTGTATCAAAAGCTTCTTATGTGTCTTAGGTCAGTGTTTCATCTGCCCCTGTCTTTAAGTAACTCAAGTTAAAAATGGAAGCTCAGTAGGAGTAATGAGTGCTTTAGGTCATGCCTGTAGTCATCTAGCTTACTAATCATGTCCTACAGGCCTACTTATCATTTCCACTCAGTCATAAATGTGTTGCCATAATAATGCAGCATAGCAACACACTAACAGTAACTTAGACTGATGAACATGTGTTGTAGTCCCATTATAATGACGGTGTTGCTTATTTTTTGTATAATTTGACTTTGTTCCCCAGATACATTCCTCCTTTGTTGTGGGGAAAAAGTGGCCATTTGCAGACCGCCCTGTACGGCAAGTTAGGCCGGGTGAGTTCACCTCATCCGACAGGCCTGCGCAAGTATCTGCCCATGCAGGACGGGGCCACAGCGACTTTTGACCTCTTTGAACCCCTGGCGGATCATCAGAGCGGAGGTTAGTATCTCCTGGGAGTAAAGTTGCTTTCACTTAAGACTGGGGCGAAACACTAAACCTCACTTGGCAACCTAAGTCCCCCCCTGAAAGTCGACAAGGGTTTAAAATAAATAATAAAACAACAAAAAAAACAAACAAAAAAAAACTCAACAGCATTACTGTGGGTCAAATTTGCATTCCCTCCCAAATATCGCTAACCAATTCAAATCATATCTCACATCATTGCTTGTATTTGTTTACATGCAAAACAGTTTCGCGGAACAGGTGAGCAACATTTTCTTGTCATGTCTTCACAGCTGACGTCACTATGGTGATTTGCCCGGGCATCGGGAACCACAGTGAGAAGCACTACATCCGCACGTTTGTGGATCACTCGCAGAAACAAGGCTACCGCTGTGCTGTGCTCAACCATCTCGGGGCCTTGCCAAACATCGAGCTCACCTCCCCCCGCATGTTCACCTATGGTACGGTCTTGTTCGTGTGAACAGTCCTGCTGCGACTTGGTTCATGTGAACAGATTCTTAAACTGTTAATCTTAAACTGTAACGGTATAAAGCAACTTGTTCTTGGCTGTTTTTCTAACTGTGCACTACAGCTCCTGAGAAAACGTTAGCCTCTCGTGCTTGAGACTGTGCCATGATTCGCCAAATCAAACATTGTGGCGTACAGTAAGGCTGGACCTGTTATCCTCCAGACATGTGGCATTGGTTGACTCGAGTTGCATAGCGGCTGTGTGTTAGGTTGTAGAAGTCCTCTGAGGGCTGTTTGTCTGTAAACTCACTCTGCACTGTTTCACTCTCTGTAGGCTGTACTTGGGAGTTTGCAGCCATGGTAGGCTACATCAAGAAGATGTACCCCCAGACCCAGCTGATCGTGGTGGGCTTCAGCCTCGGGGGCAACATCGTCTGCAAGTTCCTGGGAGAGAACCGTGCCAACCAGGAGCGAGTACTGTGCTGTGTGAGCGTGTGCCAGGGATACAGTGCACTCAGGCAAGCTGTTTGCTTTCCCTCACAAAGCTACTGCAGCGTTGTCAGTCAGTACAAGAATCCAAAGTGCAAAAGTCACCTGAGCTGAGCGTGAACCAGTACTTGCTCTATCTAGCAGACAAACTTATTTCACTTCTGATTGGTTCAGATTTGTTTTTGAACTCTTTTGGCATGATGACTGCTGTAGCTTGCCAATTGCAAGGAGTTAGATTCCACATCATACCGCTCTGAAAGTCTTTGTTTACGATTGAATTATGCTGAAATTATGAAAAATAACTCTTAAACTATTCATGAATCTGGTTCAAGTCACCATCACTGAACAGTTCTGACTTGGTAGAGTGGAGCATTTCGCATCAAACCACTCTAAATCACTTTGTTTACATTTTCACCATTTAATTATGATAATAATTTGGAAAAAGGTTGGAATTCCCCTTTAAAGATGAAGTAGGGGCAAGGCTGTAAGGGAAGGATGTTAACAAAGAGATTGGCATTCAGTGATGCATCACAGTTGTGCAGCCCTATATTTCAGTCATGATGAATACTTGAGCTTGCCAACTAAAACAAACTGGGTTACACAGAGTCAGCATGGTGGGGCCACTGTTGCTTAGTTACTGTGAGGATTGTTTTGTGTGTGGTCTCATTCTTCCATGTGTATTACAGCTTCAGCCTTTTTATGCTAATCAGAAAGGCCAACACTCACGTCTAGCTTTCTCAGCCTAAAAATAGTACGATTCCACAACCTCGTTTGAGAGAAGCATGAACAAAGTTGAAGTTTCTCAGGAGTGACCTTGCAGCCTATAACTACAGACAACGCAAATGGTGTGTAAACAGCACTGGAATGTGGTAGCTGTGTTCTCAGTCTGGTTTTGTGGAAGCCACACCTTTACTTTGGAGAGGTCGTCTGCTGTACCTGCCAGCAGCTCAGCTGAGCACATCTAGAAAGTCAGCGGACTTAGTGCATGGGTGTGTATCTGTGTGAATCTGTATTACCAACCACAGTGGTGCTCTTTGAACAGGATCGCAGCACCTGTTTTCCTCTAGATAAGCTACTTTCACAAAATAGATGTTTCGATGTGCCTTTTTATTTGGAAAAGAATGAATGTGATACCATATTTAATATCATAATGTGGTGTTCTTTTGAATATTTCTGCTGCTTCCTTCATTCTGCTGTTCTGGTTCCTGTATCATCCTACGATCGAGGATATATTGTGAAAGACTTGAGTGCATTGTATCAAACTGGGCACATGCACATGGTCTTATAATACTATCAGTGCTGTTAGCCAGCAACACCATTTGGCAGGATTAGCCTGTTTTGTGTGTCGGTTCTGGCTGGCGGCACGTGGCTGACCTACTGTGTGTGTCTGCATTTGTATAGGGCTCAGGAGACCTTTCTGCAGTGGGACCAATGCCGGCGCTTTTATAACTTCCTCATGGCTGACAACATGAAGAAGATCATTCTGTCCCACAGGTACCACATAGCCTAGAAGAACCTTTAGGCATGTCTGAAGTAATTGTGTTGATGGGCTGGAAAAGATGGGCCAGCATACTGTTAGCTGTTTACAGTTATTACCTAATACCTGATTGCAATTATTTGACCTGATCACAATAATTTTACCAAGCTAGCTTTTACAGTTATATTTTTATATTGCAAGAAACAGAATATGAATGGGGTGTTTTCATTAGTTAGGTTGAGGCAAACACAAATAAAAGAAAGCAGAAAACACATTTATTGAGATACATCAGATTGCAAATGTTGTGACTGACTTCTGACCCATGTTATAGCACCTTTAGAGGACAGCAGTGTGTAATGTTTTTTTGTTTAAGCTTTAGCTGTTGTAAGTTGGGAGCTACTGAGCAGCAGCTAGGAAGCAAGATAGATAATCAGCCAATCTGGCCATATTAGGTTTGTATTTTCTAAACAAAAAAGACAAATTGTTAATCACAAGGATTTATATGGCAATTAATTATCAACTAGAATTTCATGATTGTGATGGGCCTAGGGTAATCAAGTTGGCCAGTTTTCCTCTTACTCTAAAAATATAGTGGAGCAGCCAAGACATGCGGTGTCTAAAGTTTGCTGCTTTAGTTTTGAGCTGCAAGACTGATGTAACAAACAAGTAATGTAGATATGAAGCTAATGTAGCTAATAAACCACATGCTTAAAGTGTCGTACACTTTTCTTAGTCTGATTAGTTAATAGATATCTGTAAGTTAAACCACAGGAAAAAAAAATCAGTCGACATTGACATTGAGCTGTAGGCTTCCCTTTTTACGTGACAACACTGATGTAGCTGCATGCAGAAGATGAGCTAAGGAGCAAACAGAGCTAACCGCTACCACACTGGATGCTGGTGAGGACTCATAGTCTTAGAAAAGGTCTTTTCAACTGTGCCAGTATGTGCTAGTTTGTCAGAGAAATATGTTGCTGCTGTTTCTGGACCTAGCTAACATTACCAAGCTAGTTAGCCTATTTAGTGAAAAAGCTGCATGGCTGCACTCTTTTTGCTTTGTCAGTCACGTCCTTGGTAATACACTTGTTGTTAATATTTGCAAAGTGTATCATAATGTGCTTAGTTGCAAAAACCAATGCACTCATTTGTACTGTAGTTTCACTCTTGTTTAAAGCATAAAATTACAATTTAATGGAATAATTATTCTGCATATTTTCAGATGTTTTTCTGTAATAAAACAACTTTAGTATTCGAATACTGGCACCTCAAACAGTAAACCAAGTACTTAAGTACCCGTAGATGTTCCTAATTGTTAAGTAATCTCAAGCAGACTTGCTCAAGTAGTTTCTGACCATGTATTACATAATGTTTTCTGTAAAAATTGCCAAACCACAAAGGACAGGAAAAAAACAAGTTTCAAAATGGCCGTTGCTACTGTTTTTAGCCATGCAACATACTTGTCACATACTTTAGTGATTGTAGATAACAGCATACCTTACATTATCAGATTCCACATAAGCTAGTCTGTTTGAGGCTTGACAGTTTGAGGCCTGATGATTCAGGCGGGCAGTTTTCAAAGTGCTAAACTGGTGGCTATTAGCTTCCATTACCTGTTAGCTACGTTAGCCTAATAACACCAGTGCAAAACTAAAGAAGCAAACTTCAGACAATCAGATTGTCTTGGCTGATGGAGTATATTTGGGAAAATTGTATAAACATGATTCTTTGCCAAACTGTTGCTTTAACAGCACACAGTAAAATTTGTTCAGTATTACTTACTGAGTTATATTTTGTTGTTGTGTCACAGAGGCAGCCTGTTTGGTGGAGGTTCCCCTAAAATGGTCGATGCAGACCTAAGACGCCTCTACACCGCCACTTCGCTCATGCAGATTGACGATAACATCATGAGGTATGTATCTGCCACTGTATAGTTCAGAGAGGGAGTTATGCAATTCAGTCACCCTCTTGTGAAAACCCACGTTATCTCTATATGTCCGAGTGACGGAAAATGAAAGTGGATAGTTTGATCTACTCTGTGATTGAGATATTTTGAGAAAAAATGTTTAAGGAAGCTGCTAGAAATACTCAAAAAAAGGAACTCTTTGTCCTCTTAGCAGTTGCATGCACCAGAATTTGTTATGCAAACATGATCTCTCACAAGCTGTAATAACAAAAACAGCCATATTCATCTTCTAGAACAGACTAGAGCATTTTGCTGCAATCATCTCATTTGCTCATTCTCATCTACAGCTGAAATTCAGATTTGCGTCTGTGACATATGCTGTCCAGGTTTTGAACAGGTTTATGTTATGTTCCAGAAAATTCCATGGCTACAGTTCCTTAAAGGAATACTATGAGAAGGACAGCTGTGTACATTATATTCACAATGTGAGTACAAACCACCTTTCCCTTTTTAAACCAGGTCCTGGATAGGTGTGTTGTATAAAGTTGAACAACAATAAATTCTGTCTTTTTTAGTAAAGTGTGTTTTTTGTCCACGCGCTGCAGGTCAATGTTCCACTGTTGCTGGTGAACTCTGCTGATGACCCTCTGGTGCACGAGTCTTTGCTCACCATTCCCCGCACACTCGCAGGTACTGTTCCCATCATTTAGTCTTGTATACTGTTTAGCAAACTTCATATGTTTTCTGACTTGTGACTACTGCATTAGACACAGACTGTGTCCTGAGTAGTATTGTGAAAGTATCCTTTAGGAAGTAATTCAGTGTATAGAATCTCACCATGATTTAATTTTGTTATTTTTGGTATGATTTCGAATTTAATTTAACAGAATGGTTGCACATTTGCAGTAGGACATGAATGCCCTTGTAATGCCCTTATAAGGCTTATCAAGTCAAAAACTGCAAATTAATAGGATACTTTTTACTACTATAGTAAGCAACGACTAGGGTGCATTAAGCATTTTCCAGAGCACTTTTAGTTGTGTATCATATATCACAGCCCTTACTTGAGGTCTGTATGGAGTACAGGAATGTGGGAATTAACATAGTGTGAGGTTTTAAACATCAGACAAAACAGCTAGGAGGAAAAACATGGTCATGTCTTGGGTCTTGGGTCTTGTGTAGTTAGGCTAAACTCAGAGGCTATAGACACCACAGCATTGGATGGTCAAGTTTGTGTTGACAGTCGTAGTTCTGTCCTTTCCTACTAGATTAATTACAGTTTCATGACCAAATTAAAGAACCACAGCTTTTACTGAACTATGCTGTTATGATTTTGGAACTTAAATATGACATTTGAACAAATGCAAATTTTAGTGTACAGTAACTGAGTTTAACATATTGGGGGAAAAATAAACTATAACATGTGCCATGACTTTTGCACAGTCCACATTTTATGTTTTATTTTTTACTCCCGTATGTTAAGTTCAGCAAATACTGTAACTGTGCATTACAGTAATTGTGCATTAAATATGCACATCCTGGATGTGTTAACTTATTTTCACTTAGAAAATCAACAAAATGTGTAATTTGACTGGAACGCCCAGTCTTTTGCATAAGAGTGTTAAGTGTTAAAGTCCACCTAAATTAAAGTCTTGCCAGTAAACTAAATACACACTCTTGCTGACTTCCCCATAATGAATAAAACAACAAAGAGGAAACACTATGTTAGACTTTCACATCTTTTATTTTTATTTCTTTTATTACACTTTTCAAATGATTGAAGGCCTACTGTGGCTAGGCAAGAGATGACTGGAGTATACTGACCCATGCTGAAAGTAGATTGTTTTTCTGTATTCAGGTAGTTTTATGTTTGAAAATAGTCCAAGAAATGTTTTTTTGTCCTAAAAACTAGTGCGTTCTTTATTGAATATTATTGTAATCAATTATACGTTTTTGACATTGTAATGTTTCTGACATGCCGAAATCCATCCACATTCAGATTGATACGTTATGATGCATCATTGCTATGATTGTTATGAAAGCTATATGAAAATATGAAGTCTAATTTATTAGCAGTTTTGTTAGTTGTGTTTGGATTACTTCAAATAGATTAAGTGCATATGTGTCATCTACACATCAGCACCTCCTAGCAAAGTATTCACACTTTGCTGCCGCTTGTAAACTCCTAAAGTTGAACAGGCACGCCAGTTGCACTCCCTCCCCACCCGGCAAAATACACAGCAATTTAACACAGCTATTCTTAGACTGGCATGTATACCTGAGATAGCTGCGTTAGTTCTGGATCCTCACAGCTCAGTTCCAGTAAGCGTGACTGGAAGCCTCCCTGAAAGGCTTAGTCATGGATGCTGGAAAGATTCCTGCTTTACTATGGGAGAATGAAATAATGATTCACTGTAATTTATTTATGTTAGTACTGGTATACATATACAGTGAATAAATGCATACATTTATGAATACATATCTAGTACAGCTAAATACACTTTTACAAAGTGTGAGTTTTTTAACATCTTATTGTTGTTGCTATTAGTACTTTATAATCATCCTTATCATGGCACCTTTTTTTATATTTTATCTCCATTTTATCTTAATGTCTTAATGTTTGAGCGTGAGCTTTTAGTGGATTGTAGGACGATAGGGTAGCACGGTGGCGCAGGGCATTGCCTCACAGCAAGAAGGACCTGGGTTCAATTCCCCGGCCGGGCGATCAGGGTCATTTCTGTGTGGCGGATTGAAGATGCTAAATAGCCTCTCGGTGTGAATGTGTATGTCTGTGTGTCTGACCTGGCATGTCCGGATGTTTCCTGCCTTCCACACAGTGACCGTTGGGAAAGGCTCCAGCACCCTCCCGTGACCCCCAGGAAGATAATGGGGCTAAGACAGTGTGTGTGTGTGTGTGTGTGTGTGTGTGTGTGTGTGTGTGTGTGTGTGTGTGTGTGTGTGTATATGAGTATGCGTAGGAATGTAACAGCAGCATATTTTATTGTATTGTATTTTATTGTATTGAATGGTAATGTTCATTTGTGATTTGCATGTTTAGCTTGTGGCTGTTTTGATAGCTTGGGGTTAACATTTTGGTGGCTAGAGCATTAGATTGGAGCAATATAAAATAATTTTCTTTTTTTTAACATAGCGATTGCTTTAGTAAACTGAAAATGGAAGCTAACATTAATGTAAGGCACATTTTCAGCATCTTATTTTAGTCACATTGAAAAATTTATCTAGTCATTGAATCGATTAATGCAATTTATGAATCACAGTTTGGTGGGTATTACATGGAGATTTGGAAGTTAATAGATGTTTTCTGTTCAGTCTAAAAAATAAAAAACAATTGATTGACTGACTGTCCATTACAACTGTACACACTAGATTCAGATCAATGAGGTCAACTTAGGCCATCCAGTATTTGGGGAATTATGCCAGTGCTGATTAATCCTGTTATGCAGACTGCTTGGTATGTTTGAGTCTTGCACTGTCGTGACTGTTTGACTGGTTTAAGGAGATGATGTTAGAGTTATTTATGGGCCACTGAACCATTTCCCAGCTCTACAGCCAAATTAATGGGCTCTCAGCTGCTGCCTGGGTTCTGTTACAAACTCTGATGGAGTTGTTGACCTTAGATCTAGATACCTCTACTCTGCTTTTGACCTTGAATTTCAATTTCAGTTGTGTTGGCAAGGAGTCATATAGAGAGTGTATGCCTGATTGTTTATTATGTCTGATAACAGAAATTGAGGTGTGTTGAGTGTATCTGCCTGCTGGGCATAAGTGCATAATAGATTGATTACTGTGTGGGATGTAGAGCGTCCAGTTCTGTCTGAACTCAGATTGAGGTGTTGGTCACGTTGTACCTTTAGTGTGTACCAGAAATCATCATTCAGATAATCTGCAGTGAAGTGAATAGGATGCAGAAACAGAGACGTTCTAGGAGTAGAACATCTCTCTTTATCTGCTGCCGTCTGAGCCTCCAGACTTCTGGAACGGATCTCTTGGGTTGTGCTGTAGGTTAATTAAACTGACTGAACTGTGTGAGCCTGATTCAGTGACCTGAAGTAACCTTTCTTACTTTCTTTCTTTCTTTTCCTTCTCTTGTTCGTTCTTTCTTTCTTTCTTCCTTTCTTTCTTTCTTTCTTTCTTTCTTTCTCCTCTTCCTCTGTCCTTCACTCTCTTTCCTTTGGCCTGTTTTCTCTCTATTACCCCCCCCCCTCTTATTTTTTTTCTCTCTCTCTCTCTCTCTCTCTCTCTCTCTAGAAAAGAAAGAGAATGTCATTTTCGCCCTGACGCTGCACGGCGGTCACCTGGGCTTCTTCGAGGGCGCTGTTCTCTTCCCCCAGCCGCTCACCTGGATGGATAAGGTCATCGTGGGCTATGCCAACACTATGTGTCAGTGGGAGAAGCAGAAGCCGGCATGCCAAAGCCAGGGCGCACACGCTGCAGAGACCAAATGCTCGGACAGCACATCTTAACTGTTTCAACTCCTTCAGTTCAGGACCACAGCAGACCACACAGACCCTTCTGACCAGTCACTTTTTACACAAGCATCATTACTTCCAAAGTCACAAGTGAGGATCACATACACACGAGTAGGTAGACGTTTCAGAGCAAGAGAAACGACAGGGAAAAGCACGTTGACCAAAAATGAACAGACACATGTTGAGGCCACCCCACAATCATTAGTAATTTAACATGTAGGCAGGCACTGGCTTGCACGTATTGATTGTGCTGTGTGGAAGAGAAGGAAGAAAGACAGCTTTCAGCTGCTAGCGTGGAAATGCTTCAGCACAAAACAGCTACTATAGTCCAACACTGCACACTGTACTATACATAACCTTTGGACAGGGGCCGTTATGCAGGCACTGTGTGCTTATAGCTAGGACAGACATGCTGCTGGCGCCTGGTTTGCCTCTTCTGTCTGGTACTTTGTTGTGCCGTTTAACTTGCTCATCGGTCTGTTCGCTTCTTGAATGGACCTCGTCAGCTTTTCCATTGCTCTTTGAACTGTGTAATTAACAACCAACAGATTATGTACAAAACTCAGCAGCTCAGCTTGACAGGCTGGATTCAAACAGTTTTTGTGCCCTCAGTTTGATGACTTCTTAATATTTTAATTAAAGAAATACTCTGGCATTTTTCGACCTAACCTCTATCTGCTGCATCTTTAGCTTATGAAAGATTACTATGATAATTTCACTATGGAGAGAACAGGCTCAAAACATACTTACCATAGCCCATTGGCTAATTTTATAAGTGCATTTTGAATCAGTAGGTTTTCCGAACACTGGGAAATGTGTCAAAAGTATTGTTTCTGGTATTTATCCATGTGTTATATATGCATCAGATAGAGACTAGGTTAAAAAAAACGCTATTCATTTAAAGCACTTTATATTATTTTTGCCATATTCGCTGAGTTTTTGGCGGAGGTTCGAGGAGAGACTAGCTGAGACTAAAAAGAAAGCAACGAGAGAACTAAACGGAGGGAGAGATGTTCATACTCTTCACTGAACGACTCTATGATCCCTCCTGTTCACCAAAGCCTGTTGCATTTTCTTCAGCAGAGTAGCCGCGTAGTTCACTAATATTTTTTTGACACTTCTGTCTCCGATTTCCAGAAGAATGAGTGAGGTCGATTATGTCTTTTGGAAATGCAGTTGTTTGGTTTAAGTTGGAACTGTAAATCCAGCAGGAGACGTCGCTGCTCATTTGAACTTCACGTCTGTGAAAGCTGGCTCATTACAGGCGTGCCACTTTGTTTGCTTTGACTGTGTATGGTCTGTACCGTGTGCTTGACAATGAGGCTTTTTATTTGTGCCCATTGTGTCTTGTATTATGAAAAGAAACTGAGCTGTCTCTATTCACAGCGCCCCCTATAGTAATTTTTGCATTCTGAAGTGTAATGGAAATGAATAGCACCTGGTTTAAAGGGAAGACACCTAGATTTTGTGTTCACTGAACACACCATGACTTGATATTTTCTTAGTTGGATCACCTGAGTGACCGTTGAGGAATTAAATACAGGACTGGTCAGTGTGTGCTTTAAGTGTATGCTCTTGTGATGGTCATTGTGATTATAATCGTCTTGGTTTTCTATTGTCAGTTCAGCCTTTTATTCCTTCAGTTTAAAGGAATACTGCAGCATTTTTCAACCTAATCTTTATTGTGTGTAGTAGAGATGGTACAAAACTACTTTCTCTCCCGTTCCGATACCAATATTGAAACCTTGAGTATCAATACCATTTTTTTTGTTTGTTTATTTATTTTTAGGATTCCCATTAGCTGCTATCATGATAGCTGCTCTTCTTCCTGAGTCATACAGCGGAAAAAATAAAAGAAAAACAAGAAGAAACTGAGAGAAAACAAAACGGATGAAAAATAGAAAATAACACCAATTGAAAATGGAAAAATTACACTGAAAGAAAAGATTTTTTTTCTACTACTGAACTTTAAAATGAGCTGTTTTTAACTGAAGCGCTTCACTTAAGATAAGCATCTAAAAGTAGGCTTTCATGCTCAAACTAAACACTTTATTGACCCCACAGGAAGAACTACACAGCTGATTATATGGTTAATTACCATATAAATAATTGCGATAAACATTTTTTTGTAGCTATTACAGCACAAGACTAGAGTGGCCAAATTGGCTGATCAGACACAGCTCAAGCTCAAATACATAAACATTACTCACTGCTGCCCTCTAAAGGTTTTATAGCTCCAGTCAGAAGATATTTTGGTCATTTTCTGATCTTTTATTTGCATCTATTTGCAACGACCCAACAATTGTGAACCCGGTTCACTTTGTGTTTATTGCCACGTAAATATGATTATGAGAGCTAATAACTGAAAAATGATTGCAGTCAGCTTAATCAGCCATAGCATACGGTTGATTACTATGGATAATAAGTTTGATACATATTCCTGCACTTAAAAATGAACAGAAAATCTGCCGATCACTGCTGAAAACATTTATTATAGAAGCCATTGGGCAGTTGTGGAGTTGGTCACTGCCCACTGGCTTCTATAACAGGTTTTCTGTTCTTGTATGGGGTAACGTGTTAAAATCATGTCCATAGGAAACAACCACACGCTACATGAATGAAGCAGATGAAGATTAGGTTGAAAAACACTGGAGTTTTCCTGTCAGCCTTCTACTTAGCTTGAATGAGTTAACTGTACCATCGCTCAGAAAGAGGATGAAGTGTTGGTGTGAGAGGAGGCTGTTCCTTTCAGTTGTCAGTAGAGTAAAGATGCCTCCTGCTGGCCATCCAAAGTAATTGTCACTCAGAGAGAAGACACTGTGGTTTTTGCTTTGGTGAACGTGAGCCTGGCTCTGTTGGTTTTACTGCCATATGCACTAAATGCTTCGTGCATTCCGATATTAACTGGACCATTTGAGCCCAGGCGGCCCAAACTGAGGACCTTTAGAGACGGTGTGCAATCTCATGCAGTTCTATTTCGCAGTACTTCATGTGAATGGAAGTTCTTATTAAACAGATTGTCAGGATCGTCCTTCTCATGGTTTTTATACGCTTTTAAAGGACCTTGCACAGGCAAAACTAGTCTGTTCATCCACACTAGGGGATCTGAACTATTTGAGCCTTGCACACCAGCATAACTTGAGTCTCTGCTGTCACTTGATTCAGAACTTCTGCCTTTCTGAATGTTTTTCACTTTTTTTGCACAAAAATGCAGGCTTTTGATGTATGTCCTCAAATAATTTCTGAAGTTTAACTTGATTCTGCTATTTTTGTTCTTGTATTTTATATATTTTTGTCATTATTCTTATTCTTATTGTTATTATTCTTCTTATTATTGTTGTTATTTACTTGTGTGTTGGATGATGATGATGATGATGATTGCAAATGAATGAACGTTGGTGTCTGTTTATCATATCACCACCTTTGATTATGACAACCAAAATCACAATCACATGTCTGAAAAATTGCAAAGAAATGTGTTATTTAATATGGACTAGAGGACAATATCAGCAATAATGTGTTATTTTTCCTCCTTTCTCCATGCCAAACTGCATAGCCTAGTCCTGAAAAAAAGGACCTTGTGTCAAATTGGGAGTATGGAGAAATAGCATTCTTGCTGTTGTCACAAAATAAGTGTAGAGTTTAGAAGTAATGCCCACAATCAGTAGAAGACAGTATTTGTGAAATATCTATTTTGGACCCAAATTGCTGAATATTAAAAAAAGCAAGATGTCATGCTAAGAAGATGTTTAAAATATTTTAATAGTATTTTTAGATTATATTATTCATGAATCCATTGGCTTTTACATTCCCACTAAATCTCACACTGTCCGGTGCTCATAGGCTAAAAGCCACTCAGTACTTCTCCAACAAATTTTGCTTCTTTTTAGAATTGAACACAGTTATCCACTTTGTCTTTACAGTGCTGTGTGTTTGATGGGTGGTTTATACCCATAAATATCATATTCTGCTCTTCACTCACCATAAAACATAAATCTAGATCACTTGTGTGTATTTTTGTTTTGGGGAAAAACCAGTGGTGTGTGATTGAATAATTGGATTAAATATGGTTACTGTGTTCCAAAATAAATTATTTTCTTGTATGAAGATGTACTTCTTTGAGGTAAGAAAGAAAATCAGTATCTTTTGGCTTAAAGATTATAGATTTTTCTGTACCATTAAATGCTTAAGAGAGGTTTGATGTGAATGTTCTGGAGAAACCTGAGCAGTGGTGATGGGAATCAGACAGCTGAAGCATTTAATGATTCTAAATGCTCCCTTACAGGAAGTTATTACACAAAACTTACACATTTGTTGCCTGATGCCTGAAACATTGTTTTCCAATAGATTTGAGTTTTTTGTATTTTCTAAAATCTAGAAAATTTTGGTGAAGAGATACATGCAGGACGTTGTGAGGCCGAATAGTACCCTTAAAAAACTTTGTTTTTCTGATTTATCGCTATTTTACAATCACCATTATTACATATAAAACTTGTGTAGGTTCACTGGTGGTTTTGGATATTAAAAAAAATGGCTATATTTGTGTTGTCATCATGGCGACCCCTGGTTCCTATTACCACCACTGTAAAGTCTCTACAGTCAACCATTTCACACCAAACCACTCTGCATGACTGTTTACATCTCAACCACTGAATTATGCAGAAAGCCCTTAGCCCTTCTCCTCTGTTTTTGCACGTTCACGCCAGGGGGTAGTGTGTCCTGATTTTTATTTAGATAGAGGGGTTGGGCATTATGGTCCTTTTGTTCATAACAAGCATAAAAAAAAATCACTAGCAGTATGCTAATATCTCCATAGCCAGTCCGCTAAATTTCCTGTTCCTTAAATGGTGCAGCTGTTATATTCTGGTGCCTCACCATTTAGGGTGGAAAGGGAAAATTAGAACAAGAAGCTGGTGAATAGCTGACTTCAGCTTTGTATCACTGAAGAATTAGGGCTGGGTGATAAGGAATAATTATCCACCCCCCCTCTTTGAAGGCATATGATTCCCTGGGATCGGGCCCAAATCCCAAAAAAGAAAACACTGGTGAATGTCAGAATATTTGTAAAAACTACATAAGTGGGTTTTAAGAAGAAATTTCTGAAGAACAGTTGATGAATGAGGCCCAGGAACCTAATAACGGGTGAAGTAACACAGCGGCCATTGCTTTTATTTAAGCCAGAGCTGTGTTCAATTCAGTTAGATTTTTTCCTTAATTTGCTGTATAAGCATCTTTAATTAGCTATTCTTTACTGTTGAGGTGAGGATACAGGACAATAAGCGCACAAGAACGTAAACTGAAATAGTATTTTTATGTGTGGATTGCTATTTGCCAGTGTAGCATTAATTAGCTCTGAAGCTATAATGCTACTGCTAGTTGCATGTATGCTAGCACCTAGAGAACAAGTGTTTTTTGCAGTTCAGCACAACTGTGCTTGTATAGTCTTGTGTATTACTGCCTATAAATACTTTTATTATCTGCAAATTATTTTACTATTATTTATGTATAATCATCCCCCAGAAAGTACCACCAACTTTGTGATTATTAAACAACAGACAACCATTTCTCATATTTTAATTGAAAACAATATCACTAATAGTCTACATCAGAAAAACAACTGGCCTATAAGATGTAAAATGGGTTAACATACTAATAAATTAGGCATTCTCAGTTTCCTAGTGTAACAGGATAATACATCGCAACACTAGCACAATCAGTAGACTTCTCCCTACACACTTATACTGAGTGAGAATATCAATGGTTGGTCATTTGTTGGTCTGTGAACATCACCACTGCATTATGCAGTTTGAGTATACATATATTGACCTGGCCTGAACTTTGATAAGAATACAACTGTCAGGCCTCTAATATCATTTCCTCTACTCTATTATGCTTAATACTGATGCGCTCAAGTCACAGTTAACACTTAACTCTAGCACCAAGTTTCTTTTTTTCTTTTTTCCCCCATCAAATATTTACACAGCAATCCCATATGCACTTGTGTGAGCATGTACTGTTGTATTTGGCCCTACAGTACATTTACCTCTGCTACTGTACGTTGTTCGGTTCTTAACAAACTTCCAGGTCAACACTTTTCTTCATATTCTTCATATTTTCTTCATATATCCAACATTATTCTACTACTTTCTTTCATATACCCCAAAATATCAGCCAGTCTTGTGCATTGGTCCTGCCATCTAAAGAGCTGTGTCCTCAGAACCAAACAGCTTGATTGCTGTCTCTTTGCCATCACAGTTAGGGCCCTTCCCATCAAAGTCTGGGGGAAGGATTTCAGCATCAAAGTCTCTGAAATAGGCATCCAACTCATCACCATGAACAAAAACCTAAATGTGAGATGAAAGTGAAGTTAAAGACATAAAGAAAGTTTACAGATGGGAGACAAAGTAAAGGAAAAATCTAAACAAAGGAGTTGAGAGACGGTTATTGCAGATAATCCTGAGCAGGCCCTGTTGACATCTTTTTTAGATCATAATGGCAAGAAGAAAAGATTTAAGTAAAAGTGTTCATTATTTGGGAATGGATAGCAGGAGCTTCAGTCACAAAGACTGCTCAACTGGCTAGTCTTTCAAAAGGAACAGTGACTAAAATGACATTTGCTTTTAGATCTGTGGGAAAGACATCAGTAAACAGGGTTGGAAACTGTGGTTGAAAGCGAACATTCAGTGCTTGTGCGTTTGTGCAAAAACAGAAGAAGGGCAGCTGTTCCTCAGGTGACTGAGAACATCAGTGCAGGATGTGATCAGATTGTGCCAGCAAGAACATCACATCCACAACTACACAGAGAGAGATATTATACTCAGGCTGCAGTTCATAAACCCCTCATTACAAAGACAGTTCAGTTCAGACGGTTCATATTTGCAAGTTCAGTGGCGCTAAAACCTTCACTGGTCTACAGAGATGTGAACAGTCATGAGGTCAGATGAGTCATCCTAAACCAGGGGTCGGTAACATGCTGCTCCGGAGCCACATGCAGCTCTTTTACTGCCCAGTTGCAGAATCAGATTTTTAGGTAAAAATGAAATAATCCTCCTTTGCAGGATATTTACAGTCAAGATGGTAAAATGGACATAAAATGTTGAGGCTCCCAAGGTGGTGAGATTTTTGTTGAAACTTGCCAAAATGGCTCTTTTTAACATGTGGGTTAGCGACCCCTGTCCTAAATTATCATCTCCACAAGTGGGTGAGTGCATGTGCGGCGTACACCAAGAGAACAGCCAGGCCTAAATGCTTGATGCCTAGTCAGGGGGTCTGGTGGCTGTTATGCTATGGAGAGCATTATGCCAGCATGGTTTAGGTCCCGTGTCACTGCAAATCAGTGGAAAGACATTCTGACGGATCACCTTTATCCTATGATGCAACATCTGGTCTCTTTCAGAACGACAGTGCCCCCATCTACATGGCATGAGGGGTCACTGAATGGTTTGGTGAGTATTAAAATGAGGTAAATCATTTGCTATGGCCTTAACAGTCACCAGATCTCAATCCAGCTGAGCATTGAACCCCTGGGGAGTTTGGACCACCATCATCAAAACACCATTTGAGGGAATATCTTGTGGAAGAATCCTTTGAGTTTAGTGGCTCACCATGGCCCTACACCTTACTAACACAATTTATGTTGTATTTTCCTTTTATTTGTGTGTATGTGGTGAACATTTGCATATTAAAACCAACAAGCAAGTACACTCTGTGTTGTTGTATTAAATTTAATCCCACTCACCCTCTCCAGCAGTTTACTCTTCATGAAGGGTTTGACCACATTGTAAGTGGTTGTGAAGTACCAGGGCTGGTGGATCACATGTACTGCCTTGAAACGTGCAGGGAAGGAGTCCTATATACAGAAAGAGACCATGAAAAAAATTTCTGACGTGACAGTTCATGAGACCAATTACATGAGACCAATTACGCTTTCTTGGATTCCTGGTTACGGATAGCTGTGGCATCCCTGGGATTGAACTTATGATTTCCCAATGATAGGGCTAATGTTTGGATGATTGTGACGCTCGGGACATGCCCATCTTTTTGACACGTTTAACATGAAACGTATGGCTCTGTTTCTGACCTGCAGCATGTCCACCATCTTTTTCAGCTCAGTGTGTTTGATGCCAGAGGCATGCTGCATAGTGAAGCCCTTGAAATTCTCAATGAGGACAAATCCATTGATCTGAGTCTCCTCATTTTCCAGAAGTTTCTCCAGGATGACACAGTATGCACGCAGAGTCTGTAAGACATAAACAGCGTTGCTTAAAAACACTATTACTGTATTGGGAAGGTCCCCTCATCACTATTTCCTACATTGTACAATCATGAGTACTATGAAGAACTATTTGTGGGGACAAAAGTTGTGAGTCAGATAAATGATTTTGTACACTAATATTGGTAAGGTTTGTCCTTCTGCAAGTCACATTCCATGGTATATGCCACAATACATTATGGGTTCTCTTGAGGGTACATTGTACACTACCTCTTGCAGCCCATTGTGAGATTGTAAGAGTGCGCTGGATATCACTATAAAATGGCACCCTCCCAAAACAGTGCACTATGTAGTGCACCACATAGGGTGTGGTTTCAGACAAAGCCTATGTCTTTTACAGCTGCTGCATGCTAGGTGGCCTAAAGGTTTGTAAACTGAGTAATTGACCCACAACAGCCATTGAACAGGTGGGGACTCATCCGGGATTAAGTAAAAATCAAGAGGTCATTTTTATCAGGGCTCAGTTGATTCATTTGAGTCTTAAGGCTATGTTATCAATACTAGTTGCCAGTGACAGTGCCACTTTTCATACATACCTCATCAAACGTGACCTCTTCCAAATCCCAGTTCTCTATGTTGAACAGTAGCACCACACGGCCGTATTTGTCCCGAGTGGAGAGGATCCGTGGGTAGCCAGCCTCAATGGTACTGCGGACTGCTTCCGGGGTCATATCCTCAAAAAGCTCGGGGTAGTCCCTTCTGAAACGTACATAACCTGACAGAAAAGATGAACATTTTGTACCAACTGATAAAGAAAAAGATGCCAGCATGAATCGTTTTCCTTGTCAAGATTTTGCATGGTTAGCAAAGAAAAACACAAAAGACACAAAAGCATCACTGTCTTGCCTGATCTTGTGGCTTAGCACAGTCTGTAATGGACCAATTAACCTCTCCGGCAAGTGCGCATTCACATGGCATTCCGTTCACACTGGTGCAAAGGGCAGTGAAGTGTGGCTTGCACGTCTTTCTGGGGACAACCATGCATACCTATGCAGAACACCATAGCCTCCAGTGTGTGTGAAAGGCCCAGTGCATCAAAGCACATCCTGTCTGCCTGGTCCTAACTATCCCACAGGCTTTTGTGAAAATAAACTTGCCCCATTTGCACACAAAGAGCCTCTATGAAAGCATTTAGAAAGCCCCAATTAAGGCGAAGCATTTCTTTCTGCCCAAGTGATGAACAGCACCCAGAGATGCATAGTGGGACACAAAGAAGGTTTAGAGGCTCATAACTGCAGTCTGTTTCATCCCTTTACTTCAGGGGTTACATACCAGATAATCAAAACAAAAAGACAGAGACATTTTCTTCCCACAAACTACACCCCTTCTCAGTAGCAGACAGCATATTCCTTTTAGCACTCATTTTACTTTTGCCAGTTTATTATATAGGTACACTTTGGTGTGTACGCAATTACTGACAGTAACCCATCTGTTGTGGCACAATTCATAAGCCACTCTCTATCCTGTTCATCAATGGAAAGGGACCATCATAGGACCACAATTGACCAGATATTATTTGGGTGATGCACCATCCCCATCACAGCAGTGACACCAACATGATAATGGCATATTAACCTGTTGTTTAGGGGTGGATGTGAACAAAAGGACAAGAAATAATCCAGGTACCCTTCAGAAGCTCGTGTGCCCTGGCCACGTCAAATTTCCGAGCACGGATGAATCTCAGAAGCAGAGAGTCCGGTTTGTCCCCAAATTTTTCCCGCACGTCCACAGACAGGTCATCCCCTTCTCCAGCCTTCTCCTTGATCAGGGACCTCAGCTCCTTCACAGAAGACACTTTCTTCTCTTCTGTCTCATTCAACTCATCCTTTGCCTATTGGTGAAAAAGGTACAGTGGGGTAAAGAGGGTCCAATGGAGCCATCATGACTACTATGATAAAAATGAAAGAACGAAAAGCTTCAGGTTCGACTACCACTGGCAGGTTTTGGTGACATGAGTAGGCAAACCAATGACTTTATAGCAAATAGGATCTTGCTATGATAGCCCATGAATTACCTTTTGTACCGTATGGTCGGGTAGCTTCTTACAAGGCCCAAAGACTGGCCCATGATCCTTCACAGTCAAGTGCTCCAGCTTGGACCGCAGGGCTTGCTCTTCCTCCGACACCATGCGGAAAGTTCCGGTCTGAGTGACCAACAAAGAGAGGCAAACTATTACACAAGACAAACGTTCAAAGAAAACTAATCCCATGTTTGCTGGTCTGCAATCTGAGGACAGTAACCCACTAAACCCCCCACTTTACTCCCACCCTGCCCAATCATGCAGGTCAGTGACTGGCTTATAATCTTTTTCACAAGACCCTGTGAATCTCACAGGAACACCCAAGCAGGTTCATTGTACTGAATTGAATTGTATTGGTTCATTGTAGTGATTTCTAAATCCTGACGACTTTCCTGCACAGTTCATGTTTTTCCTGCTCTAACAAAACTACTTTAACACAGGAAGGGCTAATTAGTTGGTTAGTTTGACCAGGTGGGAGGCTAGAGGAGGGATTAGATTTTTGAATCACTACTATAGAAAACTCCAGCAGCATAATTATCAACAACATCAGTATGTATAATTGTACAAATGAGACATATGAACATCAAACTTACAGAAGCCATGATGTCCAGATCTTTCAACAGCCAGACACTGAAAACAAAGAGGTTGAAAAATTGTCACATTTGTCATTAGCATGATCTTACAGTACCTGGTCATTTTGAAGGTTCAATTACTGTATTACATTGGTCATTAGACAGTTGGCCCACTTATCCGGTCAGTGGATAGGGTCTCTAAGCAGGTTTCTTTTCTCAGGAAATCCAAAGGAATAGTTAATAAGCTAATACATATAAGAGTAGGAAAGGCTTTATGTTAATCCTGTTTCATGGCTCTTTTCTGATCTGTAGGACCACAGGACCCATGTGGAGTTAAGCCTCTCAGTGTAACAAGGGCATAATGGCTTGTTTTTACAGCAGTTTCCAGGTGTTATAGTTAAGGAGCGGCATCAAAGATGGATACAAAAAGTTATTTTACTTAAAGCCACAAATTCCCCTATAAATCCTAAGCTTCACTTATAGTTTTACCAAACTAAACAATAGTAAGATCCTCAAATGGTGCGTCACTGTATCACCATTTAACAGGCCCAATAGGAACTCAGAGCAAAATGACCTCACTACTAGCAAAAAATCTGCAAAATCATGACCTTAAAAGTATATTAATAAATTATAAATATGAAATGCATCTTTCCAAAACACTAAATCATGTTTACACACAAACACTGGAAAAACACCTGTCATGTCTTAAATGTCAGTAATACCATTAAAACACAAATACATTTACAAATACTACACAATGTACAATCTCAGGGTCACAGTGCCTTACCTTAGCCACTGGTCAGGGAGAGCTGCGATAGCCGGACTGAGGAGTAAGAGAGGGCAGTGGGACAACAAGGCACTCAGAGGAGGGGGCTATGGAGGGAAGGGGTGGTCTTTGAGCAGAATGATGTGAAGTGTCACTCACTGAGGGACTGACCTGCTACAGCATGGAATTCAGGAATGCTTTGTCTAATTTGCATAATAAAACTGTTTGCAGGCCAGCAGAGGCAACAACAGAACATCATGAGGTAGATGAGAGAGAGAGAGCGAGAGTGAGTGCAAGAGAGAGAGAGAGAGAGAGAGAGAGAGAGAGAGAGAGAGAGAGAGAGAGAGAGAGAGAGAGAGAGAGATTTGGGTGCTAAATGAAGACTGGAGAACAGATTAGTATTATGAACCACAGAGTTGTAAACACAGTGGCATTTAATTTGTTTTTGTGATGAAAATAAAAGATGTACATGAAAATGTGTCATTTAGGCTTGGATGCTTTGCCGAGCTCACTTGAGACATTCGATGATAGTACTTTACGTCAGTGAGTTTATGTCACTGAATACATACAGTACACAATGAGTAAGAACTACCATGTCACTGCCAGTCAAAGTCCTGCCAAATTCGTCCCGGTACCTTTGACTTTTAAATGATTTCATAGTGCTACTTTAAAGTGAGGATTTGGCCAAAAAATAATTCCAAAAAAATGTCCCCTTCCCCCAAATGAAATGAATAAGTGACGAAAGCACAAAGTCAACGGCGGTCTTTATACTAGGCAGAGGTAGGCATCCGCCTTGGACTCTCATGATCCAAGGGCCCCATGAAAATGCAAATTAGATATAGTGTATGAGTTGAAGTTAAATAACCTATACTGAAATATATATAGTTTAACAAAAGCTGTTATTTGTGATCTACTATTATTAATTAGTTATTAGTTGTTGTTATTGGTAATACTATTATTTATTATCACTATTTATTGGTGAATCATTGTTTGTTTCGAGCATATTTCTTAAAACAAGCAAAATTATCTGCCAGTATTGCGATCTAATTTTACTTAATAAAATTATTTTACTAAAAAGTGTAGAAATCAGTTAAGGGCCCATATCATGGTTATGATAACTTTCACTTGCTTTTTGGAAATTAAAGAGATTACTGGAGTTTGTAAACACTGTTAAATGTCCAAAACATGCCATTCACTCCCCAGCTCATACAGTCCATACACGGAAACTAAGCTGCAAAAACAGCCTGTTTTGAATTCATTCCTTTGATGTCATGAAAAAGCATTATGACTGTTTTTGCTCCATAAAACCAAATCAATGTTATAAGCAAACCTCAGAAAAAATGTAATATTATAGTATTATTATACCATTCTTACAACAATCTAAAAATGAGAAATATCGGATGTATCGTCTATTTTAATATACGCCGATTTCACTTGTCAGTGTATCATTTTTGCACAGTTCTGCAAGGGTGCACAACTCGGGACCCCCAAACTACTTTCAAAATGTGCATTCAAGGAGTCCCATTTCCTGATTTTGCCAAGAGCCCCTGCCTACAGCCACCAGTTCAGCAAATTAGCATAGCATTTTAGCTAACAATGTCAAACAGAGTCAGAAACTACACAAGCAAGAAATCACATAGGCACGTGTGATGATTTAGGCATGCAGTTCACACACTCTTGAACTAGAAAGTATAGTGGTGTAGCTTCCATTACTTGTAAGCCACATTAGCATCATAGCTACAAGGCAAAACTGTAGGCCTAATAAATGAAAACCAAACATTTACTGATTGAATGAATTTGTGGTAAAAGGCAAAGAGTCTAAATCTCATTTCTGATTGACCCATCACTTTCAGCTACAGTCTTAAAGGGCAGTTTATTGAGTGGGCAGGGTCAGGTGAACAGCTGAGGCCAAACTAGCACTGTACAACCCTCTGCGAGTTCAGGCATGTGAGTAAGAAGTGAATAATGAGCTGTAAATAAAGAAGCCACCCAGAACTCCTGCTGCTCTGATGAACTCAGACAGATGGTAAACCCCACTGTAGCGTGGCTTCAGTTTTATTTTTAAATTATATAACCATTTACTGAAAAAATACCCCCTCATATCATTTCTCTTTTCACTGAAGCGTGAGGCATCTTTTGCTTCTAGAACTGAGACAGTTGTGATCGATAAAAATCAGATACCTTGCATAATAATCATGAAACGCATGGAAAGCAGACTTTTATGAATCGTTTTGGCTGTAATTAAAATTGAACAAAACCAAAAATGACCACAGGAAAAAATTCCAGCGCTTCAGTGTCAACAATGCCATCAGGTTGTCTGTAGCTTTTTATCTTTAGTGACACATTGGGTAGATATCAAAACTCGAATTCTTGCCTCCTCAATTCCTTTCACACAATATCTGTCTTTAAAGACTAGTGATGAATATCAATACTTTAAAAACTACTAAGCTTTGAAATGTGCAATTTTTAATTAAAGCACTCAAGATGAACATGTAAAAGTAACCCAACAATCTCAAACTACTAAAACACTCTACTACCCCACAAGAAGAACTACACAGCCATCATGACAGCGTGATGCAAAAGTTTGGACACCCCCGGTCACATAATGTTTGGTTGATTTTCTAAGTGCCATATTTAAGCATTTTCTGCAGAGAACTCACCAAAATATGACATTTTCCTGCAAATTTTAGTGCAAAAACAAAAGATCAAATGTGCCATAACTTGTGCACAGGCCACTTTTTATGTTTCATTTTACCCCCAATGTTAAATTTAGCAAATAAACAGTAATTTTGCATTAAAACGCACAGAACTGTGTTGTCTGTAGATGTGTTAACTTATTTACACTTAGAAAATCAACAGAACGTTATTTGTTATTTTACCAGGGGCGCACAAACTTTTGTCAAGTCTAAAATTATACAACTGGTATAATTTTTCTGTAGATGGTTACAGTAAACAGCATGGCACTGGGAAAGGACGTTATGAGTTAAGTACTGGCACAGCTTTCTAGGTGTTGGCCAGGTCATTAAGAGATTCCAAGTTCAATTTCTGGTGATGCCACAGCTGTCCATGGCCACAAAAGAGAGGATAGTTGGCCTCGGCTTCTCTGAGTTAGTAGGATGGTCCACCCTCTTCCACCATCACTCAGTGCAATGCAAGCCAACATGGGCTTGTCTTGACAGAATTGACAGCTAGCATTCTCCTCCAAACATGTTGAGCTGTCTAATGATGTCATTTTGTGTAACCTTCACCATACCAGCTTGGCAGGATTGTGCGATAGTGAATGTGCAATCAAAATGACTAAATTAGGAAGAAAACTGGGAATAATTTCAGAAAAAATGTTGATGGAAAAATGTAGTTGGATTTCAATAAAGCATGCTCTTATAACAAGTCCTTTGAGCCCAGTAACAGGTAAAGAAAGTAATAAGTAAGGCCATCTGATTTGGTTTGATGTCAATTCCTCTGTCCTCATATCTTATCCTTGCATCTTTTCCTTGACACCTCAGAGGGAGGAGCAAAAAGAAATGAAGAAGCACAATTAGACATATGAGAAGCACTTGATGTTTACACAGGGATATTTTTGGCTACTAACAGCGCATTTAAACCCATATGACCAAAGGCAGAAAAAATAAAGAGTGGAAGGATTTGTAATTAGCATCTTCCTATGCGGAAAGTGCTGTTCATGCTTATTTCAGAACATCCCCAAAGTTCCTCACATGCTCATTTACAAAAGTTTGGTCACCCTTTGCCAAAATACATGTTCTGCTGTACTTTAATTTTAATGCACTTTTTTAATGCATTTTAATGCACAACTACAGTTTATGCTGAATTTAATATACTAGATAAAGCATAAAATGTGCTGAAGTTCTGGCACATTTTATATTTTATGCTTTGTATTTTAATATATGAAACTTTGTGGGAGAAAAAAATGTCCTATCTGTGTTCTCTGTAGAGGATGTGTTCACTTATTTTCCCTTAGAAAATCAACAAAACGTCATTTGAACAGGGGCGCCCAAACTTTTGCATACAACTGTATATATTTGAAATGCAAACCAACAATGTTTTCCTCCAGAGTGGATTCAGTGATTATGTAAACTATAAAATTCAACAATTCTCAATCCAGTTTGTATGTCCGGTTGATAAAAATGTCTGAATGGACTGCATACGTATATTTATGCAAGCTATCTTTTAATCAAAGGCACTACAGATTGAGCAACATCACTTGTGTCAGAATATTAACATGTTCATCACAAAATGACAGCTTTTTAGACCTGAACAGTCTCGTACACGTTGAAATCTAAACATGCTTTAACTGCATGACAAACACCAGAACATATAAATATGCTGCAGATCAATGGAGGTCAGAACAATATTGTGCACCGTGCAACAGTGTTTAACAGAGTCTCTGCAGCAAATACTTCAAGACTTCAAGTCTCTGATCAAATATTATGACATAAGTAAACATAAAAACGGCATGTCAGTTGTCGTATTTGAGCATCAAGTAAAGCATTAGTAGTTAAATGTTAATAATATGATACTAAAATCTCAAGACTTCAAAGGGGTTTTCCATATCAAATAAAACCTGCATAAATGGTTAATTTGCAAAGAAAAAAAGCCATTCAAAGTGGTTTGATGTGAAATCCTCCGCTCTAAAATCTGAATTGTTCACAGTGGTGATGATAGGAACCATAGGAACGTCCACCTCTAAAAGAAAGTTATTACATGAAATGATCATAAATACATTGCCTGATGCCTGAGACATTGTTTTATTTTTTAAGTATTTTGTATTTTATGTATTTTTAAAATACATTAGTGGCAAAGAAATACATGCAGGGTGTTGTCAATAGTTCCCCCAAATTATTTTTTTTCAGATTTACCACTATTTAATATTCAATATTACATATAAAAACACAGAAAACATCATATGTTCACTTTGGATGGTAAATAACATGGTTATATCTGTGCTGCAGACATCATGACCTCTGGTTCCTATCACCACCACTGTTACAGAAAAAAGAAAAAAAAAGTCAGCAAGTTTGTTTGAAATGCACTAAACCACTCTGAACGATTTTGTTTACATCTCAACGCTTGAATTACGCAGATATTTTGAAAAATCGGCTAATTCCCCTTTAAAGACTGCCTTACAGCCCTGGACTGATTACACTATAAAATCATAACCTGCACTGCATCCTTACTCAGTGAATCTTGTCAGAGTGTACTGAAATATTGAAATGTGTCAGTTTGCATTAAAATTATATTTTTGATTAAAAAAAAACAAAACAAAAGTTCATATCCCCTTTTTAAGGTAAACAGTGTGTTGCACTTTTGGCTGGTCTATGGCACTTTGTTATGGTGTAAAATGAACTGCTGTCACTTTAAAGCAAGTCTATTTAATTTGGTCTCTGTCAGTTTTAAAAAACTTCTTAAATCCGTCAACTGGATAAAAATGCTTCTTGCCTTTTAAGCATTTATCAAATCCCAGGAAGCCATCTGCACAACATGCGCAGTGTTCTGAAGTGAGGTCCTTAAGCTTCATATTAAATGTCTGTGGGTCAGCGTGTTGGGACAGCAGCAAAAAAGTCTCTCAGCCCAGAAAACATAGACTAGCCATAATTGAGAAGCCTACTAAGATGAAGAGGACTTTAAGGAGCTGTCTCTCTGGAGAGTTGAGTTCATGAGGGAGGATCTCCAGGAAGGTGATATAGACGAACGTTCCTGCAGCCAGGCCTTCAAGAACTGCCTGGATTAGTGCACCTGCCTGGACCTGGGCTTCACTCACTCCGATGCCCACCCCGATGCCAATCGGTGACATTATGGCAAAAATACTGACGTAGATGGCCACCCATAAGGGGGGAACTGCACTCTGTACCAGCTTCACTGACAGGCTGAAGACGATGATGCTCTTGTGAACCAGGATGGCGATGCAGATCTCCAGCACCTAGATGAAAAAAAAAGAAAAAAAAAGTGTGGCTTGCTCATCAGTATTTTACCCACATGTCTGATTACTAAGAATTCACTGAAAGAGGAAGGAAACATAAATGATCTGACTATGAGATATACATGTGTTTCTGTTCAAGACTTTGCACTGGATTTATGTAGCACTGACTACATGCTAGATGAGCACTGTTGTATCAAAACCCTGTGACAATGGAAACTTTACAGGAGAAAGGAACATTTTTAATCAAAGTTTCAGCTAGGAATTGTTTGTTCCTGGTTAAGTGTTTGCTGGACCAATAAGTCAAATTCTGGTCATACGTTATATATGCAAAAGTAGTGCAGAACACAATAATAAAAATACAATTCTATTCTAAAGAAATCATTTATTGACGTGGCTTTTAGCAGTGTTTTATTTTCTCTGTTTTCCGACAAAGGGCCAGATTTACCAAAAATAACACTAATTACTGACAGCCTACAGACACCTTGGGTCTGTAGGTTTGGCTAATTTAGCAGCTTATCTACTAAGAATTTTCATGCAAATGGATACAGGTGCATATCCAAGATTAACACAGGCTGTTTCCACCAGGTAGGAAACTACAGCACTATATAGTATATAAAAAAGTAGTGCACCACCATTTGAATGCACCATTCTTTACTGTAATATGTGACATACAGAAGTGTGCAGTTTTGGGACACAGCCAAAATGTTTTTATCCTCTGATTCTGGTTCAAATTTTAACAACTTAGCCTAAACTAATGACTTATTTTCTAGATATTTTGATTTGGTAGGTCCAAATAATGACTAATGTGCGATTATTATGACATGATACAACATTATTTTGAGAAAATGATATTATATTTATTATTAAAAATTTAGACAATAAGTAATTGTTTTGACTTTGTTTCAAAACACGTTTGTTTGGAGGTTTAAGCTGAACCAGACTTCTGTGTCGAGTGTATTTGGAATTCGTGCAATACCTCTGTTTAATCTGACGGAGAGCTCCCTGATCAATTAGGTACTGTATGATTTGAACATGTGGTGTGAAATATACCTATAGCTTTAGGACACACAAGTTTCAAACAGCAGCAAGCTTTTACAAAACTGTTTGTCTTTCTGCTGAAGTTGAAAATAAAAACGTGTGATAAACTCTCTTTTCTCTTTCAGCAACAACAATGGCAGCTACGTTACCACAAAAAATAAGATAAGCTTTTCCCAGGCGTTAAATAACTCACAGTCAGTATTTAATATCAGACTTAGTAAACCTGAATAAGTGCTTCATTGTAATAATCTCCTCCCAGTATTCTGTGCTTTGAGAGGGAAACTCCTATAAAGGCATATGCAATGAGACAAAAGTGCACAACAGCAGCTCCTCCCCTGTCATTTTGTTACAGGCACTAAAGAGCTGCTGCCTCTTATCAGTAAATTGCAACAGCCACTTTTTAATGCCAAAACAAGGTTTATGATGGTGCGAAATGTTAGTAAATCTGCCCCTAAAGTCAAATGTTTCTAAAGTTTTTCAGGATCTTAAGATTTACTTGAGTTTTACCCTGAAAACATACTACTCTTTCTCCTCCAGCACTCCTAAAGCCAGTTTTAAACCAGTGCGACCCACGAACGGCAAACCAGAGAGCATTTTTCAGTTCACATCAGTGTCACACAATTCTGTGTTTTATTGCAAATGATAACAAACGTCTTTATTGACCATCAGATCAGTATAAACATGTGATGATATTTGTAAATAATCAAACAAAGGTTATACAATTGCATGCAAAAGTTTGGGAGCCCCTGGTAAAATTACGAGCTTTGCTGATTTTCTAAGTGTAAATAAGTGAACACATTATCTACAGAGAACATACTTCTACACAGTTACTGTTTATTTGCTGAATTTAACATACTGGGCAAAAAAATAAATAAAACGTAAAATGTAGCCTGTGAAATAAATGATAGCAAATTTTATATTTGATGTTTTTGCAATATGTTAAACTCAGCAAACAAATAGAAACTGTACACTAAATTGAACCTTGGCATAATTAAACTTGTTTCCTGTATAAGAGAAGAGGTTAGCTTAATTTTACTTACAAAATCAACAAAACGTCATGTGACCAGGGTGTTCAAACTTTTGCATATGTCTTTGTAAACGAAATTTCAGCATAACTATAATAGCTGACTGAACAAATACAAGCTAACATACGATGACTTCTAAACAGCTTATCTACTGGCCATTTTTTTAACCCAATGTTATCTCCTTCAGCATGTTCCTACATTCATGACAAAATATATGCATTTCTTATAGAAACAAAATGTTGTATGTGATGATTAAGTTAAAATAAACCAAACAGAAGCTTTAAGCAAAATGTCCCAATTTGCAGTCCTTCAGTAGCTCCCAGTGAGGAGTGTTAGATAATAACTGAACTGAAAAGTGGTTAAATGGTGGTGGTTTGTGGGCGGTCTTTTATCTACAGAACAGCAGATGGACGTGCCACCACAGGATTTTATTTACTGAAAATTTTATATGGGCTTGGTGAATATTTTTACTGGTCATTTACTGGTCTTACAGAGTTTTTATGACAGATACCAGCACTGACCCTGCATTTAGCAGAGGTTAATGTAACAAGATTTTATTAATACTTTTTCAATAGAATTAGAATTCAGAATCATTGACCTATTGCGCTTGCACACAGAGGAATCTGACCTCCACACTTAGCCCATCCATGCAGGGAAAGACCCACATACACACACTAGCAAACACACAATGGGGAGCAGCGAGCACACTTGCCTGGAGCGGTGGTCAGCCTTATCCACAGTGCCTGGGGCACAGATGGAGGTTAGGTGCCTTGCTCAAGGGCATTTCAGTCATGTCCTGTTGACTCAGGGGATCGTACTGGTGACCTTATGTTCCCTAACATCCAGCCCACGACTTTGGACTGTTTATGCGTAACCATTTGTCATGAAATCGTCACAGAATGTAAAGAGCAGCTGGTATTTTTCAAAGGAAACGTTTGGACAAGACAGCAATGACTGGCACTCAGGGTTTGTGAGCAGAGTGGAAAATGTAGAGCAACCTTCGAGAATGACTCATTAAGGTCAGCGTAACCCTACAGATAAAGCCCAAAATGAAGCACATGACCAAGCTACAGAAAATAGACTCTTTCACTTCTACTCACGCAAAAGCTCCTTTAGGTAAAACATGAACATGTTTCTGCAGGAGAGACATTAAAGAGTGGGTTTATGGAGTCTACAGCTAGTCACATGATGTCCAAAAGTCCCAGCACAGATCAGTAGCTATGTTAGGTTTGAAGGTGATACTGCTAAGCTGAAGTTATGCTATAATTCTTTGAACCTGAGCAGGGATCTCATAAAAATGCCTATAAAGCTCACACATGAGTTTGCATGTAACGAAAATGTGCAGAACACAGGTCAAACTCCAACTGTGGAGGTCACAATTCTGCATAATGTCTGAAGTTTCACAGCTTTTTCAGACTAGATGAGCTAATTATGAGAAGAGCAACGCTGAACTTTGATAGTAAATATCTAATTGACCTATTCATGCTCCTCCCACAATTTAATTCTACCTGTTGCTGAGGTTGATAAAGCTTTATAAAACTTTGACAAACATTTTGATGAGAAATTCCTAATAAGAAACTGTAGAACATCCTTGTTAGGAGTCATTACATAATGTTCAGTTTCCAGTTTAAAACGCTACAATACTGAGCTATAACCTAACATAATGTAAAGTTGTTATAATTGAAACTAGGCAACTATACTACTATGCCCAATTACACAAAACAAAACAAAAATACACAACCAATCTATTCTAAAAGTGAGAGCTTTCACATTCATACATACATACATATAGTTTCTAAATGTCATTTTTAATAGCAGTAATGCATTCTTGTTTTTATGTTTTGGGAATTTCTGTGGGAAATTCCACTCATTTTCTAAATGTCTGCATAATTACATGGTCAACATGTAAGCAAAGTCATTTAGAATGATTTAATATGAACTGTTTAGAAAAACTTGCAGAATCAGAATTGGTCACAGTGGTGGTGATAGGAACCAGATGTCTGAAGTTTAATGCCTCTAAAAGCTCTCTCACAGAAAGCTGGTTATGAATTTGATGCCTGAGACATTGTTTTACAGTAGTTTTGAGAGGGTTTAGCCTACTTTTTAAAATGTACTCATGTTAAAGAGGTACATGCAGGGTGCAAGGTAAAATGTACTCCCCAAAGAATACTTATTTTTTTTTTATTTAACACTACTTTACCATCATCAACATTACATAAAAAAACACAAGACACACATAGGTTCACTGGTTATTTTGAACTATAAAATATGTGCTATGTGCTATATTAGACATCGTGACTCCTGGTTCCTATCACCACCACTGTGCAGAAATTCAAGCTGGTAAGTTTTTCTACAAACCATTTTCACACCAAACTGCTCTGAACGACTTTGTTTACATCTTAATGACTGAAATATACAGAAATTTTGAACATTTTTTTAAAAACAGTGAAAAGTGACATCTGTGTCTTAGAAAAACTCAGCATGAAGCTTTTACCTTTGCGTCTGTAGCTTGTAATCCAATGGCCAAACCTTCAAACACTGAGTGCAGGGAGAGAGACAGAAACAGCATGAAGGAGCGGAAGGAGGAATGGGCCTGCAGATCCACATGGACGTGTTGGGCGCTGCCCTCCAAATCGTTCACAGAGCGATGTCCATGAGCATGTCCATGGCCCATTGGGGGCAGCAGAGGTGTAGTTTCCTCACTTCCGTGGCCAGTGCAGCTGAGCACGAGCCTCTCCAGGATCAGGACGGTGAAGAAGCCACATGCCATAATGAACTCCGCCACAGGGTAACTACTCTGTTGAAACAAGAAAAACAAGATTAGGGAAGCTCCCTGGGTGAGTTTCAGAGACCTGGAAACAACAGTCAATTGTGTATCCAAGTTAACTCACATCCAGCCCCTGCAGTTGCCCGCTTATGTCAGACAGGTAATCTGGGATAATGTCCAAGAAACAGGCAGCCAGGAACACACCGCCCGCAAAACAGCTGATAAAACTCAGCACTATTTGATGGGTTTCTGAAAGAGAAAAGCAACACAACAAATCAGAGAGAATGAAAAATGCTGCTGTTGCAGCACAATTTTCGAAATCAAATTCAATGCTTTTAAATGTCTCTTCTATTTAAATATCTCTATCTATTTAAAGACCTCAACAAATGAACAATATCATTTTCACCACACAGCAACAAACACAAACTGAAATATGGCATGTACTCATATCTTTATATTTTATTCTTTATTCAAAAAGACTGGTTGACAATTAAATGTTGATATATGTTTCGAGATACATTATACAATATGTCCTAACTTTATGACCTGTCTGTAATGCATTTTAAGCTGCTATCGGTATGAAAAGTGCTCTGTATATAAAGGTATTACTTTTATTATCATTATTATTGTTAGTTGTTGTAGCTGGGGAGCCCTCTTATCAATTTCCTAATATAGCTCCACAAACTGTTCTCTCCTTCTTTTCATGGCCTTTTATATTGCCTGGATGTGGCCTGGATATTTCTGTTTGCCAGACAGTTCTAAACAAGGCTGATTTACAATGTGACTCTTTTCAACCTGGTCTTAGACATTACCTTATATTTTAATACTTTAATAGTAAAACTTTTTCCAGACATTTAAATTTTTTATCCTGAGATGTATCCTGAGATGTTTTTTTTTAATTCAAAGTATTACCATCCTTGCTAATAATCTGATTTCTGCACAACAACATTGTTAACATCCAGTGGTTTTCCATGTAAGATTGGTTGGAAACCAAAATATGGTCAAACTGGTGCATTATAATTCATTAAGTAACATTAGAAGCAAGCTTAGATGGTGATATTACCCTCACAGAAAATGCTAAACTTTCACAAGTGGTACTTCAGAACTGAATTTGGATCATGATGATCTTGTTTATTTTGAAAACTGTTTGTCTGAACTTGTTATTTTCCAAGCTTATTGCTTACTCAGTGTAATTTTGGTTCTGCTACACCAGCACATGCTGCTTCTTTTCTTTAAGTAAAAGCTGTGAACATGAGTTTCAGTTCCATAAATGAGTTTTCTTTGAGCTGGCAGGAATGCATGCTTTAGGGCAGTACGTAGACTTTCATAATCAGGTGACTCAAAGTTCTGTATATCCACAAGGCAAAGGCCTGAGAGAATGATCACTAACCACCAGGGATTAAGAGCTGGCCCGCAAGATAAAGAAATCATTCAAGATCAAATAACATCCTCTAGTTTAGGCTTAGAGAGCAATTTCTCTTCTATAAGCAAACCTGTCAGTTGCTGGAGGGCAAGAGATTTTTTGACAACAGCTGCTTGTTTTCAGTGTCAACAGACAGACAAGCAAAGTTCACTGATAACCATGGCAGTTAAGTGTAAAAAGCCCAGTCTAATCACAGAAAGAGAGGGAGGAGCTAGAGATGAGTATCCTAGAGACATACTGAATTAAGCTTCGTTACTTCAACGACATAACATCTCAGGGAGAAGTAGCTAAAAAAATCTACCTGAATAAAAAGTACCAGGTCAAAAAACACCTGATGTATTGAGTTCCCCATAGAAATACACTGGAACTTCTGAGTACATCCAGCATCTATCAGCATAGGAACTGACGTTTGTTAGGCTCTATTCTTCTCTTTTTTGGGATCCTCCTGTTCTAAAATAAAATAGATATGATGTATATATGTAAGCTTTGTTCGATTTAGAACTTATAGTTCCATACTTACATGCTTAAATGGTTCTTTGCATGGTGAAATGGTTCTTCAGATTGACAGAGAATGTGTTGTATATGGTTCTGTCCAGAACCTTTTTGAAAATGCCTCTAAATAGCATCAAAAAGTGATCTATTGTTTCGATGTGAAGCTTGTAACCCTTTTTTGGTTCTATACAGAACCATAGAACCATTTTCAAAGAAGTTCTATATAAACCCATATACAACACTCTCCGTCAGTCTGACAAACCATTCTCCATCAGTCTGAAGAACCATTCTCCATCAGTCTGAAGAACCATTCTCCATCAGTCTGAAGAACCATTTCATCATACAAAGAACCATCTAAGCATAAAATGGTTCTATATAGAACACATGGTCCTAAACAGAACCATTCCCTGTACTAAAGAACCCTTGAAGAACCCATTTTTTTAAGAGTGTAAATGTGAAGGACTGACATGGGACCCAATAAAAGCAAATTTGTTTCCTTACAAATATACTTCACTATAAGGATTATCATTTCAAAATACTCAGAGAAATGTAAATACATCAAGACTCACTACACGAAGCTTATTTCAGCTTGTTATTCGAATTTTCCGTTCCACCTTAAATTACTAGTTTCATTGAGGCGCCTGTACCGCGCCGCTATCACGCTATTTAAGGTGGAACGATAGTTCGAATAAGAATCTGGCGAATATTAAACCAACTTCAGCCTTGATTTTATAAACACACGGCAGTGATAGCAGTCATTTGCATTAGCAGGCAGCACTCTAGGCTCCTGGGCTGGAGAGTTAAAGTCTAGTCTTACCCGTTCCACTTGTTTCTCGGAACCATTTCATCCGAGCAGGGATGAACCCAAAGAGGAGAGTGAGAAGCAACAAGCCGACGAGGGCGCCTATTTTGACCTGCAGAAGATAGTCCATCTCCTTCAGCTCGACAACCTACAGAACCTACAGAACCTGCTAGTAAACAAACCGGGGGTTGGTGAAGTCTCTCCTAAATCACCCTAAAACGACTTTTAAAAACCAACCGGTCAGCTGGTGTCCCCAGCGTTAATAAGGCTGCTTTTGTTTATGAAAGAAGGCCTTAAAAGAAGCTTGGCTGCTCATTTTCGGTGTTTCTCTGAGAGGCTGCTGCTGAGGTCCATGTTGCTCTCCACATTCCAGTTTAGCTCCTCCCTGTGACGTAGGGTCACGCTGTGTTGAGGCATTTTTTCCCCACCTGTATTCCGACAAGCCCCACCTCCCGCGCTAGGATTGACTAGTTCAAGCTCAGAAATCAGAGTCAGGTAGATGAGATATATATATGTGTGTGTGTATATATATAATGTCAAGGCCACTTTATTTACTATCCAAAACCACCAGTGAACTTGCACGTGTCTTCTGAGTTTATATATAACTTTGATGATAGTAAAATAGCAGCGAATCTAATATAATATGTACTATTTTGCTTGCAAGTACCTAAATTGACGTTTTAGACCAAAACCTTCTCCCAAAATGAATATAAAACAATGTCTCAGGCATCAGGCAGCATATTCATAATAAACTCATGTAATAACTTTCTGTCAGGGCGCTTTCAGGCGGACGTCTGGTTCCTATCACCTCCACTGTGAACAATTCTGTTCCAGTAAGTTTATCTACAGACAGACACCAAACCACTGGTGTTTCGAACCAAACCACTCTGAATGAACTCAACTGCATGGAGTTCCCCTTTAATGTTTGATATTTTGGGCCATAATGTGATAAATTTGGATCACAATGCTTGAAGAAGTTCATTTGTTTTGTTTTATTTTGTGTGAGTTTTATTTCTTTTCAGCAGCAAGAAACATTGCATTCCCCCAGCTCTCCCTAGTGTCAACTGTCTGTCGTTACATTTATTTTAAAGAATTTGAAACAAATAGTAGTTAGCCCATCAAAGAGCTGTATCCCAATGAGTACAGCTTATTTTTGCACAACTTTTGTGGCTTTTAACATTTTAAGTACTTTTGGTAACAAAATAAACCATCTTGAAATGAACATGAAATGAACACATCACTGTGCCAAAGGAAATTATACAGGCCCAAGATGTGATAGTTGTCTATAAATTAATGTAATGTATCAAAACTCGATTTGACACCAAATTTGCTTCTTTATTTACATTCTGTTTAGTCTTTGTGGCGACCTTTGCCCCCCAAGACAAAACATTTTGACAACCCTGTTACAGAAGGACAGTTTGGAATCAGGTTTGGGTCACTGTTTTGTTGATTTTCTAAGTGAAAATAAGTTAACACATTCACATAACACATAACCTCCTCTTCTGCACATTCTGATGCACGATTACTGATTATTTGCTGCATTTAACACATTGGAAAAAACTAGAACATAAAATGTGGCCTAAGAAAAGTAACAGGTTTTATTTATTTTCTTCAAACATGTTAAACACAGCATATACATAGTAATTGTGCGTTAATATTTGCAGAAAAGTGTAATATTAAAGCCTGTTCTCTGTCGAGGATGTATTCATTTAGTTTCACTTAGAAAACAAACAAAACATATAATTTCAAACTTTTTCGCACAACTGTATTTCTGAGTCTGGTGCTCTTGTCCTGCACATAATCTTTAACTCCTCAGCTCCTTCATGTGGTTAAAATAAGTCAGAACAGGGAAACAAAGGGCTGAATTGATCAAAGCCGGAAAACAGACCGTAGTGAATCTGCACGATGAACTACTATTATGAAAAAGTCTCCCAACCAATCAGCGGGACGTGGGCGGGGCTTGTTTTAATACGGGTAGGAAAAAAAGAACGTTGTTTGCATCTGTAACTTCTGCCTTCCATAGACTTGTGTTTCAACCGGCAAATCAGTATGATTTACTTTAAGCTTCTGTACAACAGAGAGATGTTTTATTCACTTTAGACTTTAGTCTGGAGGTTTAGGAGAATTAGACATTTAGAAAATGACAAGATTGAGCTCACTGGGGCAGCAGAGGGCAGCAGAGGGCAGCAGAGCTCAAAGCTTCTACTTTCATGTAGAAAAGGCACATGACTGTCTTGTGACTGTAATCAGTCAGAAGCTACTGTTCCTGTGAGGTGTTTCTCAACTTCAGCTGGTCCTTCACTCACACTCAGTTTAGTGTTTAGAGTTCCCCATACCCAACACGCTGAATCAGCTAACTGACAGGCCCTCATTACGTCTGTTTATTACCCATATGGAAAAAAATGTTCCAAATATATTTATCAAATATATTTTTTGCAATGTATAAAAAATGGCCACAAAATGTGTTTATATATTTAAAATGTATTTATTTGTATTTGTTATTATATTTGTTCAGTTGTATGTAGTTTTGATAAAGGTTACAGATATAACTAAACATACAGGCTTCAGTGTGTAGCATTGTACTTTGCATTAACCATGTACGTGTGCAGGAAGACACTCACACACAAAGTATTTCAAATAAACAAGATATCAAATCATAACTGCATTTTCACAGTATATCACTTGCTATTTGATAAATACTTTTATGTACAATTATTTTTGTATGGTACATTTATATGTGTATATCCAGCCTGTCCATGATTCCTGTCTGTGACGGACTGGCGGCCTGTCCAGAGTGTTTCCCGCCTTCTGCCCAATAAGTGCTGGGATAAGCTCCAGCACCCCCTGTGACCCAGGAGGATAAGCGATGCACACATTTACACTTAGGGCCAGTTAGCATCTCCAATTGGACTGACTGCATGTCTTTGGACTGTGGAAGGAAACTGGAGCACCTGGAGGAAACCAATGCACACAAGACACGGGGAGAACATGCACACAGAAAGGACCTTGGTCGCCCAGCTGGGGAATCGAACGGAATTATTATTAATATTGTTATTATTACTACTATTATTATTATTTTTCTTCTTCTTCTTCTTCTTCTTATTATTATTATTGCTGTCAAGTCATTTCCAACTTGGTGACTATATGGATAGTGTTTCTCTAGAATGTCCTGTCTTCGGTTTGGGTCTTCAGGCTAAAGAATGGCTGGTTAACGATTTGTCTAATTGTGTCCATCCATCTTGTAGCTGTATGTTGTCTTCCTCATTTATCTTCAACTCTTAGAACCATAATGGCCTTTCCCACCAAACTGGTTCTTCTCAGAATATATCCAATTTTTTTCCTTGTCGTACTAAATTTAGTTTTTAGATGTGAATGCATTAACAAACAAAACTACTAGAAATAAAATACACTGTAGAAAAGTATTTTCTGATCCTGATCCTGTGTCCCTTTAATTGGGCTGAGTTATTGGTGAAAGGAAGGATTAAAAGCAAGAAAGGATTAAAAATGCATGAAAACACAAGTTAAATACATCGCTTTTTCATTTTTTAGTTTGACTACCCTGATTATTCATCTGTGGTCCACTGCGTTTTGTATCTGCTTTGATTTTTCACAGCATTGTGAGCACAAAACCAAGCGCTTTAAAATGCAGTTTATTAAGTCAATAAAATGGATCACCAAGGCTGAGTGCATATTCAAGTCAGGCATTGCACAGCACTGTCATCAGCATTGTCCTGCTGCATAGATCCAACAACAACTCTCATGCATGCACAACTGATTCAACTGTAGGACTTGGCAGATGGACACTTTATGGATTATTCTACCAAATTAGTTCAAACTGCAGTTCCACAGTAAAAACTATTTTAAAAAAACAATGAAATATTCAGACCTTAGATATATGTTTTCATGTCACTACTGAAACACAAAGTGTCGTTCCATAGGCGGAGCCTTTTTTAGCCACACCCCTGCATTTTAAAGCAGGAAGTGAGGCTGCATCCCTGTCCCTCATGGTCATGATGAGCTGTTAGATCCCACTGTTTCGAAAATAAATGTGTCCCAAAGGCTGAAAATCAGTGTGGAACATTATAAACTGACACTACAGAAACATATATTTTCTAAAAATAAGTAAATTGTTTTATTAAACATATTATGGTTTTATGTGTGTAAAACTACAAATGTACTAGTCATGTACTGGTTAGTGCTTTAAATTTTGCTCAGAATGAGCTAAAATTGTCACTACTGAAACAGTCCCTACTGAAACATTTGGTAAAGTTTCAGTAGCATTATGACTGTGTTGGTAGTGACAAAACAAAATGTTTAATTCTTTGTTTTGATAAAATAAACATAATTAAAGTACAAGGTCACTCAAAGCAAAAGGATAGTAGTTTAAAGTTTAAGTTGGTTAGAAGTCCGAAATGTGTTTTCATATACAACGTATACAGCTTTTTGATCAAATGCAGTTTTTGTATAATCTTCGTTAAATTCCGAATTTTTTTTCCATAGAAATGAAAGGGGTGAAAGACTGCACAACCATCTACTGTCCTTCTGCTTGACGAAAGACACTGTTTCACATTTATTATCTCAGGGTAGGCCCAAGAGCATGAATTCAATGTTGTTCTGACCTGCACTCATCTGTCTCTTTTTTTCCATCCCTCATTTCACCCATAGTGTGCCACCACACAAACTGTATTACTTGCCCTACAGCCACCAAACTACATGTACTCACTAAGGGTAGGAGCTCAAACTCTAGTGCAGAGCCATACCGATCTGCACTCTTCTATGTGCCATTTTTTCATCCCTAGTTCCTCACATAGACTCCCATTCATTTTCAACAACACGTAGCTAACGGTTGGCAACTCCCTACAAACAACTAAATAAACACCCCATATACAATGGCAACTGCCTAGCAGCAATTTAGCAACCGCATGGGATATCATAGCAACTGCCTAGCAACAACCTAGCAGGAAGCGGGAACCATTTAAGCTGTGTAACCATTATGCGTTTCCTTCAGGAAATGCATGTTTCTAGTTTTATTTAAGACCTTATTTCATAGAGTTATAACAGCAAACTTCAGCCAAAGGAACAGCAGGGGGACCACCATGGTCACCACACCGCCATGTTAACCACATGGCAGTAGTTACAGTTAACGAAATGCACCGAAATATGATTTGACTGATTAGTTCCGTGTCTGACCTAACCAGTTTGTTAAAAAGAGAAAAGGTTTGCAAAAAATGTCCAAAACAAGTGGCCACTCGACTTTGCACCTGTCTACAAGCATATGCAATACACCAGAGATCATCAGTTCTGGCCTAGAGCTGGAGTTCTGTACAATTTGGTGATTTTTCTCCTTTAGCACACCTACTGAACCTGCTAACTAATTGCTGTTTGGAGTGTCTAAGCAGCCAAACTTGCTGGACACCAGCCCTCAGGAACTGATGACCTCTGCCACACACCTTCCTTGCACCTCCAAGCCTTTATTCACTTTTAGAACCTGGTCTTAGCAAGAGCCCGAGCATGTGGGTGAAGTTAGGCGAAGGTAGAGAGTAAAGTTTCTCATTTAATATTCCTGCTGCCAACTGAGCCCCACGCTGCTGAGTGAGCGCCGCTCCCCGAGGCATCAATAATACAAGAGGAAGTTATTGTTCCGCTGCGGGCGACACTGCCACAGAATTAAAGGGCTTGTGGGGAGGCAGCGCCGGCCCTTTCACTGCTTCTGCTCAGGTTTCCGGCCCTGCAGACAGTGCTCAGACATGAGAGAGTTGGTTCTGTACATTAGTGAAGGGCCTGATTGTCTGGAGCTGAGGACTTAGCGACGCTCTTGTTTTATGACGGCTGCAGGAGACCTCCTGGCACTACAGTGTGTAAAGCAATACCTTCAAGGACACTGTCCAAAGTTATATCCTGTGAGGGCATGGCTCACAACAGGGTCAATGGGATTTGTGTAACTGACAAATAGAAAAAGGTTATCAGGATAACCGGGTCAATTCAGATTCAGATACATTGCCTTATTTTAGCTGTTGACTATATTGACCAGGGGTGCCTGAGCTTTTTGTCTTGGGGGGCCAAAGTGCAATGTTTGTGGTAGGCTGAGGGCCAAAAACACAGCAATATACAAACAAAGAAGGTACGAAGGTTCAAATAGAGTTTTTAAATATGTGTTTCAAGACCTTACACTATATTTTTCTTACTAAAGTACTTCAAAAGAACAATTTTAAAAGAAAGCTAAGCATTTAATACGCCATATGCAATATAAAAATATGTCTGTTCCCTTGTTGGCTGAAGGGGTGAGGTTAGGGTAACTTTCTGGTGGGCCAAATCAAACATCCTCAGGGCTTTGGGCAGCCCTGATTTAGACCTCTAACAAATTCATTTATGGTAATTGAGAGCACTTTAAGACATAATGTAATAAGTGTAAAGCAAACAATAACGTATGCAAATATAGAGCAAGACAACAATATTAATTATAAAACGCATAGTTCCGATCCTGAAATCTGATTGGCTGAGCCGTGTTCGAAGCCGTTGTAAAATCCACGGTATATGCACTCCTATGACTGCCTCACAACAACTGAATCGTATATTATTGCACCATGGCACGAAAAAAAATGTATGTTCTTAACTAGAACTAGGCTGGTCAGCTAGCTAACTAACATGCTAAAAGACAACAACATGGAGTAAAGAACTCCATCATTAATATTACAGGCTTGAATTAAAGCACTTGCAGTATGATTAACTGTAAAACGGCAGTATAAAAGTCTAACAAATGTCCAATGAATGGATTACACAGTTCAAATGTTTGTGTTTCAGTCAGAAGTAGCAACAAACCCAGGCTGAATCCTAAACAGCAAACTCGGTATTCCCTAAAATGTGTGTTAGCTATGAACGTTTGGAAATTCTAGCTTCTATAGCCAAATCTATCCATTTATTGAGTATGGATGTGTCTGAGTCCCAAATGACTATTTCTTAGCTGTATTTTGCACCGTTGGGGTGCAAGATTCAGTATTTAAATTGTGTACTATGTAGTGTACTATGTAGGGAGCAGGGAGCTGTTTTAAGATTCAGCCCCAGCATGGGAAGAGGGGCACGGATGGATTGGTGCTAAATAAGACTTAGTGGTAATTTGGTGACCAAAAAGTACTTATAAAGCAGAGGTTTTTGAATTAATCAGTGATTTGTTATCATATATTCATTGACAAACTGACAAAACAAGCCTGCAGTGAGAACGTCGGTGGTAGTAAATTAGTTGGAATGCTTAGACTACGAAATGTGACAAGGTGTTACTGAGTAACGTATAATGCCTGACTCATGCTATCCTGATTATATGGAGGATGGAGCCATTTTTATTTAGTTCCTTAAGCTTAAAGTTTTGGAGGACCACCCTCACAGTTAATTGGCAAAAACTAATAACAGACAGAGGTGGCTCTAAGCTAAGCTAAACTGTATCTGCATTACTGTATTTGCTAAAAATCATTGAGTATGATGTCTAATGATAAATAATGTTATAGACAACATTAAGATCAGTTAGCTAACTGGCTAGCTGACACGTATGCTGAAGCTCATAACTTGGAAATTCCAACCTCCCACAAGGAATAATCAATGACAACAATCCCCAGCTGGGAATTCCTACTCAGAAAGTCAGAATGGTGGCCTCAACTCAAATCAACACGGCTTCTCACACCCTTAGAGGAAAATATTAAACACAAAAATTGGCCCGTGCAAAACATATGGCGCATTTAATATTTTATTTTTTCTTAATAAATAAAAATTGTGCACTAAAATTAGCAGAAAATGTCATATTTAAGTGTGTTCTCTGTGATGAATGTGTTAACCTATTTTCACTTAGAAAATCAACAAAACATCTTATTTGTCCAGGAGTTCTCATACTTTAGCTCGTCTTTGTTTGACATGTTGGACATGCTAGAAACTCCATAAAGATTATATGCAGCATTTCCATCACTCAGTATATGGCCTCACACTGTTCACTGTTTATCAACTCCAATCATTATTATTTCTAAAGTTCTTGTGTAATTGGGTCTAAATGTTCAAATGATCGAACTGTGATCCAGAATAAAATAAAAAATATTTTCACTAACTTTTATAGGTAGTTTCTGGAGAGGCAGATGTACTCACATATTTGAGAGAGTTTTACTTATGCCAACTTTCTGCAGTATCATCATAATATTGCATAATATTGCTGTAATGGTATAACAAGAGCTTCTCAAAGTTACCTGGTCTCATATATCATCCTCAAGCCTTCATCCATTCCCTCCAGAAATCAGCCAGCTGGCACGTACTGCAATGATGGCGCTGAAACCTGAAGCTCCAGCTGAAGCTTTTGTGCATCCAATTGAATCTCAAAGACCGGGAGGGGGAGCAGACCGAAAAAGTGACACTCGCTGACAGAAAGGGAGAGAGAGAGAAAGAGAGTGAGGGGAAAGATGAAGAAGTTGATCTTGTTTTTTAGTACTCTTATGGCATTCTAATCAGCATTTCTTTTGAGGACACCAATGGCTTGGATGGATTACGACTGCGTGTAAGTATTCCCAAAGGTTTGACAATTTAAATTGGAGATTAGATTAAAAAAATTAACAGATTTAAATGTAAGAAGTGTATGTTTAATTGAAAAATACTCTTTTAATTTTGAATTCATTTTAATACCTATTTAAATGGACACATGAAAGGCAACACCTGTTGTAACCAAGAACATACACCCAGCCTAAGGATTAATGTAGACAAACCTATGGCGGTCTGCTTTTCTTTGTGAAAGTGTAGTCAAGTGACAGTGGGCAGTCATTAACATTTTATATCCACTCTGCAGTGTGACATTTTACTCCCTCAGCGTCTTAGGCGGCTCCTAAAGGAGCTCTGTAGCAGGTGCTCTTTCAAAGAGGCAGCGATATGACTTCGTCCATACTGATCTGAAGCTTGGGAATGGGGCTCAGAATGGGAACATTTGGAATTCTAATGTGGCTGATTGTCTTATTGGTTGAAGTATCAACCACTTCTGAAGGTAGGGAAAAATAGCTTTTGTTTGAAGCTGTGTTTAGTATTAAAGTTGTATATACCATATGAGTGGTTTTACATACGATCAATTATAGCTTTAAATGTACATATTGTATTTCAGAAAGTAAAAAAGAGGGCCAAAGAGAAGTCATTCTGAAAGAGCTGGTCGAGATATGGCGGAAGGGTGGGGGATGGTACCCCCGCAGAGAGCAACCATCTCCAGAAAGAACACCAGATCAACAAATCCATTCAGTTGTACGAGGTATTGTTGGAGGTCTCAAGTCTCTGGGACTTTTGCCCAAGAAGACCATGGGTCTACCACCTCTTAACAAGCCACTTGATCGGAACAGACTCTCGGGATTTCTCTACAACATCTCCATGTACCTTCAGGAGATGAGTGCTGAGCTAGATGATGATCAGCAGACTCTCAGTGATGATCAATTTTGGGAGAACTTGTTGTACTCTTTCCTTCAGTCTGATGGAAGAACTCCACTTGGACAGTGGGATGGGAGGGTTCCTCCAAGGCCGAGCTTCAAACTCCAGGATCTATTTTTGTCTCTAAGAGGAAGTCCACACTGGGATGGATTACTGGGGCTGGTGCAGAGCATCCTAACTTTTATAGAGCGCCAGCCACAAAGGCCTATCCTGACATTTGTGTCACAACACTGGAAGACCATCAGCGCTTTGCTTGACATGGCTCTGCAGGCTCTGGTCAGTGGGACCTATGGCCAAGCTAGCGCGGGCCTCCAGGGATTTATTTGTGTCCTGAAAGGACGAACTGATTGCTCCTTCAACTTGAGCTGGTTGCAGCAGCTCCTTACGTTTCTGGAAACGAGGAACTGGAAACCTGTGGTCAACCTGCACCCTGCAAGTGTAGCTGTCGACCACAGGGATGGTGCTCTCTCGACAGGACGTTTTAAGCCGTTTAGCGTTCCACCCGAGGTCTTACGTGAGGAGAACCTTTATGTGAGCAATGCGTCCCATGAGACGGAGAGGCTCACCTCTCTGCAAAAGCTGCTCCTGCAGGCCCTGTCAAGGTCAAACGTTGGAGAGAGGGCTGTGCAGTTTGCAGAGCATAACCCTGCCCTCCTGCAGGGTCTTGATGGCCTAAGGCGTGGACTTCTGCACAGAGTGGGCAGCACTGTGTATGGTAACCTGAGGAGGAAGGTGTCACGTGTGACCATGGCGCTGCTGGATGATCTAGGGAGCATGGTGGGGGAGCCACAGTCCAGTCAACAGGGACGATGCTCAGTGGGCAAGTTTATTCCAAAATTAATCATTCCAAGAGTGTTTCAACTATGTGCATAAGAACAACCAGTTTTTATATATAATTACAATAATGTATTTTACAGTGTATATATATATATATATATATATATATATACACTGTAAACACACTGGTACTACCCTTCGTTTATTTCATTTGTCCAGTCAAAATGGCCTATAAGTACAGGTTTTTCAGGAGATATTTCAGAGTACATTAGGTATGAGATAAGATGAGATGCTTAGAAAGGAAAATAAATAAAAAACAGGAATTTCAAAATCCAAAGTTTAAAAAATTATTAAAAACTAGACCTGGCAAGACCTGGTAGACACCAAAACTGCCCCCATCAGATAAACGGTGCTTAAAGCTTTCATCTCTGAGAGAGAGGAGAAAATCAAGCTGCTTCAGATTTGAAAACATCTACAGGTGTTTCTGTCCATCCTTCCACTGTGAGAAGACAACAGTTTAAAAAAAGACAAAGGAAAACATTTGCAATAACACTGCAACTGGACATTTAAGATGTGGCGTATGGTTTAATGGAAACAAAATTTGAGATCTTTGAAATGAACAGAAGGCAAAAGGCTGTGAAAGACCATGTCTTCAATCAGGTTCAACGAGGTTCAGTGCAAGTTTGGGGCTGTAAAACAACGTTTAGAGTTGGTGGTTTGTTTTGATTGAAATCATCATGAATGCTAATGAGTACAAATTTTGATATATCATGTAATCCTCTCTGGAAAATGTTTGATTGTAAAGACACTCATTCTGGAGCAAGACAATGACCCCAAGCACTCTGTTAGGAAGATCAAGATGGTCTTATCAAACAAAGAAGCTGCTGGTGTTCTCAGAACAACAGACTGTCCACCCCAAAGTCCAGAACGCGATGTTGCTGTGAGTGTTTGTGACTACTTGGATCATGAAAAGCAGAAAATGAATGCTAAACCAACTTCTAAGACTGAACTGCTTTTTTTTTCTCTCTGAAAAATGAATAACTTTTACTTAATGGCCGTTTTGACTGTTTCTAACCTTTGCACAGTGCTGTACACCAGATGCGAAATACAGGGGGTCCAAGAGGGGTCCAGGATTCCCTGATTAACCCTTTGCACCCCCTAAAAGCCACAAAATATTTGGGGGGTCCCTAAAAACACAAGAACATGTTATAGTATTATCTGTTAAACCCACTGGGTTTGCGAGAAATATATACAATAATTCAGAAAAAAAGCTGTTTTATTTTACCTTTGAAATGGCAAAGTTCTGCTTTTATTGTTAACTATCCAAAACTATCCTAATGGAAAAAGTAACCAGCAGCATTCTAAATTGTTTCCATAATATTCCGTAATACCAAAGTAAGACTTAAGTGTTCATCCCGCAGTGCAACCTAGGGACCCCGCCATTTACAAGGGGATATTTCACACACTGACTGTACATATACACCAATCAGGCATAACATTATGACCACCTCTTTGTTTCTATCAGCTCCACTTACTATATAGGTGCACTTTGTAGTTCTACAATTACAGACTGTAGTCCATCTGTTTCTCTGCATACTTTGTTAGCCCTCTTTTACCCTGTTCTTCAGTGGTTAGGACCCCCATGGACCCTCACAGAGCAGACACTATTTGGGTGGTGGATCATTCTCAGTTTTTAAACACTGTGTCCACTCACTGTCCACTCTATTAGACACTCCTACCCTGTCATTCCAGCTTATAGATGTAAAGTCAGAGACAATAGCTCATCTGCTGCTGCACAGTTTGTGTTGGTCATCCTCTAGTCCTTCATCAGTGGTCATAGAACGCTGCCCACAGGACGCTGTCGGCTGGATATTTTTGGTTGGTGGACTATTCTCAGTCCAGCAGTGACACTACAAAGTGCACCTATATAGTAAGTGGAGCTGATAAAATGGACAATAAGCATAGAAACATGGAGGCCATAATGTTATGCCTGATCAGTGTATATCACTGCTGTTCGAAGAAAACCTTGTGTCTCCATTTTTGTCATTTTTCAGTTTTTGATATGATCTGAAAATGCCTGTTGTCCTTTATATTGTGTGTGAATTTAATGAAGAATGGACCAAAAGAAATGACTTGAAAAATTGTTTGGTTCCATTGACTTACATCAAAAGTAAAGTATGTTTTTTGCTTCTCCTGTAAAATTACCATTTTGGAGTTACGAGGTTTTGGAGTGATATACAGTATATACAGTATATAGTAAAGTCAGCATAGCTTTCACTGTTCAAGCTCAGTGCTCCTGAAATCACAATGGCCATGTTAGTCATTAAGCAGATCCTTGTTACTTCAAATCCTATGGTCTGGATAATCTATCTGCCCTTTTGTTGATGTTAGTAACCATACACCCCTGGCATTATGTGCCCAGCTATGCTATTACATTGAGCTGAATTGTATAAAGCCCTCCTCTCTGTTTTCTGCAATTCGTCAACAACTCTCTGCGATTACCAGTGATTTGTATCCATGCATGACTCACTCATCCCAGTTTCCACCTTCTTTTTTCTCCCTAAAGGTGACCTCAGGCAATTAATTTTGTGGTAAGTGTTATACCCAGGAGAAAACATTCAGTCCCATTTTTACTGACCGCTCCTAGCCCTAATGTATAACATTTGTCCCACACAGGGGTATCAGGCATAATCTGACATGGAATGCTCAAGCCATGGGTTTCACCTCAGAAGGTTTACCCAGTAGGCCGGCTTTCATGTCCTGTGTATCACCGGATGAGGATAAATCCAATTCAAGACAGTCATCGAAAAGATCTAGACTTCTCCAGCCTCAGCTGACAAATCATGATCACACAGACACAACAGACATCCCAGCCTCAGAGATTCTGGAGGCCGCATGCAATGCCTCTATACCCGGCCTCACTGGAGTTTCAAATTTCACCGTCTTCCTCTACTGTAACCTTTTCGAGGGTGGTGAGGCCACTGTGGACCCAGAGGTCAGCCATGCAATGCCTGACTTGCATGCTAGTTGCTCTAATGCAGCGTGGTACCTCTCTGCTGCAGAGGAAGATTTCCTGTGGGTACATGTGTGCAGCGAGTTCTTTGCACAAGAATTCAATAATACAGTGTGTGCCAACTCATCCTTCTGGCTTCAGCGAGCCCATCAGGTAGTAAACGCTGCAAAAATGTGATTTTTGTGACAATAATTTAAGATTTTCAACCTATTTTTCTAGATGTTTTTATTTGTTTCCAGTCATTTTATCAACAGAACTGCCTTATTCTATTGACTGGAAATGTTGCATGTTTCAAGAAACAAGATAGATAGATAGATAGATAGATAGAAATAAACATTGACATAAATATGCAGAAATAAAAAATAGACATAAGTTAAAGTATGAGTGAGTAGGAATAAAAGCATATTTGCATATTTACACAGCAATGTTAATGCTTGAAACAAGCAAAATGATCAGCCTATAGAATGAAATAAAGAGGAATTTCACCAATTTCTGCATAATTCAATCATTGTGATAATATTCAGAGTGGTTTGATGTGTAATGGTTCACTGGCAGAGAAACCTGACTCATTTTTCCATACAATGGTGGTGATAGGAACCAGGAGTCATAATGTCTACAGTACAAATACCCATTTTATTTACTATACAAAATGACCACTGAACCTGCTTGCATCTTCTGAGTTTTGCCTCACAACACCCTGATGTACATCTCTGCCTTTAATGTAATTTATACATTTTAGGCCAAAATCTCATGTAAGAATGATCGTAAAACAATATCTCAGGCATCCAACATAATACCCATAACCATTTCATGTAATAACTTTCTGTGAGGGAGCTTTTAGAGGTGGACGTCTGGTTGCTATCACCACCACTGTGAACAATTCTGCCTCGGTAAGTTTATTTAGAACAGAGAATTTAATTTCAAATCACCAAAACCAAAAAAGATTTTGTTTACGTCTTAAAGGATCCATATCATGAATTTATCTCAATGTCTGGAAATAAAAGAACAGTAGTTAATGTGGTATGCACTTTAAAAAGATGGTTCTTCAAGGTTTCTTCAGTAAAGACTATGATTCTATATTGCACAAATGGGTCTTCTGATGTTATGATGTCAAGCTTGTAACAATAAGAGAAACCTTTTTTGGTGCCATATAGAACTCTTCTCAAAAAGGTTCTATATAGGACCATATCCAACACATTCTCCATCTCCATTTTTCCCCTATTCTCTATTTTAATATTTTATACTAATGGTAAAACCTTCTTCTCTGTTCATAGTGCTCGTGTTATTGTTTTGCTATCTGGTGTCGACCAGAGGAGGATTGGTTTCCCTGTTAAGTATTGGATCTTCTCAAGGATTCTTCGTCTTGCTCTTTGGGAGTTTTTCCTTGCCACTGTTGCCATTGGCGACGCTCATGGGGCTTGGAACTAGATGTTTCTGTAAAGCTGCTTTGTGACAATGCCTGTTGTAAAAAGCACTATATAAATAATCTTTATCTTGACTTTACATGACTTCTTTGGCTGTTCATAGTTCTATATAGTCATGGTCTTCTATACAGAACCGTGGTCTACCAAAGAACCCTTGAAAAACCATGTAAACACAGCTAACGTTTTTAAAATGCACCATTCACTTCTCCATCCATACAGTCCACATATGAAAACGAAACAGTCCATTTTGAATAAACTGTTTTTGTGATGTAATACATCCATGTAATAAGCCTACAACAGTTTATTGTTCATACAATAATCTTTAAGGCACATTAACGAAAACAGCCTGTTCAATCCTTAGGCCAGGGGTTGGCAATGTGCAGCTCCGGAGCTACATGTTACTTTTTTACTATCCTGTTGCAGCTCCACAGCAGAATTAGATTTTTAGGTAAAAATAAAATAATCCTCCTTTGCAGTAAAATAAAGCTCTGCTGATCGTTCAACACAGTTTTAACAATAAATGGTCTTAAATGCTGGAGTTAATGTACAACTGCTAATTCACCCTTTAACCCTGAAGGTTGGCGCACAGACTGCTGGTCACCATAGCAATGCAAACAACATCTTGCCCAGCTAGTGTCTAATGAAAAGGCAAAGAGGAAGATTTAAGATGAACATCGATCATTTGGAGACAAATGATCTTATTTACGTATATAATTACTTATTTAAGTATATAATTACTACAGCTGGTTTCCTGATACGTTTAATCTGCAACGGGAAACTGTCAAACACTAAAAAGTTGCGAAGCTGAAGTCAGTTTCTCATTCATCAGCTTCTTGTTCAAATTGTCCTGTTCCACCTTAAATGGTGCCGCAGTTACATTCTGGCGCCTCAGGTACCATTTAAGGTTGGACGGGAAAATTAGAACAAGAAGCTGGCGAATGAGAAGCGACTTCAGCCTCGTACACAAAAATCAACCATTGAGAGACATTTTACAAGAAACTATTCTACTTTTGTATAAAAGTTTCCGGCCGGAGATGCGAGAGAAGCAGATATAGCTGAGCTAAAGCTTAAAGCAGAGCAAAGTAAAGTCAAGGCTAAAGTCAAGACATAGTTACACCCATGATAGTAAAATGTTACTTCAATAAATGGGCATAAAATGTTGTGACCCAAGGTGGCTTGATTTATGTTGAAAGGACAGAATGGCTCTTTTTGATATTTGGGTTGCCAACCCAAAAGAGAGGTTAGAAAATGGTTATGTAAAAATGAACAAGGGACCTCAAGAAAAACAATACAAAACAAGAAAAATGTAGCACACGAGCCCAATAATGCAGGAATGTTGACAATTGGGAAATTCCTCCTTAAAGCAAATCTCAAAATGAGAAATATGACATATTTTAAGTAGATTTAAGATAATTTCCCTTTTTTCAGTGAAGAAAAGGGGAAATTATCTTAAAGGTGTCAAACAAAAGGTTTTTCTTTTTAGATGCTCTTTTTCTAATCGTAACATTTTTACAGGCTGCTATTTCCAAGGATTACCACAACTTCAACCAGTCAAGCATTGATGACCTCTGCCTACAGCTATCCGCAGACATTTCTGCAAGCTCTGCAGCTGATGCAGCTGAGGACTGCTTAGCGATGCTCAGCACCAGATCTCTGAGTGCCCACGATTTTAGGAGGTGCTTTCTGCCCAATGATTCCGCTCTGATCTCGGCCTTGTGCGGCAACGGCTCCTCTCCGTTACCCCACGATGGCTGGGCAGCAGAGTACTGCTCTAAAGTCCTGCCCAAAGACTCCCACCCTGACTCCAAAGAAAGACCTTGTGACTTCTCAAGCTGGACCGCAGATCTTTTCACCAACTCCACTATGCTGGAACTCTGTGGAGACACTGTAGGTCTGAGGGATTATGTTTGCAAGAACATAAGTCGGTACCTCTTGCTGGTCCGTAAGCAGCCTTTACTGTTAGACTACTGCAACCCCAACTTGGAACCAAAGCAGAAAAGCAAGTGTGTCCTCCAGCAGCTGTTTGATATGCTGCCTGCCCCGTATGACTTTGACACATCTCAGCTATGTGTGAACCCTATGCCCATTCTGCAGGAGGCCCTGCACAAGCTAAGTCTTTGCGAGGGGGTGGTGGATGAGCGTGTGGGCTGGCTGGCTACTGTAAGCTACGTGCTCCGAGTGCTGGATTTTGTCGTGGGACTGTCCGCAGGCTTGGAAGAGGGAGAACGTGAGGTGCGCCAAGGCCTTGGTCAAGCTATTCTTCTCTCTAGCCTACTGGACAATGCCTCCTTTTGGGCAACCCTCAAGCCGGATGCATCTGTCAGTGTGCTCCAGACTGTTGGTGTCTTTCTCAGGCGAGAGCGGAACCCCTCGCTTAAGGAGGACCTTCTTAGCTGTTTTAGCGTAAGTGCTGTGTGATACTGAATTTAAATTATCATTACTGTTGTTTTATATTCTGACCACAGTATAGATGATCGAGGTTACCTTGCTTGAAAGTATCAGTATGAATGTTTATTCTCCTGCCTTTTTCATCAACAGCCCGTTCTGTGGGACCTCATTCAGAAGGTGGACAACTCATCTGCCCTGAGGTTTCTAATACAGGTAGAGCTAATTAAAAGCTGATAAGCTTCTGAATCATCAATTACAGAGAGGGCATAAGGCTAACAAAAGTTAAAGCTCCCTCCACAAATATTAGCTCTCTGGCTAAACATGACCTTTATTTCAAGTACATTGATTGAAAGAAGAAAAAAATCTTATCATGAAATATATAGTTTTCTCAAATCTCTTATAGTTTTCCACTGTCAAGCCAAATGGTTCTCAGGGCTGTACTGGGCCGTTCCACGCTGGTTCAGACCAGTTACGGTGTCTTTTTCCATTTGTTGTAATGTTAAATCAGAACCAGGAAATACCCAAGAAAGCTACACAAATGAGTGGCTAACTGCTAACAGACTAATAGCCATGCACACATCACTCACTACAAGACACTTTCGATTCTGTCTGTCACTCCAACTCTGGTCTCTCTCAGCGTGCTCTCATCTTCTTTATCCTCTAAACATCTTCTTTATCCTCTAAATAAAACAGGCTGTGCTGCGGTGGGTTTCACCTCTAGCCAGATAATTGGCTACATTAGCATAAGCATTGGGGGGAACAACTCAAAGCACCACAGAACAATTCTATTTTTTATCTTTCTGTCACTTCAACACCAGTCATTCGAATTTTAGCTCTCAGACAAGAGTCTTTATCCCCTAAATGGGTGTTTTTAATCATCGGTTTGCTAGGACTGAGCCAGTACTGCAGTGGGAGGCACTGTGCACTCGTGTTAGCTTAGCCTAGCAGGCTAACTCACAGCTTAAAGCACTACAGAACAGATTCAACTTCGGCTTTTTGTCACTCCACCACCAATCAGTCGACTTTGCTCTCGCTTTTATATGTTTTTATAGCCCGGTTTTTAAGCTCTCCGTGTCGGACTGTGTCCGTGTAGAAATGTCGCTGGAGCAATTCCCCTCTGTGCTCAGAACCGTTCAGCCCTGCAGTGGAAAAGTGGCCTATGTGTGGCACTGTTGTTGGCACCCATAGAAAGATCAGCAGTCAGACTAGATGACACCACAGGGATTCCCACCAGTTTGAAAATTAACAACATGAAAATTATATAAAAATTGTGAATTCTGTCAAACCAATGAGGCTAACAAATGAAACTTTTAGGCCAAAATGCCCCTTTAAGTGTCATCACATTTAAAAGTGGAAGTATGCAGCCAAAAAATAAATGTGTAAAAATCAAAAAGTTTCTACAATTAAACATTTTCATATAAAGAAGTAAAAAGTAAATGTTGAGTAAACATGTTTTTCTTTTTTTACATGAGAATAAATTTAATGCCAGAGGGGAACCCTGAGAAAAGGCCTAACGAGTTCTGGGAACTGGAAAATGAATGTCTGTACTTTTTTGTTCATTTTTATCCAATACAATCATGCTTGTACTTAAACCCATGCTAGTAATGCATTTATACAGCACCACTCTTGTTTCATTGTTAAGTTTTGGAAGGGAACTAAAGGGTAAAATTCTTTACGCACCAGTATGTAACTACTGTAGCGTTTAAGATGCAGTGGGTAATTCACTGGTACTTCAGCCTCATCAGCAAGTGCTCATGAAAACTGCTGTTAGCTTAGCACTAACAAACTACTAGAGTCCTATAGGGATGCTAGCAGAAGGTACCACTGAGGTGGGTTTTCCTCATGTTTTCATTGAGTTTTCTCATTTATGGCCCATATTGAAGGCCTAGCTCTAATAGTCATGGTTCACCATTGTTTAATGCTGGGAGCAAGCTGATTCCACATTGGTGTGACCCAGACCACCGAATCTACCTCATTTTGTTCTACTCTTTGAGTGGTGTGAGCAGGACTGGTCCTTGCACAAAGATAAATTAGCCCAGTTATGGGTAGCTTCATTTTAGTATGACATGAATTGAAAAAACAATGCACAAGAACTGAACTGGCAAGAGATTCTTTTAAGAATCTTCTGGATTATGAGATTTGTATGCACGGTACGAAATACAGGAGGGTCCTGGGGGATCTGGGACCCCCTAATTAATGTCTTTGACCCCCTGAATATCTCAGAATCAAAATTATGGGGGGGTTCCTGAAAATTAAATTATTACACAATCAATAACTGTCCGTCTTTAATATTCTAAACCCCTTGTGTCAAACACAAGGCCCGGGGGGCAGATGGCACTATGCTATGGGCCTGAACAAATTATTTTCATTTTCTATTAATATTAGCCTGTTTCTCACTACAATCCCCAGCATGCACTGTAGCATAATGTGCATAATGTTGTCTACTGTAGTCTGTCTATTTATTTATTTATTTATTTATTGTATTTTTGAATATTTCAAGTATTCATTATGTAATATTTCAAGGTTCACTGCAACTGCCTTTATTTTGATGTTGGTGTTTTAGCTTATTTTGAGTAAACAATGACAATATTATTTAACAATCAAATAACCATAATCAAAATAATCAAAAACCACAGACGTTCTCTGGCCCACAGATTTGTAGAGGTTTTTTTTTAATATGGCCCTTTTAGTGGTTGAGTTTGACACCCCTGTTCTAAATGAACTAATGTTAGAGGTGCAGTACTCTGGTGCTGTTACAAATTGGTTGACCCAGTTGGTCCTTCGTAGCCTAACAACTGTAACTATGCCTGGAAAACTTAATAATACGCCGCAGTATATTTGTAAGTGTGAAAACTTGTTCAAATTCCGGTGGAAAGTGTGAATTCTTATTCATTTCTCATACCGAAGACACTGCAGGAGATGCGTAAGAGCTCAATTAATGTGAGGAAGAGCACATCACCAAACTAGAAAAGAGCATTTCCAAAAGAAGAGCACCGCTATAGCAAGAGAGTTAGCAATTAGCCAACGCAGGAGTAGCCAGCCAACATGGGACCCCCTGGATACCAGGGGGTATTTCCACACTTCTTGTATGTACTGGTCCAGATGAAAATGTAAGGAGTAAAAAAAGTATGTTTTATGTATGTAATTGTCTTTGTTATTGAGAAAAAGTACAAGTTCAATAATACTACAGTAAACTAAATGTAATACTTAAGTACAGTAGCAAAGTACAATTACCTGAGTGTTTTCCATCCTTTGTTAGGCACTCAAAATGACCTTTGCTATCTTTATTGGTGCTGGTCTAGGAATACCTCCAGATGCCAAGGGAAAGCATACGCTCTCTTGTGCTGTCTGCAGAAAAGGACGCAGTGAAAAGGTTCCTATCTCATGTCCATCAGAGCTGGGACCAGCTCCAAGTGGAAACAATACAGGTAGTCAGCTGCAGAAAGTTCGTTTGATTCTGTTTTATTTCCATAAAATTCCCTAAAGTTGTTTTACTTTTTACATTTTTATTGATGAAGTTCAATTCTCTTCTGTTGTCTCTGTTCATCCAAAGACTTCCCCAAAGGAGCAGGAGGCCATGGAGACCATGACTGCAGCCTTCATCCACAAATTCCCACGTGTTACGCCAGAACTATTTGTTGACCTCTCACAGTTCATCCCATACATGTCTGTATCAGACATAATGAGCTTCCCAGCATCTCTGATAGTCAACGACAGTGTGTGAGTGCAGAAAACTACAAATCACTAATTCAAAACGATGTAAAACTCATCATACAGAAGGTGCCTATTGATATGCATAGGAAAGTTAGAATCTAAGAATATAGAATACAATCAAATATAATAATACCTGACATTTTTTTGGCTAAAATAAAATTCTTAGGCTAAGATATATATTTTTATTTATATCTATATATCTATATATATCTATATTTCACTCTTATGTAAATAGTTCAAGTCATACCTGTGTAGTTGGCATATTTTTTAAAAATATAGGATTATAAGGAATGTACTTAAATTATGTTGAAATGTGAGATTTAAATGAGAATTCTGTATATATTTTTAAATATTTCTACTAGATTAAACCATCAAAAACAAAAATATGTAAACATATTTGGAGTGGTTTGCCTTGTGCAAGAGAAACTAGAATCAAAATTGTTCACAGTGGTGGTGATAGGAACCAGACGTCTGAAGAGTTTAATGCCTATAAAAGCTCCCTCACAGAAAGTTATTACATGAATATGTTACAAATGCACTGCCTGATGACTGAAACATTGTTTTACGATTGTTGTGAGAAGATTTAGGCCTAAAATGTTTTTTTTTAATTACATTCATGATGGAGGGGTACATAAAGGGCTTTGTCTCCAACAGAAAACATATTTTTTCTGATATACCACAATTTTACCATCATAAGCATCACACATAAAACTCAGAAGACATCTGTGGGTGGCTATATTTGCTGTGAAGACATCTTGACCCCTGGTTCCTATCACCAGCACTGTAAAGAAATAATTGTTCCTACTATGCGCCATTTCACACCAAACCACTGAACCTCTGAGTGACTTTATTCACATTTTAGTGATTAAATTATGCAGACATTTTACAAACATAAGTGAAATTCCCCTTTAATTATGTATTGAATTGCTTTGTGAATATTTGACACTGAATCAAATCACTTCAAATCAGAATTCTCCTCACACACTCGGATATCTTGCAGATGGGTTCACTCTCTCAACTCTGTTTTAGGCTGACAGCTATTCGCGATCACAGCTCTGAGATGAAGTCCCCTCAGAAGCAAGCTTTTGCAAAACGCCTCCTACAGTCAAGTGTGGTGGGAGATGTCCCCTCCTGGCCACCATACTTCCTCACCTCCATTCTTCCTCTGCTCCCACACCTCCCTGTCAGCCACTTCCAGCAGCTTACATCCCAGCAGGTTGGTCACAAATATCACTAAACCTTCTACAAATGGTACCAAAAGACTTTGAGAGGACAAAATTAAAGGTGTAATGTGTCTCACACAGCTCAGCCCTCTAGTGGAATTTTTGGCGAACAGCAGCTTGGATGCCACACGGGGGCGCCATGTGCTTCGCACCCTGTTCAGCAAGAGGAAGAATCTCACCAGTGAAACAGTAATGAGGTAATACATTACTCTAAATGATATTTGACATTTGAGCATTATGACAAATTGTTAAGGTTTTTTCCCCACTACAGGCTAGGCATCCTAATATGTTACCTGAATTCAGAGGAATTGCACCGTTTCCTGTCTACATCGCCTGTCTCACCTGCTCTGTGGCAGCAGCTTGCAAAATGTGTTTCAGAGGGCCATGTCAGCGGAAGTGGCAGAGTGAGCATGCACTTTTTAAAATCTTCACTACACTCCATACCCATTTTAAAGGGCCCATATTCTGCATTTTCCTTGTATTTTTAAGTCCACTTATGACATTGAGGAGTTAAGGCCCATAATCTATATTTTTCTCGTGTTGTATGTTTTGTGGCTTTAAACACCAAAAACAGTCATATTTCATTTTTCATTATAATTTCCTCTTTTTATCAGTTAGAATTGAAAATGTACTCACTGTTACATCTGTAGAAAGCATGCCTACTCACCTCCTACAGTGGTGCCACAGTAGTCTCTAGGGCGAGATCTTCTGGTCTGAAGAAAACCCCCTTCTAATGATGTATCTTGAAGGTGGGAGAAAACTACAGTTTCTTTAGAGTGGCTTTTTGGGGGTTTTGTTTTGAATTATAATTTTTATTATTAGCTGGTGAGCGCTGAAGGAAGCCAGATAGCTAATCCCTGATAGCAAGTGGATAGTGGGCCACTGTTGGCCCGCTGATGGCAAAGCTGGTGGTCCACTGGCGTTTTGCTCAGCGTTTTCCGGGCGGCCCACCAATGGTTAAGCAGAGTATTAGACAAAAGTCCACTTATCGTCTCTCATTTTCTACTCACAGTCCAATTTAATTATTTTTCCTTCCTTCCTTTAGTTAGTTATACTTTGTAAATTAGTTTAGTAAATCATTTTAATCTAGCACAGTGTAAGCAAAAACATTATCTATAAAATAATTTTACATTAGGCCCAGTCATTTTTTTCTCTCAGTTGTTTATAATATCTGTTTTAGTCTATTTTCCAAAATAAGTCTCTGTGCATTTAAAATTTGTTTGAGGAGATTAAAAAATAGTTAGAGCTTGTATGCAGGACAGTAATCTGGGTGGTCCGAGTGTGGACCAGCAGTGGCAAACAGTCAGTTTGGTGCCGACCTTATGAAGCCAGTGGGCCGATATATGCTCGCTATCTGGATGTTACTGCTTAATGAAGCTGTATTTGTGGTATCTGCCTTCAATAATGACTTGTCAGATGAGGAAGACAGCAAGCTAAAAACTAAATTTAGCAAGGTCGCTACCTGGTTATCTAGATGTCTTACCTCAGTTTGGCTTCTTTTCTCTAGCTGAAAAGGTAAAAACTGAATAAAGTTTTGTTTGACAACTGAGGTAAGAGTTATGCTAACACTTATTTGTATTTATTAGCCTATAGCTTAGTGGTTAGGCCAGCAGTCAGGATTCCCAATGGTTGTATGATTTATTTGTGTAGCATGCTAGCTATTGTAGTGACAGAACACTGAAGAATGAAAACAGAAAAGCAATGTAAAATCATGAATTCTGTCAAACGTATGAGCGATATTGCTGCATAACATGACAAATAACTAGTGTAACTAATACCTAAAACATTAAACTCCAGTTTTAGGCTGGAATGCTCTCTATTTTGATTGGCTTGTATTATGCCTTGTTTAAAAAGCAGTCCAGGCTGAAACACTTCTTATAACTTCAGTGCGAATGGGCAGGGCTAAACTGCTGTAGGCTGAATAGGCAGGCAAAAGCCAGTGTGTCACAAAAACAATGAATTCCAAATGGGCTGTTTTTGCAACTTATTTTCCATGGACTATATAGAGTGTAGAGTGAATGGTATATTTTCAAACGTATCACTGTTTATGTACAACATCAAATTTATTTAAAAAAAACAAAAAACAAAAGCAAGGACAGTTCATTCTTCCACAATATGGGCCCTTGAAACACATCAGTGCTGATTATGCATTGTGATTTTAGCAACAGCTGAAATACATGACATACCATTTCTCTTGTTTGCAGCTTTCACATTGGCTGGGCCTCACTTTTAAATCTCTGAACACCAGTGTCTTGTCTTCTTCGGAACTGGCCTCTCTGCATGGGGTGTTACCTCAGCTGGGGGCTTCATTCTTGCAGACTCTGTCTTCTTCTGAACTGTTGGAACTCTTCTCTCTGCCTGGTATACCCACTTTCCCACCTGCACAGGTAAGCACAGAGGATCATCATTACAAACTCAAGATGGAGACAAGTTTAATCGTGTTTTTAAAGTAACCACTTTCCACTGCAGGCCTTCCAGATTCTCAGCAAAATAGCCCAAGAAACAAACGTAAGTGGTGTCATAGGATCCATAGAACTGAAGTGTACTGAGATCATAAATATGTGCTTGTCAATGGTCATTCTGCTTTCTTGTTTAGATCAGTGCCAACACATTATGTAGGCTGAGGCCATTATTATCAGGTTTGGCTCCCGCCTTCTTGAGAAACCTGAGTGTACCTGACATGATGGGAACATCTGATTGTCAGTGCTGGAACTCTCTGCTGACTGAGCTGCGGCCTGCCCATCGCGCAATGGTCTACAGCGCAATACAACAGGTACCCAAACAAAGTAACGCTGATGTAGAATTTCTGGGCTGATTGTGACAATAAATAATAAATGCCTTGTTGTGGCTGATACCACTAACAGTTCATTGTACTGTCTTGCATTTTAAAAAGTATATCACTGGTGTTCGAACAAAACCTAAATTTTAGATGTTTTGGGCCTTTTTTTGGTCTGTTCATTATAAAATTTACACAAAATTTGAATGGCAACAGGCATTTTCAAATCATCTCAAAAATGAAAATAGAGATATGAGGTTTTGTTCCAACAGCAGTGATATACTATAATTTATAATGTCCAATGCAAAAGTTTGGGAGCTTCTAGTCAAATGACATATTTTGTTGATTTTCTGAGTGAAAATAAGTGAAAATAAGTAACACCTCCTCTACAGTGAACACACTTCTGCACATTTTAATGCACTAATACTATTTATTTTCTGAATTTAACATACTGGGGGGAAAAAAACATAACATGTGTCCTGTGCAAAAGTTATGGCACATTTTCCAAGAAAGTACAATTATCAGTTACTGTTATCAGCCACAGCAACTTGCTCAATGTCTATTATCTACCCAACACCCAACTACCAAAAAAACATGATGCGTTTCTCTTTTTGTAATAAGTAATAACAGTTTCACCACTCTGTGAACCTTTTCATGTGTGACGTAGATGTCAGCAAGCTACATACCCTGAAAATGAAATCTGTAGATGACAAATATAAGATGCATAAAAACAGCTTCAAGACTAATTCTGTCTATCCAGCTTTTGAAAAGATTATCCTTTTGGTTAAATTGAACCTCTTCTGTAATTTAGTGAACAACAATGGTCTATGTAATCTTGAACTTGTTTTTTGTTAAAGGGACATTCTGCCCAAAATTAAAAATGTAACAATTGGTACATCTGTTGTGAACATAATTACTCATATACTGCAGAGGTGCCGATACTAGAGTGAGATTTTCTGTGTTAAAGACGAAACCCCCACATTCTAATGATGTATCTTGAAGGTGGGTGGAACTTTTAAACTACTTTGGGGTGGATTTTGGGAGACGAGCTGTTTTAATTTTGTTTTTTAGCTATGGAATCGAGAAATAAGTCAGATAGATTATATTACTGCTAATAAATCTTACTGCAGCTGTAAAACTGTAATAATTGTATTGAAATCTTTGTTACAAAGTAGAGAACGCATTACGCACACAACAAAAAACGACTTATCAGATGAGGAGGGCAACAAGCTAAAAAGCTTAAGTTAGCAAAGTAGCTACCTGGCTATCTAGCTGAAAAGGTAAAATGCTTCCAATTTAAGCCGAATTAAGTTAGAATCTCTGTTTTCTTCAATGACTGTTCAATGTTCATTGTTCAATGACTGAAGTAAGAGTTACACTAATGCTAGCTTGCTTGTGTTTATCAGCCTATAAATCAGTGGCTAGGCTGGCAGTCATAATTGGTTGACACCACAGGGATTCTCACTGGTTGCGTAATGCATGCTGGGTATTGTAGTGAGAGAACTTTGATAGATGAAAGCATGAAGATGATATAAAACTGTGAATTCTATTCAAGTTTAGTTTTTGACCAGAATCCTGCTTTAAATATGAGAATTATAATGTCATGGCCTGGGCTAACCAGTAATTGTTTGGTCTGTAGGCTCTGGAAAATTCATCGGGAAACATCACCCTGTACCTGCACTGCCTTCTACCTGTTATTTCTCTGAAAAAACTGGCAACGGAACTCAATGGGCACATCATCATTCGCCACATTTCTCTATACAAGAACATGCCCTGGTCTCATCAGCAGGTAATATACAATTCAGTCCCTTTACTTGACCATCATAGTGTAAACAATTACTCTAAGATAACACAACTCTTACTGGCCAGACAAAGGTGAGGTCACATTTATTTGCAGCAGCTCATTGGTTATGCTACAGATGAGCCTTTCAGCAAATTAATACAAAGTGCCCCTCAGCTGCCTTCAAGCAAATTGGTCTCACTGTAGTACAATAGCTTCCACAAGGGAATATGAATTAGTAATGCCTGCATTAGAGTGATTTTGTCTCAGCCAAAGCCGTATCTCATTCAATCTTGATTGCCGTCCAACCTCTCAAGTTTTTCATTCAACAGGCTCAGCTGCTTTTCAAAATGATTCAGCATACGGAAAACATCACCAGAGAGACAGTACTGTAAGTGATATGAGGCTGCCCCATGCCTTTTATTGTTTTGATTTGTTTGTATTACAGAAGTAGTCACTGCTGTCTTAAAGGGGAATTTTCCAAAGTTGCTGTATAATTCAATCAAATAGCTTGTTGTAGAGACACTTTGTGACAATGGTGGTGATAGGAACCAGAGACTGTGAGGTCTACAACACAAATTTACCCATTTTGTATGACAGTAAAAAGAAAATATAAACAGAAAACAGTGATTAGTAAATTCTGTTTGACCTGTATTAAATTTAAAACAGAGCAAAAACATTATATTTTGTGTTTTACCTTCTGAACTATTGTTTTTTGGTAAATATTCACTTTGACACTTGCAGCTCATTTAAAAAAAGTTGAGACACAAGTATGTTTACATCACCATTCCTTTAAACAGCACTTAATAAATGTTTGGGGACAGAAAACACAAACTGATCCAGTGTTGAAAGTGTAATTTTTTTGCCATTTTTCTGTTATACAAGTCCTCAGCTGTGCAACCATACCTTTGCACATTTTCAATGGGAGACAGTTCTGGACTGCAGGCAGGGCAGTTGAAAACCTGCACTCTCTGATTAACACGTGCAGAATGTGGCTTCCCATTGTCATATTGAAATAAGCATGGATGTCCCTGAAAAGACAGCATCTAAAAGGCAGCATATGTTGCTCCAAAATGTGTTCAGCGTTAATAGTACTTTCACAGATGGCTTTTGAACTTTATCCTAGTAACAATCTAGGTGGTCCTTTTCTGGGCTGGAGAATACAACATCCATTATTTCCATAAACAATATGAAAGGTTGACTCGTCAGACCACAATACACACTTCCACTGTGCATCAGTCCATTTCAGATGAGCTTGAGTTCAGAGAATTAGGTGGTGTTTCTGGACATTGTTGACATGTATCTTCCACTGTGCATAGTACAGTCTTAACTTGCATTTGTGGATGCAGCGATGGACAGGGTTTATTGACACCAGTTTGTCAAAAAACTCCTGACACCATGTGGTGATATCCATCACAGAAACATGCTGCCTTTTATTGCAGTGTCGTGTAACGATTGGATTCAGTTGTGGTTTTCGGCCCTGTCCTTTACACACAGAGATTTTCCCAGATTCTCTAAATCCTTTTTTCCACTGTAGAGGGTGAAATACCTAAAATCCTTGCAATTGCTCAGTGAGGATCTTTATTTTTGAACGGTTGGATTTTTTGCTGATGTTTATTTGACAAAGTGATCAATCTTGACCCTTGCTCATAAAGGAATAGGCTTTTCCTAGCATTTCCAAGATGCTCCTTTTATTTACATATACAGTATGTACGCATTTGAACATTTCACAGTTTTCCAGGTCTTAAATTGCTCCTGTCCCAACTTTTTTGGAACACGTTGCAGGCTTCAATTTCAGAATGAGTGTGTATTTAAACATTACATATCTATACTGTTTTTGTTCAAATACAAGTCAAAGTAGATTTATAAATTTTCTGTGTAAATTTTTATTTGCATTTCACGTCCTGTCCCAAAAATAATCATTGAATCTACACATGAAATTGCTGTAAAATAGTAAAATAGTGGTAAATCTGTAAATAAGTTTTCTTTCAGTACTATTTTTTTCTGTCTTCAATATAAGTTAACAAATCCTCTAAAGAGAATTTAAATATGACATTTTTCTGCTAATTTTAGTGCACAATTTCTAGTACTTTGCTTGGTTTAACATATTGAAATCAAATCAATTGAATCAAAACAATGCCACTTTTGATGCATTTTCCCCCCAAAATGTTAAATTCAGCAAATAAAGAGTGCCTGTGCATTTAAATGTCCATAAGTATGTTCTCTGGAGAGGAAGTGTTAGCTTATTTTCACAATCAACAAAACATGTAATTTGACCAGGGGTGCCCAAACTTTTGGATATGACTGTACTTCTGCACCATGATTGAATTTTAACCAACATGTTTAAGAGCAAAACTGTATCTCAGAACTATCATAAAACAATGTCTCAGGCTTTAGGATGCATATTCATAATCATTTTATGTAATATCTTACTGTAAGGGAGCTTTTGGAGTGATTAAACGGTTCAGACGTCTGGTTACTATCATCTGTTAAACAACAGTTTCTCTAGAATGAAGCATTCCTCATCTAAAACCACTCTTGATTACTTTGTTTATGTCTTAAAACATTTAATTGTGCAGAAACTTTGAAAAATGTATGAAATTCCCCTTTAATATTATGTTCATATGAAGCATATTTCAGCTAATCTGTGAATACTTGTCTCCATTGAGCCTGTTAGACTAAACCCTGACATTGTATGGCTGCAGTATTGTGCTGTTTGTCGCTTTTACTTACAGACGTTTGGGTCACATTGCAAGCGGCATGAGCTGTAATAGGCTACGGCTTTGGGCCAATGAATCAGACTTCTCTGAATTGTTGCAGTTTATCACGGAATTGCCAGGAGGACTGAGGCCAGCTCTGGTGAGAATGTGTGAGACAAGCTTGAGACAGTTCCAGCAATCCAAAACAACTTGCCTCTACTGCTTTCCAATTGTTATGCCAAAGCAAAGTCTACTGCGCTGCCAATGCAAATAGCGTTTGTTACAAATGACACCACTGAAGGCTTGCATTTCTGGCTCGCCAGTGAATAACAAATGATACGTGAATACGCCAATACCATTACTGTGCTGATACAGTTCTGCATTTACCAGTCACATGGCAGTCGGTTTAAAGAGTTTTCTGTCTAATTAATTATTCAAATGAATGACTAAGCGAACATCATTCTACAAATGAAGGCTCAAGGGAAGAACCTGATGTCATTATATTATGAAAAATAATATGAAAATAATGTTTCCACAGAGGAAGTGTGTGGTGGAGGAGCTTCGGAAGAGGCCGAATATGGATCTGAACGGCATCAACCCTTTATTTGCTGCAGGATTACCGTAAGTTCAGTCATTTTTTCCCCCTCAGTCGAGCCCCTGATTTCCTCTGCCTGACTGTCGTATGTTGTCTCACAGAGTGCTGATGATGGAGCGCCTGTCCAACACCTCACTCAGGGCCATCCTGAACCACGTCCGACGACACTTTATCGATTTCCTGCAGCTTCCGCGACACAAGCAGATGGCCTTGGCTGAGAAAGCTATTGATGTTCTTGTAAGAGAAATGGCTTTTGGAGCATTCTGCTGGAATGGAAGAATTAACGCGTTGTTTAGAAACTCTTTCCAGCAGTCGATAAGAGTACATAAAATTTATTAAAATGCATGCCCTAGGCTTTTCACTATCTGCTTCTGTCAAAATTATATTACTGTATGCATCAAGGGAGCTGGACCAAGGCTCCTCAATTCTTTATCTAGAATTGAATCAATATGCTGACAATAAATTTGCCCAGTGAGCTAATACTCTTCCTTCTGTGAGTCAACACAAATATTTCTTCATTTCCTCCTCCCTGAAGCAATTTCCAACCTTACTTTCAGGGTATTTCTGAGGACCATCTCTCTGGAACCTCAATGGACCTGCTGGGTCCTCTGCTGCTTTTCCTGGACAGGGATGCGCTGGCCCAGGTGGACAGAGAGGCTCTGAAGCTGCGATTAGAAGATCTGAGACAATACTGCATGCCTTCTGATTTCTTCAGAGAAATGGCTGCCCTGCTTACAGAGAGGAGCATGCTGGGGTGAATCCTTTTTGTTCCAGTATACACATTCTTTTTCCTTGCCTAGTGCTGGACTACACAGCATTTTGAATGAAGATTTTACATTAAAAGGACAATATAGCTCATGACTAGGCCTGATCCCTGTCAGAGAAACTTACTCATAGGCCCAATCTCATTTCACCCCTTGCCCCTACCACTTAGCCCTTAGCCCACACTTAGAGGTAGGGTGTCCTGCTTTTGTTAAGATAGAGGCGTATGGCCAAGTGTTAGGACTACATGGCCCTCCAAAAGAGTTTTTCAGAGGCACAGTCCAAACAGAATGTTATGAGAAATAAAGGAAAACCGGCAAGATGGCTGCACAAGCGACCAAAGAAACCTACACATTTTCTCTATTAAAGAATCACGATAACCAGTGTTCTATTTTAGTTTAATGCCGTTTCAATGTATGGTCGTTTTCTTCATAACAAGCATAAAAAATCGCTAATAGTATGCTAATGTCTCGGTAGCTAGCTAGCTAAATTTCCTGTTCCACTTTAAATAGTCCAGCAGTTCTGACGCCTGAAGCACCAAAATTTAACTGCTGCACCATTTAAGGTGGAACGGGAAAATTCAAACAAGAAGATGGCAAATAGCTGACTTCAGCTTCATATCACTGAAGAATTAGGGGTAGGCGTTGATAAATAATTACCGCATTCCCCCTCTTTAAAGGCATATGATGCCCTAAATGTAACTAAAGCCCAGCAGTGAGGTTGCTGAACTTTCCCCTCCTCTGCTATCACTGCAGACTGGCAGGGTCACCTACAGAGCAAAGGTAGTAGACTGTTAATGAAGTAATGGTCTTTTATATTTGAGGGTTGTTTCATTTTGTAGTGGAAGATTTCAACCACTACCCTTTGTAACTCAGTTCCAAGGGGCAAAGTGTCACTCAAAAAAAAGGAGTAGGGGGTAAAAATAAGACATGGGATTGGGCCATAGTATAATACCTGACATTGAACTAGTGAGTTATCAGTTTGCACCAAATATATAAACATTCCTGATGGCATTATTAGCCTGTGATGTCAGGTCACCTGCGAAACCCGGGTTGTGAAACTTAAGAATCAGATTCATTTTGCTCAAACAGTTTGAATGATTCATTTTGAACGTTATTGCTCAAATTGTGTTGTTGTTACGTAATCTCAAATAAACTGGTTTCTGACACTGAATGACATTCTGCTATCTATAAAATGGACATAGTACATTGTATAGTTCAAAACAGTCATAGCAGCTAGAGGTGGGCGATATAGCAAAAATCTAATATCACGATAGTTGATACATATCACAATATATTTTTTTCTGAGGTTTGATAAGTTGGAACTGACACAATGCATCAAAAATGGAGTGCCACTTTTAAAAATATCAAAATCTAGAAGTAAAATGCCATGACAAACAGGACTGATGCTCGTTTTGTATTAAAAAATGCAGCTGGTCAGTGTTCCTTATTATTACAGTAACGAATACCCTTAGTACCCTTAGCAGCCATCTTGAAGCCTGAACTTTGAGGCTTCAACCACCTGAATTTTATGACTAGTTGCTAGCTTTGTGTCATACAGAAACAACATAAGCAAGTCTATTTGAAATTACTTAACAACTTAACATGGTACACTTTTTATGCTGGTTTATGCTGGTCTGGTGCTGGTTTCCCTGGTCACCCAGCATGGTCATGGTGGTTGACCAGCATATCAGCTTTCAAAACACAACATATGCTGGTTTTGCTGGTGACCAGCTATGTTGGTCTATGCTGGTTTTTCTAGCAGGATATGAGGTGATTGTGTGATAATTTAGTTATGCATTTTGCATGATGCTAACCTGGCGGCTATAAGCTTCCAATACTTGTTGGCTATGTTAGTCTTGTAGTTCCAGAAGCAGCCTTTAGGGGACACCACACATGTCTTGGCTGATTAACTATATGGACAAAAGTATTGGGACACGTACACATTACACCTACAGAAGCTTTTATGACATCTCATTCTAAATCAATAAGTATTAATATGGAGTTGGTCCCCCTTTGCAGCTATAACAGCTTCCACTCTTCTGGGAAGCTTTCAACAAGATTTTGGAGTGTGTCTGTGGGAATTTCTGCCCATTCATCCAGAAAAGCATTTGTGAGGTCAGACACTGATGTTGGACGAGAGGGTCTGGCTCACAATCTCTGTTCTAGTTCATCCCAAAGGTGTTTGATTGGGTTGAGGTCAGGGCTCTGGGTAGGCCAGTCAAGGTCTTCCACACCAAACTCACCCAGTCATGCCTTTATGGACCTTGCTTTGTGCACTGGGGCTCAGTCATGCTGGAATAGAAAATGGTCTTCCCCAAACTGTTCCCACAAAGTTGGAAGCATACAATTGTCCAAAATGTCTTGGTTTGCTGAAGCATTAAGATTTCCCTTCACTGGAACACAGGGGCCTAGGCCCACCCCTGGGAAAACAACCCCATAGCATCATCCCTCCTCCACCAAACTTTACAGTTGACACAATCAATCAGGCTCCTGGCATTCGCCAAACCCAGACTCATCCATCAGACTGCCAGATAAAGAAGTGTGATTCATCACTCCACAGAATATGTTTCCACTGTTCCAGAATCCGGTGGCTCCATTCAACGCTTGGCATTGTGCTTGGTGATGTAAGTCGTGCATGCAGTTGCTCGGCCATGGAAACCCATGCCATGAAGCTCCCGGCGCACAGTTTCTGTGCTGATATTGATGCCAGATGAGGTTTGGAACTCTGCAGTTATTGATTCAGCAGAGCTTTGGGGACTTTTATGCACTGTGCACCTCAGCACTTGGCGACCCGCTCTGTTACTTTACATGGTCTGACACTTTGTGGCTGAGTAGCTGTGGTTCCCAAATGCTTCCACTTTTCAGTAATACCACTCACAGTTGACCGTGGAATATCTAAGAGGGAAGAAATTTCGCAAACTGACTGCGATGGTGGCATCCTATTACAGCACTTTGCTTGAATTCAGTGAGCTCTTTAAAACGACCCATTTTTTCACAAATGTTCATAAAGGGAGATGCTTGATTTTATACACCTGTGGCAATGGGACTGAATAAAACACCTGAATTCAATAATTAAGAGGAGTGACCCAATACTTTTGTCTATATTGTGTAATTTAGGTAAGGGGAAAACTGGGCAAACTAGATTTCTGGACAAATTAAAGAATAATTATTTTGGTAGAGAGCAATGTTGGCATGTAATCAGAGTAGATTAATAGATGACTAGTTTTGTATCTGATCTAGTTCCTCTTCCCTCCACAGAGAGCCAAAATCATGGACAGTGGGGGATGTTGAACATGTAGGCCGGCTAGTGTTCACCCTGTCCCCACAACAGATACGATCTCTACCACTGGTAAGAAATCTTTGAAAATGTGACACGCAAGCCTTGTTATTAAAGCTTAGCCAGTCTGCGCTGTGTTGCTACATTGTGTTGAAGGCCATGTTTCTATTAGGATGATTTAGGCAAAGACACAGTCGAGCAAATTCTGCAGAGTCAGTGGCACTGGAAGGACTCTGCTCTTGGTAAAGTGTGCGCCGACCTGAAAGGATTAAAAGACAAGATCTATAGCCTCATTCACAAGATTGTCAAAGGGCGCAGGTGGACAAGGAGAGGTGAGGCATGTTTATGGCTTCAATCTGCTGAGTTTGTTAAGAGACTTAATCAGAAATTACTCATATGACCTTATCTGTGAGAGAAAGGTCTGTATGTGTTTATCAGAGCCAACTCCCAGCTGTGCGGACGTCAGAGGAACCTTCCCCTCGGCCTGGCGCTGGTATCAGCTGAGTCGAATGAAGAGAAGGGAGCTGGAGGATTGTGTTGAGTTTATGGGTCAGGATGGTTCACTGGATGCTGAGCAACGTGGGGTGCTGTGGGCAGAACTCAGACCGGTCAGTCCACAAACACATAGCACACAGAGTATAGGGCTACAATATAATGAGGAATTTCAGTTTAAATCCAAATGAAAGAAAAATATGTGTACATGTAAAGTCGTATGCAGAAGTAAATGCATATGTAGATGAAATATCTGTAAAAGTGTCAATTTTTAATATTTACATGTACAAGTTTGAACAACCCCAGTAAAATTATGTTTTTGTGACATTAAGTGACAGTAAGCTTACATGTCCTTTGCAGTGTTCTTCGACTGTATGTTGCTATATGTAATTGAACCATATTATATACATATTTTAAAAAAACATTGAAAAATATTGTACCTTTTTACATATGGGAAACCCTTTTGGCTTCGTTAAAGACTCAAAAAAATCAAAAAGTAAAAATGAAATGTATACAGTTATCTTTTCACCAAGAAACTTTTGGTGACTGAAATTTGCTTCTTTACTTTTGTACTACAGCCTCAAGGCTAATGTAGCTTTGAAATAATGGAAGCTTATTGCTGCTATGTTCTCATTAAATCTTCACACACCTCAATCTCTGTCAAGTTGTTAAGTAATCTTAAATAGACCTGCTGACATTTTAAGACATTCTGTTAGACTTCTATACTAACATTTTTGGCCATATAACACACTTTTGTCCATTTCTATATGTCACACTCACACAAAAACCTTTTGTGTCCAATTCCGTTGTTGTTTACTTCTTGCATAACTCCTTGCATAAAACTCCAGTTACCATTTGCATTATCATTAAAATTTCATGATGAACGAACCAAAAGAAATGGTTCAAAATTACCTCAGGAAAAATCTTATTACATTAACTTTCATCAGTGCACAAAATGTCTTGTCAAGTAAAATTATCTGTCAGTAAAGTGAAATACTTTTACTCAATAAAATGTCTGAAAACAAGTAAATAGTGTCTATAAATAAGTTAAATAATCTTAATTTAGGCTTGCAGCAATCTCAACAAGAGAAATATCAGATGTATTGACTATATTTAAGACAATTGTACTTGACATGATACCACTTTTGTGTAGTGATTACGAGTTAAGATCGTTTTTCTTTCTTCTGTATTCTTTGGAGGTATGAGGTTTTGTTCTGGCAGCGACGGTATATAACAGTAGACATGCAATATTTATGATCCTAATTAGTAGCTATGAGCTTCCATTACATGTTAGCTACATTAGCTTTCTAGCTCCATTGCAACTAATGAAGCAAAATTTGGACACCAAACATGTCTTGGCTGACCACCTACACTTGGGGTAAGGTATATTTGTTTTTGGCTGGAACATGACTTTTAGCTTTGTCTGAAAACTGACCCTTAAATAGATTGGTGGTGACAAAGCTTAGGGGGTTTTCTTTTTGTGTGTCTAGCTTTATAAGCCGGTTAAGGCTCTCAGGGCGGAGCAGCTGTTGGAGCTGGGCTGTATCGTCACTGAGATGGGTGAGAGAGAGCTGCAAGCTGCCAACCTATCTGACCTAGCTGTGGTAGCCTATCTTGGGAGCTTTGAGGAGTGGAGCACAAAGAAAGTGAGTTTTGGCACTTTTTGCTCTTGGTTTATGCAAAAAGAAACAAAGCACCGAAGAATGTGCAGAGATGACCTCCCGCTTCAGCGCCATATTATGAATATCTCTAATTGGCTATTTTGAGGTAAACAAGAACAGATGCATGTATTGCGTTATGTGCAACTGGGGATTTGGAGACCTCTGTGGTGGAAATATGTAATTGCATGCAACTGGTGGTGATTTTATCCACTGTGCTTTCACTACATCGCCATTCTTACCTACACGGTAAGCTGCACCCTGATAGTTAGCTATCCAGCCCATTCAGCCGACATGTGATGCCTGTTTGTAAAGACTCCTGACTCTCTAGCTTTTCGGCGAATATTTTAGGTTAAGTGTTCCCAACCTTTTGCAACTTGCGGTCCACACAAATTACCACAAAAGCTTCCGTGGCCCTTAGGAAGATTTAACGAGTCTGGCCTGAGTTTCCCAAAAGCATCTTAGCACAAAGATGTTTCTTAAATGGAAGAGCGAGCATCACATTGAACACTCTCTCTACCAGATAACATGATTTTAACACTAAGATGCTTTTGGGCTGCTTCACTTGTAGATGGCCAAGGATTTTAACTATTCATCCATGATCTATGAATTCCATATGATCTAAAGTTGTCATTTTACACTGACTTGCACTGAAAATATAGGCATAACTAGCTAGCATTTTGTTCACCAGTCAATGAACTCAATATAAATAGGATGTTTCCTTTTTGCAAATTATTACAATATGTGATATTTAAAATTAAGTTTGGTGAAATGTCTAGTGTGACAAATTTTGCATTAAAAAAAAAACAAAAAACAGCCAGCAGCCCCCTAGCAGGACCACTACGGCCCACTGCTTTGAAAACCACTGCTTTGGATTTTACATGTTGAGTCACAGCAGCACAATGGACACAGTGTTTTAGTGCATTTTTTTTCTCCAGTGACTCAGCAATGCTACTTCCTTTTTAACAAAGCTACTTCATTTTTAACAAAATAATCTTACCTCATGCAGCTTAAAATCTGTCAGCTTAAAAAAAAGTAGTTTCAACCTTTATTTGAATATAATTGGTGCTTTTTTAGGACACACTACCATAGAATTTGGGAACAGTCTCTTCCAATGACTGATGTCATGACTGCTGCTATCTTTGGTAGATGTATTGAAACTGTGAACATTTGCCACTTAAATCAGCCGCTGACGTGGTGTTTTTCAGATGAGAGCAGCTTTACAGGGAATAATGAGACGCCGTAAACAGAAGCCAGAAGAGCTTGGAGTGGTGGAGCTGGTTTCTCTTGGTTATCTGCTTTGTGGCTTCAGCTCATCAGAAATCTCCCATCTGGACCCTTCTAACCTGAGGTCAGCCTCATGTTTTGTCTTTTTTAGTTGCTACATTTTCAGATCTGTGACTATGATCACACTGTACCTCTCCAAATCTGTCTCATATTACTGTGATCTTTGTGTGTGTTAGTGTGGCAGCTTTCTTTCTGAGGGAGACGGTCCTGCCATGCTCTGAAGAGCAGATTGCAGCCCTAACTGCCCGACTGTCCAGCCCACTGGGCTTCGGCCCAGTCAGCAACTGGGGCTCTGAGGTCTTCACTGAGATCGGGACTCTAGCAGGTAGCCATTCATTGTTACCACATCAGTACTGCCAATATGTGCATTGAAAAACAAGTACTTCCTTCAGATGAAGGTCAGTAATGACCATGCAGTGATTCATTACAGCGACAAGTTCACCAAAAGTCAGCATTCCACAAATGTCCCCTGACCTCAAACATCCATCAGCCATGACGTTTCATGTCTGAGTTTGCATCTTCAATTAACTACTAGGCTAATGTAGTAATGAAGTAATGGAAGCTTATAGCCAAAAACTAAAACTGTGTGAGCTGCTTGCCTCAAACTCCACACTTAAAAAAGATGGTTCTTCAAGGATTCTTTAGTACAGAAAATGGTTCTATATAGAACAATGAACATTCAAAGAACATTTTGCATGATTCTTTGCATCGTCAAAGGGTTCTTCAGATAATAGAGAATGTGCTGTCAATGGTTCTATATAGCACCAAAATGGGTTCTTCTATTGTTACAATATTAAGCTTGTGACAGTAGAAGAAACCTTTTTGGTGCTATATAGAACACTTTTCAAAACAATTCTACATAGAACCATCCATAACGCATTTTCCATCGGTCTTTCATGATACAAAGAACCTTTTAATCATGCAAAGGGTTCTTTGAGTGTACATGATTCTATATAGAACTATTTTCTGAATGAATTGGGGACAATATTTAATTACTATTGGTTGAACCATGATGGTGATTTAAATTGCTATAATATAATATTTGTACGAAAGTCAGCACATCCACTTTTGCTGGATTTTGCAGTTGTATGGTCATGTATGTAGCTTTTGGAGGTTTGGTTGTTTCTGATTGGTCTAACTCAAGGCTGGCCTAAATGTGGCCTGCGAGCTAAAATTTCCCTGTGAGGACATTTGATTTGCCTACCAGAAATGATCCTAAACTTTCCCCTTCACTCAGTAGCCTAATAATCCGTTAATGATCTGATTTATAGCTCAATCAGAATAGAGTATGTCCACGTATAAACCTCAATCTGAATAGACTAGTCTGATTGAGGCCATTCAGAATACAATGTCTGTCCAATTGAACAAGGTGGGTAATCCTGTAAATAATCCATGAAATAAAAGAATAATTGCAGTGTAAACGCCTGTATCTGATCACATTCCCAATCGGAAAGTTTAAGTATGTTCTGCATGTGAGTCACGTCATAGTGAAAGTTTATAATGTTCAAAGTGCGGGAGCAGAAACTGGTCTGCAGAGGAGACGAAGTTTATGCTCTGATCTTTAAAAGATGGCGGTGGGACGGGGGCGCCCAGCTTATGTGTCTTAGAACACGACGTCTTCCTCTCGCCCTTCTTTAATAAGCACATGTGAAGTATGTTTTCCTGAGTCTGACATTATTTTAAAGTAATTAGAAACACAAGCACTGCTCACTGCTGCTCGTCTCACTCTGACTGGACTCATGTGATGCTCATTGTCATAGTAACATCTACACTAAATGGTTCTCTACGCATTACATGTAGTGAGCATGTAAATGCAGATTTACATCAGATTGTTGAGTAGAGTGAGAATAAACACCTCAGTCTTAATCTATAATCAGAATGTATTCAATCGCATTGGCAAAAATCTCTGCATGTGAACATAGACTGTGAGAGAACAAACATCTTCTTATACACAGCATCTTAAATTCTGTAATGTTGAAATACTTTAGTAATAAAATATTGTGTAATGTTATTAAATACATTTTAAAAACCTCAGTTTGAAGCCCACCGGCATTCTTTATTTGTATACTGTGTTTTTTTTGTTTTTTTTTTGGTTGTTGGCCCACCACAAACATTGCACTTTGGCCCCCTAAGACAGAAAGTTTCAGCACCCCTGGTCTAACTCATTTTCAGGCAGTTCACAAGCTCCATGTATTAGGTTATATTTGCCCACTTAAAACTTGCAGGCTGTAATAAAAACTGCAGCCGTCTTTCAAATTGTTTTGATATAAACACTCAATATAATCTTCCAGCTGCACCTCAAACTGCATTACGTTGTTAAGTAAGCTCAAATAGACCTGCTTATGTTACTCCTCACACTGTAAAACACAAAGTTATCTATAAAAAAACAGGCAAAAGTATGTGGCATTTTTATACTATTTAATACAGTGTTAGAAAATCTATTTGATACAAGTTAACAACTCAGTGTGGTTTGATGCAAATGTGTGATGAATTAGTCATGCAGTTTGCACAATGGTGGCAATAAGCTTCTTGCAAACTGCTTTAGCCTTGTAGCTCCTGTGCAAAGCTGTAGTAGTAAACTTTGGACACTAAACATGTCTTTTGTTGGAACCACCACTTTAATGATGATGAGCTCTCTCTCCTCAGCTGGACTGGATGACATGGTGTTGTCTGCCCTCATAAAGGAACAAATGGAAGGACTGACCCCAGCAGCAATAGCCCTGATCCCCCCAAGAAAGATGGCTGTAAGAGCTTCACCCTTTGAACTGAGACAGGAAATGCCTGTTAGCTTTTCCAGTGTGAAAGCAAATGGGTGTTTTTCACATAGTTGCTGTTCTTTCATAGGTGGTGTTTAGTGCTACCCAGCTCTCCTGGCTCAGTGCTGAACAGGCGTGGGCTGTGACGGAGGAGCAGTGGGAGGAACTGGACAGTGAGCAGAAGCAGGCCTTAAACATGGCACAGTATGAAGGCGAGGTCATGCTCGGACACAGAGGTGGGTCAGACAGTGTCCCGAGGAATTATGCCTGATCTCAGACCAGTCCTAGTTTTGTTCTGACCGTTAAAGGGCCCATAATCTGTGTTTTTGATTTTAGTATTAAAACAGTCATATTTCATTTCTACATGATCATTTTCCAACCTCTCTTTATCGCTTAGAATGATATGTTTTTGTTTTGCTGTGCTATTAAGACTGATATATGTAAATGACTGTCTGTCTGTCCTGATTGGCTGCAATTCTATGTCCTGCGTCAGACGAGTTCATGGTCGGAGGCTCGTGCGAAACAAGCTGTGCACCAGCTGGTACTGACGTTTGAATAACTATAATATTTTCCAGATTCCAGCAGTGTCTGACGGCAAGGCTGTATTGGACACACATATGAGATAAATGAGAAATCTGATGAAGCTGAATTTGGCTTCTTATTCGAATTTTGCATTCCACTTTCAATGATGCAGCAGTTAGTTTCAGGCTTCTGTACAGTGTACCTCTTGCACCATTTAAGGTGGAATGGAAAATTCAAACAAAAACTATTTTGCACATACATATAAAATATATACTTACCAAGCACTTTATTTGAAACACCTCCTTGTATCTACACTTATTGTCCATTGTATCAGCTCCACTTACCAAAAAGGTGCACTTTGTAGTTCTACAATTACAGACTGTAATCCAACTGCACTTTGTTTGCCCCTTTTCAGTCTGTTCTTCAATGGTCAGGACCCCCACAGGACCACCACAGAGCAGGTATTATTTGGGTGGTGGATCATTCTCAGCATTGCAGTGACACTCACGTGGTGGTGGTATGTTAGTGTGTGTCGCGCTGGTATGAGTGGATCAGACACAGCAGTGCTGCTTGAGTTTTTAAACACTGTGTCCACTCACTGTCCACACTATTAGATACTCGTACCTTGTCAGTCCACCTTGTAGATGTAAAGACAGAGACAGTAGCTCATCTGCTGCTGCACAGTTTGTGTTGGTCATCCTCTAGTCCTCTATCAGTGGTCACAGGACACTGTTGGCTGGATATTTTGGGTTGGTGGACTATTATCAGTCCAGCAGTGACACTGAGGTGTTTAAAAACTCCAGCAGCACTGCCGTGTCTGATCCACTCAGACCAGTGCAACACACACTAACATACCACCACCCCGTCAGTGCCACTGAAAGTGATCCACCAGCCAAATGATACCTGCTCTGTGTAACAGGGGGCTAAACTGCTTTAAGCTAAATGGGTGGTCTGATGTAAGTGACATCACAACCATGATAAATCCAAAACTGGACTTAGTTTCTAGCTATGAACTATGTGGACTGAGGAGTGAATGGTATTTTTTCAAACTTTACAGTGAAGCTTTTCCAAATGTACATCAACCTCTTAAAACAAAAACAAGAAAATGTTCCATAATATGGGCCCTTTAAAGTAATACTTCACCACAAAAAGTGCTAATAATGTATGAAACAAAACCAGTCAGCATTATTTTATGTGCATTATGCTAATTGGCTTCTATTAGCTTTTATTCATTGTTAGTCACACTTGCATTTGGGTGATGCGTTCTTTTAATTCCTTTAATGGCAGCCAGGAGAGATTGATCTTCAGGAAGTTATACAGCTCTTAAATAAAATCCACAAGGCTATTTTGTATTCTGCTGTTTTACACTATATTTTGAATGCAGTAGGGACGATCGCCAAATGACTTTTTCCTTTTTTAAACTGTAATAGCACAGCTGTCTCCATGTCATTTGTCATCCTAACACAGAATGTATTTGTCTCCGCAGGCAGGAATCGGGCTCCTTCGGTGCAGTTTCCTGACAACCTCACAGCATGTGTGTTATTTTTACTCTGTATTCTGTGGCATTTATTATAAACACCAACAGGAGTGTTACTCATTCTTATTTATTTGGTGAACTTTATTGAATTCTTATACTTTTTTGATTAAAAACCAACAACAGAAAAAAATGAACTACTGTTTATTTGTTCAGATGACAATTTGGGCTGAATGCAGTAAGATGAATGGAAGATTTTTGTCCACTGATCTTCCAACTTTTGTCCTTTTTCTCTTTTGCCATCTGTTCTGCATTGTACAAGTTGGAACTATGAACATGCATACACAACTAAAGATAGATGACCAGATTTTTTCTCTCAACATGATTGGCAATGAGCCAATTTATTATTTTTATTGTGGCTGATCTGTATTACAATGGCATACTGTACTGTACAAAAGCCCCAGACCACCCTTTATTAATTTAATTTCCTCTCAAAAGTGCTTTAAGTACAAGTTTATTTGTTTTTCAGGAGATATTTCTGGGGAGATTATATATAAGATCATTCACTTGCGTAAGGAAGATGGAAGTCAAAGGAATATAAATGAAAAAATAGGACTGAAATATTAAAATCATTAAAAGCTACAGAGAAAATATAACTCCTAACAACCACCTGCAACACCTGATAGACCACCAAAACTGCCCCCATCAGATAAACAGCACTCAAAGCTTTCATCTTTGAGAGAGAGGAGAAAATCAAGCTGCTTCAGATCTGAAAACATCCACAGGTGTTTCTGTCCATCGTTCCACTGTGAGAAGACAACTCAGCGCTATGGGTCTGAAAGGACGTGAAGCTGTCAAGAAGACCTTACTGAGAAAACGAGACAAACACATCAAACAAAGAAGCTGAACAATGGACTGACCACCCCAGAGTCCAGACCTCAACATCGCTGAATGTGTTTATTATTTAGAAGCAGAGAATGCAGCCAACCTCTATGACTGAACACACATTGCTCAACTATAGTGAATCTACATGGATCCCAAAGGCAGTTATGCTAAACATTTTGGGGCGGGTGTTCTGGACAGGGATTAAGCCTAGTCATGGACTATATTTTCTTTGCAGTGCAAAAACATCATTCAAAATGCTGTGTAGCCCAGGAATTAGCTTAAAACCTTTGTCTGAATACTTAGGCCCTACTTGTCAGAGAAACAATGTTAAAATGGTGAAAGATAAACAAGCAAATGGATGAACAAAGTACATTACTGCTGTCGGAACAAAACTTTGTGTCTCCAAAATTATAACTTTACAAGGAATAGAAAAAATATACTTTGCTTTTAATGGAAGTCAATGGAACCAGACTTTTTTCCAAGTAATTTTGGTCCATTGACCTTGAAATCGACAAATTCTTTTGGTCCATTCATCATGAAATGGACAAAAGGCATTTTCAAATTATGTCTGAAAAAAAGTGGAGATATGAGGTTTTATTCAGACAACAGTGATATTTTATTATAACGCTAAGCCGAATCTGTAGGCTATAACTGACCGTCTGACAGTATTTGATTTTTCAAAGTAGTGCCCTCTCAAAGCAGAATGATGGAAGTCTCTTCATCTCTGTGGGAAAACGTGTGAAATGTATGGAAGCTCATTCCCTCCACGTAGAGAAGAAAAAAATCACAACTTCTTTGTTTCTGGCAGCATTATGCCACAATATTGACTGAGTATTCTGAAATAATGAAGTTTTCTCAAAGTATGATCTTAAAATATTGACATTTTCTCAAAATATTTACTTACAATCTCAAAATAATGACTAATGTTCACAAAATATTGACATTGTATTTCAAAATAATGACTTATGTTCTCAAAATATTGACTCAGTATTTTGAAGTAAGGACTTATTTTCTCAAAATATGGACATATCATTTTGAAAAAAGGACTTAGTTTCTCAAAATATTGAATTTGTATTTCAAAATAATGACTTATTTTCTCAAAATAGACTTAGTATTTTAAAATAAGGACTCATTTTCTCAACATATGGACTCATATCTCAGAATAATAGCTTATTTTCTCAAAAAATTGACTTATTTTCCCAAATATTGACATAGTATACTGAAATAATTACTTTCTTGAAATGTAATCGTACAAAAAAAAAGTTTATGCTGGTCTCTGTGGGAACATATGAAATGTATGGAAGCCCGTTTCTGCCAGTTAAAGGAGAAAAATCGCAACACACTCAAAATTCTGACTTATTTTCACAAACTATTGACCTTTTTTCTGAAGAAAAAAAAAAAGATTTATGCTGGTCTGCTGCTGTTTTGGTCTCAGCATACCAGCGTCCAAGACACAACATCTGCTGATTCTCTGGTGACCAGCTATGCTGGTCTGAGCTGGTTTTTCTAGCAGGAAACTCATTGACATAGTATCTCAAAATCTTGGGATACATAATGATTTTGTGATCAGTCTATATTTTCCAAGATTTGATAATTCATGATGTCAATATTTATAAAAAAAAAGAAATCATTATTTTGATAGACTGAGTAAAGATTTCACCAAAATTTTGAGAAAAGTCAATATTTTGACTGTTCCCAGAAACAGAGGAAAAAAAAACATTTTTTTCTCCTCTATCTGAAGGGAATGGCTTCCAAAGACATGCTTGTGTAACCTCAGTGGAGTAGGCTGTCAAATATTTTGCCAGCAGCTACAGAGAGGAGGAGAATTGCTGTCATATATCTTCCGCTAGACTGGAGCTGGTTAGCCGCTAGATAATCTGTTTCTGTTCTGCTCTCAGTTATATTTATTATAAGTCCAACTGTAGGTATCAGCTCATCAGCTCCAGCCCAACAGAAGACCCATGAAGCAATTCCCCTCCTCCTCTTCCATAGCTGATTGAGTCAGGTGTGATCTATTTGATGAGTGAGAGAGAAACACAGCAGACACAGTATCCAGACACCCTTCTAATTAATGAATTCACTGTAAGGTGCTCCCATTTTCTGACCCTCACTCAGCTTGTAATCTCTACAGAAAAACCAGTATCAATAGAATGGAATGCTCTGGAGCCTACGGTCACTGAGCGTCAGCTGGAGGGGTACAAATACCTTTGGGATGAGTTGGATTGATCCAGAACTGTTCATGTAGTGTATTCCACAAGGATTTCTCATTACATTTCTTCATTTAAGCCATGTCTGTCTATCAAAAAAAGAATGTAAAAGAACGTATCTTGCCTTTTAATACAGGACTGGCTTCCCATTTGGATCATCTGGCTAGCTGAAAATTCCTGCTTTGTTTTTTTGGATCTGAGCATGTCACATGATCTTAAATGTGAATTCGACTGATTTTTCACATTTGAGATGTAAACAAAGTCATTGAGATTGGTTTGGTGTGAAATGGTTAAGACTCAGATTTCTTTACAGTGGTGGTGACAGGAACCAGAGGTCATATTGTTTACACTGCAAATATAGCCATTTTCTTTACTATCCAAAACAAACAGTGAACCTACACGTGTCTTGTGAGTTTATAAATGTTATGTTGATAGTAAAATATGCATCAATCTGGAAAAAAGTCTTGTTTGGCTACTATTTATGAAACCAGAATGTAACTGCTGCACCATTTAAGGAAGAACAGGAAATTCGATTGAGAAGTCAACTTCAGCCTCGTGAACCATTTTGCCTTTCAATGTATTAAAAATACATTTTAGGGAAAACGCCTAAAACCTTAGACTTTAAGTGGTTTTAGGTATCAGAAAACGTATTTATAACTATTATGTACAAAAACCTTTAGTAAGGAACGTTAACTTAGCTTAAAGCAACACTGTAGGATTTGGGGATTTGGGGCCCTCTCTGGTTGAAATACATAATTGCATGCATTGTGTGGAAGAACATCTTGTAACGTTGGTTACGCTGCGGACCCCCACAAGCAGACGAATCTGACTTTTACATGTACGTTGAAAGAGAATTCAAAGAGAAACCAGTCAAAACTAGGTGAAGGACGAGTCTTCTGAGGATGTGACTGAATTTTGCTGCTTTTAATGCTATCAAGTATTTTGCTCGATAAGTTTCTCTAGGAACTATCAAAAAATTCACTATAATTAAATGGTTAGGGTGTGAAATCATTCAGAGTGGTTTGGTGTGAAAAGCTCTGTTCTAAAGAACCGTACCGAGTTAGGATTGTTCGCAGTGGTTGTGATGGGAACCAGACGTCCATCTCTAAAAGCTCCCTCATCGAAAGTTAATACATGACATGGTTATGAATATGCTGCCTGATTTCTGAGACATTGTTTTATGATGGTTCTGTGATAGTTTGGGCTTAAAATATATTTTGAAATAATAAATAGTCACCAAAGAAAACTTTTCTTTTCAGATTTCTAACAATTTAACTGTCATCAGCATTATATAAACTCAGAAGACATTATGACCTCTAGTTCCTATCACCAACACTATAAAGAAATCTTGGGTATAGATTCTGTACAATGAACCATTTCACATCAAACCACTCTAAATGACCGTCTCATGGACTCGATTATTCAGAAATTTTGACAACTTGGTGGGATTCCCCTTTCAGTGTAACTGCCCGCCTCCTACACCAGGTGTCGCCAGAAAACCGATGCTTTTTTCGCAGTGGGCGTGTCTAAACCGCGTTCGTCCGTGACGTCGTGACGTGTTTCCTTAGCAGCCTCTGCGTACGGCTCGCAGGGGGAAGCGCTGCTGTTGTTGTTTCGTCGCGTTTGTGTTTATATCTTTTATTTATCTGTTTTTCGTTTGTTCGAGGCTATGGTATGGTGTTCGGCGGAGACGTCGGCGTGTCGGTTGCTGAGAACGAGCCTGCGTGCCGTCGCTGGGTCGCGTAGCGTAAGATGGAGCCGCCAAAGTTTCCCTGTTGTACAGTAAACACACGCGTAGCTACGTGAGAGCGAGTGAGTTGTGAAGTAACTTAACGGTATATTTACGAGGCGGTCGAGTGCTGTTCCTCCAGTCCGTCGACGCAGCTCTCCGCAACGCCTCTTCAGCTCGCTCGCCCCCAGCACCACACGGACTCCCGGCTGAAGGGATGCCGCTGTCCGCGTAAGCAGCTTCGGGGAGCCGCTAGTGCCGCTCGCTCGCACCTTAACGCGGTTTAGGACGTTTAACTCCCATTATTTCCCGTAATTTTCCCACAGGGACGCGCAGGAGAGCCGGGCAGAGAGCCTCGTTTCTCCAGAGACGCTCGAGTCATTTGAGTTTGAGTTTTGCTGTGTTACAGCTACGAGACTTTACTAGTCAGGAGCGATTGGTTGTTCAGGCATCTGGGATACTTCAGCACGACTAGATGCGGTAAGGATACTCTTTCATGAGCTTCTATAAGTAGCAATAAAGTTCTTACTTTTACAGCCAGGTCTTGTTCTTTGTTCCTCAACAATGCGTGGGCTACTGGCCAATTAGGAAGACTAAGACGAAGCTGAAGTCAGCTTCCTATTCTCCAGCTTCTTGTTCGAATTGTCCCGTTCCACCTTAAATGGTGCGGCGTTCTGAGGCGCCAGAATGTAACTGCTGCACCATTTAAAGTGGAACGGGGAAATTAGGACAAGAAGCTGGCGAATAGGAAAGCAACTTTAGCCTCGTAAGACTGACTTCCTTTTCCTCTAACGTGGGAAAAGGTGTTCCTCTATCCAGCACACTGGTTCTTCAAGGTTTCTTGTGAAGCCTGTTGTTTTATAGTTGTGTAGCTAGAAACAGTTGTGTGAAAAACCTGTAAATGCCTGTATGTAGCACCAAAAGGAGCTGCTGCAATTGTTAAGTCCTACACTGTTAAAAGTGGTGGTTCTTCAAGGGTTCTTTATTAAAGGGATTTTTTTTTATGTAGAACTTTATCAAAATAGAGTGGTTCTTCTATTGTTATGATATCAAGCTTGTAATCCTTTTGATGCTATATAGATTCATTTTCAAAAAGGTTCTATATAAAACTATGTACAGCACACTCTCTATCAACCTGAAGAAGCATTTCACCAGGCAAAGAACCATTTAATTGTGAAGTAGTTCTAGATAGAGCTTAGGATCCTAAATAGAACCATTCCCTTTACTAAAGAATCTCTGAACCATCTTTTTTAAGAGTTTACAACCTTTTTTCGTCCTATTTAACTTAAAAACCTTTCTGTTAAGAGTGTAGCTAATGATACAGCAGTAGTTTAGTAGTTTTGTGGTGGGTCAGTGTTTCAGATGTTAATTGAATTCTTGCAAATTAAGTTCTTGCAAAAAAAGCAGCTGGAACCGATTAGGTAATGGCTGTGTGAGTTGGTCCAGTTCTTGGACAATACAGAGCTGAATTTTTCATTTTGTTAATGTATCATTTGTGACTAACATTTACTCTAGGTCCAGTGTTTGCCTTGAGATCAAGTAAATCCCAGCCATTTAAACCAGAGAAGTTTACTTTGATTTGATTCTTCCAGGCTACATTTTGAACAGCTTAATGAAAGAATTATCAGACCAAAGGTTAATAAAGGCTTTTGCCTTCTTATGATAAATGCTGGCTAATGATTTATGCTGTTGTACAATCGAAGTACGGTTACGCTGAGTCTTGCCCTGGAACAAACAAGCTTAAAAACAAACTACTTTGGTAGTGCTCATGGATCTTCATACTTAATGCTTCAGCTAGATGGAGAGTCCGTTTTTGCCTTTTTTGTTGTTCGCAGCCAATCACTGGATGTTTTTCCTCCTTTACATTGGGATAAGGAATCATTTTGGTGTTCTTGCTACTGTGTAGCCTTAACCTACCGGATATTCAAGTTCTGGACGCCTTCGTACTTGACTGTGACTCATTGGGAGAGAGAGAGTATGACTGGAAAAATAAGTCATTCACTGCTTGTTTTCAGTTGGAATAAAGCCTAGGCTTCTCGAGAGATTGGCAGTCTAACATTTTTGTATTGTGACCCAGGCTAATGGGAGTAGACAGTCGAGTAGGGTTTATAAATTGTTGTCTGTTATAACTGTATACAGGCTTTTTTTTTTGTGCCTGAAGCAGTGTAGGCAAAGTCAGGTGATGTCATAAGAGTGGGTGTACTTTGAATTTAGTGTCAGCAGTGGCTTAAAAGCCTGTCGGGGAAGGTGCACACCTCTGTCTAGCTTCTGCTTCAGCGTTGGTTTGAGCTAAAATTGATATAGAAGTGAGTATTTGTCTTTATTTCACCATTAAATGTTTGTAAAACTTTGGACAATATATGTCTTACTTTACTGTTCCTGTTAGTATTGTGGGAAACAGCTGTTCAACTACATGAATGTGTGTTTTTAATAAAGTTTATCCCAGCTAGTGTTTGTTTTTAGCCTGTTCAGCTTATATTGGACTTTGGATTAATGACCTAGTCAGTAACAGGCAATGGTAGTGTTCGTGGAAGTTTGTAGCTCTGACAAAATGGAAACAGTTTTCTTATTGCGATGGCTGTGTATTGATAATCTTGTGACATGGAAGCATTGTTATTGGTGGTGGTGATAATCACATTTTTCTGGCTTGTTGCAGAGGCTTTGTTTGTGTCTGTGGCAGTTTAGAATGTTTTTCCTCCCTTTGTTCACTTCTGTCTCTCATTAAGTAAGATTATCATCCTGCTGTTTAGGCCTAATCTCCGTCAGCTGTTTTGCCCTGTTGTAGAAGCAGTTATTCTAAATTGCAGTTTGGTCCCTGCATGTCCAAATTGTGAGTGACTGCAATTAATAAGATTCATTTAGGAGCGTGCTCGCTGCGTCATGTTCTGGGGTTTCTACTTATAAAATCAATGTGCTAACAAGCCACAGATATTATGCTTGTGTGCTGGGTGTACACTGACTGCTCTCAGTTGTTTTTGTTGAATCATTTAAGAAATCGGTTGTTCTGATATCCTGACAGGTTGTGCTCAGCAGAGTGTGCTCTAAAAGTGTACCGAACTTAGAGATGGGCGACATGGCAGGAATGTAACATAATGATTATTCAAAAAGTTTTCACGAAATGTGATGTCATAACATTTTTTTTTCCTGATCTTTGCTAAGTTGAAACAGATAATTTAGCACCACATTTTTAAACAATACTTAAAAAAACTATGCATCTAATTAATTATATTGAATTTTAAAATTCTAAATCTAAATACAGGTGTAGTTACGCCATCCTTGTAATCAGACATGCAGTTCAGAAGTGTTTTTAGGTACTGACTGTATACGTGACATGCCCAGAAAAGCCTGTTGACATGTTGTGGTAAATTACTTCACAATATCTATAAATATTGTCACATTGCCCTGCCCTGATCTCAGTCTTGCACCTGTTGATCTCGATGAGCAACTCTCATTAGTCAATCATGCAGACTTTGACGCTGCCATTCGGTTGAAGCTTAAATATAGCTTAAAGTGAGACGGTGTTTTTAATTTTGCTAGCAATGTTAGTGTCATTTTAATCAAAACAATGTGGTTCAAACTGTAGGAGACATTTCTCCTGTGCCAGGTCACTCAAAATGATAATTCATTGTTCTGTATAGTTTGTTATGCTGCTCACATGGACCACTGAATGTATTGATAGATGAAGTAAGAAGCTGAATTTGTTTAAACTGAAGGGCTGAGAACTTATTTTCTTAACAATAAGGCTAAAATATAGCAGGCTAAACCAAAAAGATGGTTAAAAAGCTACTATTGAATATTTACTGAATAGTTCCCTGGAGAACTGAAGATTGTGTTAACCAAATGTCTTACATGATTCAAAAGTTTTTGCTAGATTTGTTTTCAGCAGTATTAAAACTCTGTTGGATAAAAAATTCATGATGCTTTTAGCTGGATGCTGACACAAGACTCGTGTAGAGGTGCAAGCAGAAATTAGAATTATCGTTGTGGTGTTAGTTTGGTAAGCAAAAATTACATGTGGGGTGAAGATTTCTTAATTGAACACTGATATATTATGGCTACGTTATTAATCTGTATTACAGAAAATTAAAACAGTATGCATTGATGGGTGACAAAGTTCTTCTTCAGAAGTCCACAGCTGCTTGTCAACAGCAGCATACTCTAAAGCAGGAGTGCCCAATCCTGGTCTTGGACATCTACCACCCTGCAAAGTTTAGATCCAACCCTAATCTAACATGTCTGATCTAGGTAACAAAGGCCTACAGGAGCATCTGAATATCTGAATTTTAGAGCTTGGTGTGTTGGATCTAAATTTTTGAGGGTGGTAGATCTCCAAGACCAGGATTGGGCACCCCTGCTCTAGAGGATCTACATGCAAGCTAGCTAAACGCCCCTAATAATGGACCATAGGTGATGTTTGTGGTGACTTATTTACTTTGTCTTACTATCAGCTTTGTGGAAAGTTTTATCCTTGCTGCTGATTGAAAATGGTGACATCTGATGGACTTTTCTGTTATAAAACTGCCCAATGATGCTTCTTAATTAAAGATGGCTGTTTGTTTTGCTAGAGCCCTTCCAAATTGTGATCATCCAGAGATGGATGACAGAAGTAAAGCTTGAAAACTTGCAGACGTGATTGAAGTATTCAAATCCTTTAATTGGGTACAAGTATAAATAACGGTCATCATTCTGTGCTAAGTGATGGTCCAGTATTGAGAAATTCACCCTAATCAAGTAATAGCTTTGTAAATATTAAATGCAAAACCCCCAGTCTGTGTAGTGTTTCTTCAAATTTGAGGAATTCAGATCTTTCTGGCAGTGTAATCCCAAACAAATATGCCTAAATGTTCTGCAAATGTTGTTTGTGTCACAGATTTTTCACGTCATATCATTTATGAATGTAAGTGAAGTTACTAGGTGTTAAAATGAAGTCAAAAGGAGCATAAATCTTTTAGGGATTACACATTCTTAATGTCAGTCCTCCTTTTGACTCCACTTTATTTATTTAATATGAGTAGACTTGCTGGTAAGCTCAAAAACTACATAAAGTCTGTGATAGAAACAATCAGTTACATCTCAAGGTGTAATTAATGTACTTACAGTACAAATAGTTAAAAAGGAACTTAAATATAGTAGTGGAATACGACTGTTTTTTCTTTTTGGTTTCTTCAGTAAACTTTTGTCCAAGGAGGCAGGAATATAATCTGTTTGAGCAATTTTCTTTCTGTGATGCACTGGCCTTTTCCATGATGATGAATATAGGACTGTGAAATAGTGGTAGGACAGGTAGGGCTGGTGGAGAACTCACGACAAGGAGTAAATATAGCTGCATTCTTTTGACATGGTGACAGTAAAGCTTCTATTTCTCTGTTGTTGGTAGTCTCTAGAGGCTGATCAGGTGTTTGCAGATACTGGGCAGATTAGGGAATGGCACGACTGCTTTGGTTGCATAACCACTCTCGTCACTACCTATTTAATATGAGCTACATTTAAACCAAATTGACCAGTAACAAAACTGGACTGGTCAGGCCATTGTTCTGAGAACACCAGCAGCTTATTTGTTGTCAGTTGTCATTATTAGTCTCAAAATTTCATACCAGTGGATCCCAAACTATGATATTCATTTTAATATGCTGCTAAAGGCATTGAAGTTAAAACGAAGAGCAGTTTCCCTTTTTTGCTGGGCTACAGGGTGAATAAGCTAAAAGCGCTATAGGCAACATGAGTAGTTGAGCAAGTTCAGTGGTCTGGAACCATTTCTCTGAGAATGCTCAGATATCTGCATTGATGTTTTGTCTGCTCTAAAAGGGTGTTAACACTCTGCCTGTGAACAAGCACCAGGAGCTTAAAGACACAGATAGGGGATGGACCTGTCTGAAGGCCGTGCTCTATAGGTTCCTTCGTCAGCTGCTGTCTGGCGCAGGGAGTGGAAGAAATAAGCCAGCTGATTGCAGAGATAAGGTACGCTGCCTTTATTGTATGTCTTCCTGTACTTAAGGATAGAAAACAGCTGTCACACTAAGACTTTATCAGTCTTTACCTGTCAATCTTTGCTCAGTGTAATTAATTTAGTATGGCATTTTATAATGAGTTCATAACATATGCCATAGTCAGCTGTAACTGCAAGATATGCAAGTTCCACAATTAAAAGTTTCCTGTTTTCAAAAGACTTCATTCTGTGAAGTGTACTTCCAAGTTTAGCAGAATCAACATAGTAGCTGTTAGAAGACTCATATATCTTGTGACAGGAATAGTTGATATCATCAAAAGTAAGCGTTTTGATGCCTTATCAAATAATTGAAACAAAGTAAAATCAGTTCATCGAATTTAGCACTGTATTTAGGATCTTTCATATGCCATCTTTCTTAGAAACCGATGTCTGGTCAAAACAGGGAATCGAGTTCTGAAGTTGTACGTCATTCTGTAGTTGGTGTCATGCCTATATTAGGAACTATTCAGTCTAAGCAGATCTCTATATGAGAAATGAATGCTGATTTGAAAAATCTTTGACACCATAAGATTGGCAACCTCAGCAAAATACCCCACGCAAGCCAGTAAGCTTTGTCAAATGTGCTAGTTAAGTCGCCTACAATTTGAGTGGCCTTTATTGGTACACTATATGGGCAAAAGTCTATGGACACCTCTCCTAATTATTGAGTTCAGGTGTTTCAGCCACGCACATTGCTAATAAGGTGTATAAAATCAAGCACACAGCCATGCAATCTCCATAGCCAAACATTAGTTGTAGAGTTGGTCATACTGAAGAACCCTGTAACTTGGCACTGTCTCAGGATGCCACTTTGCCACAAATCAGTTTGTGAAACTTCTGCCCTGCTTGATCTGCCCTGGTAAACTGTTCTGTGAAATGGAAACATCTAGGTACAGTAGACACTGAGTGGGGCTGCCAGGTGCTGAACTGTGTAGCACATAAAAATCGCCTGTCCTCTGTTGCATCAGTCATTACAGACTTCCAAACTGCCTCTGGCTGCCGCATCAGTGTAAGAACTGTACATTGGGATCTGTATGGAATGTGTTCACATGGCCGAGCAATGCCAGGTGTTGGCTGGGGTGGTTTAAAGCATGCCACCATGGGACGCTGGAGCAGTTCACTATCTGCCAGTCTAATGGACGAATCTGAGTTTAGCGAATGCTAGGTGAACTGCCTGTCTGAATACGTAGTGCCAACAGTAAAGTTTGGTGGAGGAGAGATAATGGTCTGAGGCTGTTTTACAGGGTTTGGGCCCCTTATTTCCTAATCTGAAGGGTAATGTTAATGCTACAGCATACAGAGACATTTTAGGCAATTGTATGCTTCCTATTTTGTGGCAACAGTTTGGCGACCCTTTCCTGGGGCTGAAAATTGACGTATCAGCCAAAATTTTATATTCATATTTTTGGTTTTAATTTTACACTCATCATTTTTGTTAGCCAGTGTTTTACTGAGTGGTGTGATTCAGTTAACAATTTTCACGCTTTTTAATCTTGAACAACAGGAGCTCACAGTGTTAAATAATGTATTGTAGCTCTGCGGGCAGAGCTTTGCACTTTTCATTTCTGTTGATCACCTAATTTTTCTCAATTTTCATTAGATTTCTTCATAAAAATATGTATTTTTTTGTGTTATAACTTATGGTAAACATTAAGATTTTATGCATTTGATGTTGTAATATTTACCTTGATTTATGTTCAGATTCACCAGTTCAGCTTGTATTGTAAGTACATAGTTAAAAAGAAAATGCTTCATGTTAAGATGCCAAGTAACACAACTGTCTAAGGTTTTGCCCCGTCTTTGGAGATTGAGTTCAAATTCATTCACATTGGCCTTTATTATTGGCTAATCAGTATATCTTTTGGGCCCAGGGGATGTGTGATGTGAGCTATTCTTGGTAAACTGATCTTGTCTATGTCTATGTTCGTGTATAACCACCAGTTTTCACTGCTATTCAACGCTGCTGTCTGGTTACTTGAAGTTGAGCAGAATGGAAATCTGGTGGGTGCAAAAAGATGGTTTATTTAGTCTGATGGCCGTTTGTGAGTGTGAACTGAATTATTTTTCTCGACTTCGTTACAACCCTTGACCTTATATTTTCTGTGCATATAAACCATGCATTATTGCTTGACACGCGTCATTGGGGTGTGAAGAGTCAACTAAAGCAGTTGCTTCTCTTGCTCATGGCTATGGTTACTTCCCTCGCAGTTAATCTTTGGGTATAGCACTGCTGATGCAATCAAAATGAATTCTGTTGAAATGCTCACAAGAGGCAAGCAAAGGTTTTCAAAACGGAAACAGTTAAAGATTGCCTTCATGGGGAGTTTTTCTTCAGGAATTGCTCTGGCTTGGCTTTTACCTCACATGCTCTCCAACTCAAGCAGTTAAAGGTATTTATGTACAATGCCAAATTAGTCCACCTGAATGAAAAGATTTTCTAGCACGTTGCCAATGTGAGCTTTGGCTGTATTTATCTACGTTTTTCTTCTGTTCATTAAACTATTCAATCACCCTGTAGGCCAGTGGCTCTCAAATGATTACACTGAAGAGATACACGGTGAAATTCAATCAGACTACTTTAAGTTTTTGTAGCAGTCTGAATTTACGTTCAATTTACAGCTTTGTGCAGGAAGCTCTCTGGCTAAATGACGCTTGGCCTGTGTATAATGGATGATATGGGGCTTTTTTTTATTTTTTATTTTTCCCCCACTACTGAAAGTTTTAAGCGGAAAGGCAGGTTGGACCTGCTGACATTTTAACACTAAATTTTTTTTTAAATTACACGTTTCTTTTGTAACTAATTGTTCTAATGGTTCTAGGACATCTTTAATAGAAATAGAACCTTTATTATGTGAACTCTCATTTACAAGAATGTTATTTCAGAAACAATCCATTCTAAAGAGAAGTTTCTGAAAGGAACCAAAGGTGGTTCTTCTGTTGCATAGTTCTGAAGAACTTTGGTTCCAATAGACAACTTTATTTTTGTGAATACCCATTTCTTGCAAAGAAGCATACTTTTTATTTAGTTTTTATGTAGTTTGAACTGTTATTTGAGAACATTTCGAAGCAGAGATGCATTTCTCTTAACTTTCAGTGCCTTTAAAGCTAAAAATCAGTGTTAGTTGTGGGACACTTGGACCCTGCAGAGATCTGTCTCCCAGTGCTAATGATGCCCTTTGCTGTCCCCTCCTTCATGTGCACAGGGCATCTCACACCTGACAGAAGGCTGCCTTGCTGAGGGGACTTGGTCACATCAGGACTTCCTGTTTCAGTGACCTCCAGCCTCTCTGATGGAGCTCCAACTGGCTTCCTTGGTGCTTGCCACGCTGCTGACCTTCCTGACCTCTGAAGTGACACTGTCCCTAGGACAGAAGGTTTACACCAACACATGGGCCGTCCACATCGCTGGAGGAGAGGAGGAAGCCAACAGGATAGCCAGAAAGCATGGCTTCGTTAACCATGGCAATGTGAGTATGCAGTGTTTACACTGGGAGCCCTCATTCTTTTTTTTTGTGTGGCTTAGAAAGTATTTATTTCTATAAAGAAAAGAGATAGGAGGCCAGGACATTTTCCTGGAATGGAAAGAGATAAGTAGAATTTTCCTCTGCCTGACGTTTCTGATTGGGCCGACAAGAATAAAGGAGATTTAGATGCCTTTCTACAGCATTTTGCTGGAGTTGTAAGACCATTGCTACATCTCAAGATATAAGGTGGTGCTGGTTTTCTTATTTTTAAGTTTAATTTATTCACTATTTTTCACTTGTTTTTAAAACAGCTGCAATCAAACATTATTTTTACGTGCTGGCTTTGGTTTACTATCTTGCTCATGTTTGGAACGTTCTTACATGACATTTTTGATAGAAATGTGTATCAAAGCCCATCCTGAAATGTCTCAAAATGATTTTAGTCTATCAGTATAACTATTTTAAACTATTATTTTATTTAATCAAGCATAAATGCCTAAAAAAAGTAGTTATAAAAAAAGCATAGTTTCAGTTCTGCAATTTGATTGGCTTAGCTACAGTAAAGAGACCATTTGTAAAAACACTTGACATACATATACTTCACACATCAGTTGCATTTTGTATTAATACAGTGAGATTTTAAAATGTTACGTTTTGCGCTTGTTACTTACCCTAGTTAAAATGACCATAATTGCCATACGCTCAGCTTTGGCTCAGTGAACCTCAATAGCTCTCGAAAGCCGCCACCGTCCACCACATCCTTCTCCATAAGTTTGCACACCCATATGTGATTTCCTCACATCTCACTTCATCTCAGAGAACATGACAAAACAGTTGTTCGTCTTATCGCATGCAAATGTTTGCTTTTGGTATGGGGCATTGCTGTAATTGTGCTTATCATCTTGTAAAGTGGTCTTGAACACTGTTTTTAGCTGTGCAGAACCAATGGCCTGTTACATTTGAATGCGTACAAATCAAAAACACTCAACTTGAATGACAAAACCACCTATTCAAATAGGAATAGTTATTGGAAATAAGATTACATTACATCCCTAGTGTGAAGCTTGGTCCCATCTCACCTAAAGGTGACCATTCAAAACGATCTTGGTGTCCTATGAAGTAAAAGTCAGATGCCCTTCAAATGTCCTGATTATGGAAGGAGAAAATGTCTTGGTCCCTGAGGATCAAATTTACAGGCCCTAACCCTCCTTGCTTCCCTTCTTGTGGTCATTTGGGTCACCATTCTATCAAATTTAGCAGCCATGCTGCAGTAAGATGGGCTTAGCTCTTAGTTGAGTTTGAGTTTTGCCATGCAAAGCACATTTTCAGCATTCAGTAGCACACATATAAACAGTATAGTGTGTTAAAATTCACATTTGAATGATATTGGACCCCATACAACATCCACTCTTTCTGTAAAGCATAAAGCAGAGATACGACTAGTAGGCCTGTCACAATTATTACATAATCCTCTGTGTTTGGGTGCGTTAATTGGGTTGACACAAATACATGTAAATAAAAGAAGAAAAAAAACACATTTATTCATGCATCATGACTATTATGAAAACAGCATAATTTCTGATTTCTCATTGGTGCTAACAGTTTTGAGGTCTTGAGTGATGTTTGTTTATAAGAGCTCGAGCTGAGAGCTTCTGATTATTGACAGATAGAAAACCCATGGCTAATGCGGCCTTCTAGGCTTGTACTTGCACTTTAATAGTCCCATACAGTGGGGAGAAAACAAAACAATTAAATTGTTCATTGGAGTTATTTGTGTGACAATCATCACCTAAAATTACATGATCGTGACAAGCCTAACCACTGAAGCAGCACTGAGTGGCAATTCAGTGGCAGATGTCATGTGCTAAACTTGAAGAAGGCCTGAGGTGACGGGTTGCGTGTAATTGGAGAGAAGGATGCTCGCCACACACTAATGCTCTTTAATGCAGCTGCTGTAGGGCACAGCCATTATTAGTTATGTGCCTGTTTTATGTTCCAATGAAAGAAGCCTAGATCTAAGGAGCTGACTGACCAAACAAGGCTTATGTGTTCAGTTTTTCTTCCATGGAAAGCTCAGCATTGCCATTACAGTAATACATGATTTGGTCTTCTCGGAATGAGATGACTGGAAGAACTTTGGCTCAACTAGGTTTGTAAGAGCGCTTCCAGTCCAATAACTTTCCCCCCACTGTCTGCATATCTTCTCTAGTGCTGTTATTTGAACAACATGTTTGTCAACAGTACAGATGATCCAAATTTCTTTCCAGGTACAAAGTCAGTGGGACTCTTAAGGAGGACTTTGAACTAAGTTTCAGAAACAGCAGCAGTCAGAAAAGGTCATTGCACAACAGGGCTCTCATTAGGAGAGTTCTGGATTCTCTTCCATCCGTTTGGGGGAAGCTCATAAATTTATGACGATTTCCTACATGTATGTTGTCTTGAGTGCTGTGGGTGGGTGATGAAATGCATAAAACATTTTCCTGGCCATTCGGGTGCCATTTTAAACTTCACTGCAGGCATGTGCATGATGAGTGTGCTTACGGCGCAGTCATTTCCGCATCCTCCTCTACAGCTTCTGGATGAAGTACAATCAGAGTTTGTTGGTTATAAGTGTTGGTTATAAGTTTATTTAGAAGTTGATGATGGGTTATGACAAAAAAAATAACATTTGCTCAAAATAACAATTACTCAGAATACTTTTCAGATTTGTTCTTGCTAATGTATTCATTAGGGAAAAAACACTGCATCGAAGGATGCAGGCTGTAAATGAATTAATCATCTGAATAATTGTTGCTCAGACTTTTTTTTTTATAGACTCCATGCGCAGTAAAGCAGGCTAGTAACCAGATGGTACAGTAAAGCTCAATGATGAATGGCTCTCTGCATCTAACAAGCTTTTTGGTTGGCTCAGAATGTGCAGCAGTTAGTAATTGATGGAAATGAGTGCCTCGAGGCCAGTACTGAGGTGGACCTGCCAAGAAAGTCAAATAACTTTTTTTGCAGCAGCAGACTAGCGGTGTAATTTATCCTTTTTAAAATCGTACTTCTGTGGTCAGTCAGGGACGTCAGTTGTTAGTGTAGAAATTTGTTTTCTGTCATTGATTGATTTGTATGAAACTGTAATTTGCTTTAAATTGCTTGGTTTATAGAGTCATATTTAGGTGGATTCTGTAATCTTGAGCAGGTGGTCACTCTTTTAAAGTGGCCAAATGGGCTATTTAGTGTTGCTTTGGATGGGAATCAAACATTAATGATTAAATAAAATAATATTTTAAGCAATAAAGTAATTAATGCTCAAAATGGTTTGGCCTCTAAACCAAAACTCTATCTTGGGAATAAGAAATTTTGAAACTGAAAAAAGTATAGTTTTTTTCCCTCAAGTCTGCTGGTTAAGAAACGTGCATTGTGAAACAATAATCCTCGCCTCTTTCATTTTGCGCAATATTCCTGAAGCCAAGGCTTGTATATGAGCATGTGCTCAGTGTATTTTTGTTGGATAGTGCCCACTGTTGTTCAGGCTCATTGGCTAAATCTGTAATTCAGTCTTGCTAATATGATTTTACTATGACCTTTCTCACTGAGAAACCAGTGTACTTTGAATAAATGGTAATTGTGCCTGGCCTGAGCCCAGCCCTGTGTTGTTTGATGAGATGTGTTGACAGTGCTGCTGGCTGGGTTTTGAAAAGTGTCATTTTGTTAAGAGTTGCTTCAGGCTGAACGTTTTTAGCGTGTTTGCAAGGGTCCCTCAAAGGAATGGTTCTTTGTCTGAAGATTGACACTTTTATTCTTTAAAAATTTAAAGCCAAAGCCTGAAATTTAAATTGGTTGTCAGTTTGATGGTGGTCCTGGATTCAGACCAAATTCACTAATGCTAAGGTCCTGAATTGAAAATTAATCACAGGTTTTTATTTGAAATGGTGAAATGTTAGCCTTTTACTTTTCTAGAATATGTTCTGATTTCATCTAGTTTCAAGTTTAAAGTTTTTAGTCTGTTGAGTTTTTAATGTCTGTAGACATTAGTGTTAAATGCCTTTTTTCCCCCAGAATCTTTTTTCCCCCAGAACCTTTTTTCCTCCCTGGAACCCCCCCCCCGACTGCTAGATAGGTCTAGATACATGATGGATCTGTGAAGACCAGCTTAAGTGTTTGCAACTAGTATTTTTCATGAGTGCAGTTAGTCTTGTGGGGCTAGATATGATATTGTAAGGATGATACATGACTTGGGACAACCATGTGAGAATTTGGGCTAAACGTGGGTGGGATTGTAACCTTATTAGAGTGGAAACAAATTGAGTTTGAAATTTCTAAACCAATTCAGTGCCTTGTGAAGGTGGAACTCGCAGTAGGGACGATGGTGCTTTTGTCAGCATTGTCTGATGGACACAGTCTGTTGTTAGTGCCATGTAAATACCGTGGATAAAAAGTGCCCCCCAAAAACTCTTAAGAATGTAGATGTGGGGAAAATGCATAAAATATGGTACAAAAGACGTTGCCTTTTTCACAGGAGTATCAGTTTTGTTAGCCCATACTACAGCTTTACAGCACATCACTGGACTAGTGATGTAAGTTGATGATAGGTTACCACTGGGTGTTTGTTGCTTCTTCTGTTCATAGTTGCATCAATATAGCTGGAGCAAATGTGATATGGGAAGATTTGACAGCTATATCAGGTTAAAGATGGACTTTTGGATTTGCATTAAAACTAAACAGTGTGCAAAAGACATCTCATTACTCCTGCTTTCAAACTAAGTACTGAAAGTGGTTTATGGAATTGATTTAGTAGATCAAATACTCTGACCAAACTAAAGGCAATGGTATTGCTAAAGCATTTATTTTGAAGACTGAACATTAGCTAGCAGTATGTTTTGTTTGTGTTATTTAAAGTACTGATCTGATACCAGGTATCGGGCAGAATTTGGGGAAGAAAATGCCAGATCAGATATCATACACATCGGAATACATCCAATCCAATCCTGTAACAAATCTGAACAAATTTCTTCTGC